ATACCAGGCCTTGCAGAGTTTGCCTTTGTTTACCAACCAACAACTCTCTGAGCAGATGGACAAGATGTTAGTCCTCCTCCCTAAGGATGAGAAACCAGGCATTTTTTCAGAGGTCTATTTATGGACCTCCTCCCAGTTAATATTCGAGAACATTTTCTTTCTGAATCTATCAGTGACTCTTGTGTAAGGGCTCTTTAGGCTGATGAATTGTGGACGATCCCTGGACGCAGCCTCCCGGCCCAGGCTTTAATTGATCAGTTTGAGGACATGCATGCTTTGCCGGGCAGTAACTCTTTCACGAGGTCCAGAGCTCAAAGTTCTTTGCCCAGATCTTCTAGCCATTCCTCAGTACCAGAAGTTTGGAGTAGAACTGGTTCCGATGGAGTCTAATAGTATTACAGCAGGTGGGGAGATGAGCCTAGTCAGTGTAGACTGTAGAGCTCCCTGCTCCTATTTTGGGAAACTATTTAGCTGAAGGGATTTTCTAAACTTGATTCCTGCTGAATCTACTACCTTGATAGTAGATTGGTGTTGGTGTTCAACTGAAAACTGCTGATGGTTCTGCCATGGACATGTTTGGTTCCTGTCAGATAGCTTACCAGTTTGGGTCTTGGCGGTTTGAATGGACTTTTCTCCTTGCAGAAGTATCCATGCCCATCCTTGGCTCTGATTTTCTCCACCATCACCACCTGTTGGTTGACGTTGCTGGTTCCCACCTTTAAGATGCTTCCACCCTGGAACCTATCCCCACCGTTTCCTCTGTTCCTGCCAGTTTTTTGGGATTTGCTTGCATAAACACTTTAATGATTTTCTTAGTAGAGAGCTCAGACAGCGTTTTAGGGTGTAAAGCTATAAGTGCAAGATAGTTAAGTCTGCTATCCATCTTGTACATCTTGTGTAATGAAGTATTCTCTATGGAAGGCTAAAACTTTTCTCTCCTTGCATTAACAGTGAATTTAGACAAATCCTTTGTCAGGTGTTACTTTTTAAACGTAGTTTCCTTTTAATTTTGTATTTTCCAGGGGGGGGGCAGGGCCCCGCCTGGAACTCCCTGGGGGGGCAAGAGTACTACTGCCCCCCTTGGTACGCAACTGTGCCTGGCCTGAGGAAGGGAAATGCAAGCAGATGTAATATGAAAAGAGCCTCCCCCAATGGGTGCCCCCCTTCGTGGTTGCACCCTTTGATACGGCTGGAAAAGTCCTTATGTAGTTAGAATGTGAAGAAAAAATTAAAGTATCTACACCAGAATATATTTATATATATTTTTATTTTGAGGGTTTTTTAAGGGTTTTTTGATGAAATTTAATTTAAATTTCTCAAATTTATCCGGGCTCAAAACGCAAATGAAGTGATTGACTCTAGATGTTTAGGTGTGTTGCTCTGGCGGTGGCTGTCTTGCAGGATACATACATATATTTTCTTGAAAAAGCTCTAATCTCTTTTTTACTTTTATTTTAATTTTCTTTATATTTTGTTGCGGCCATGTTAAAGAACATTAAATAATCCTATTTCTTTTTGTTAACACTGCATCAGCCTAAGAGGATCATTTTAGACACTCTTAAACTTTTAACGACTGTTTGAGAAGAAGTTTCTCTGCCTAAGTCTTTTGATCCTAAACTTACTAGATTCTTGATTCAAATTAGAGTTAAGACCCGTATTGACCCGTCTACAGGCCGATGATAAAAATTATTTCTAGGACTAAGAAAGTAGATTTTCTATTAATTGTTAATATATTTCTGTGTGAAAATAAATTTTAATAATAAGGATAATAATTTAATCTGCATATATTTATTCTTTCAAATGCAGAAACTTTAAAATTCTATAAAATCTTTGATTTTTTTACATTTTTATCAATCATCAGGATATTTCCAAAGCAGAAGTATTCATAATGTTAGCCTCATTTTTTGGGCCGAAAATATTTCTGGTTATTCACATTGCCCTTGGGAAAGTTTATGACCGGTCAAAATAAGAAAATTTTGCTTCGCAATAATTTTGATATCATTTTTTTTAAATCAGCCATGTTAACATGAAAGTATTCGAGCAATGAATTATTTTAGAAAACGGAGAATGGGGGAGCAAACTCGAACTGCAGACAAAGGGGATTAAGAAAGGGATGTCCATAAAGAATGAGACTTTAGAAACGACTTTATGTAATTTAGTTAGTCTTTTTTCTTACTTTCTTGGTTCTTAAAAAGTTTAAACTTGTTTCCTTCTGTGCCAACTCAATAGGTATAGAGAGTTTTAGGTCGTCATCAAACTCTCATTCTTCGAGGTTTACTCTGCATTATAGTAGGAGGGGAGTTAAATCCAGCAGAAGGCGAGTATATCAAACATTAACATCTATGCAAGAAAACTTAATTCTGATGCAAAAAAAAATCGAATCTTCAACTCTTTCAGATTATTTATTCATCAATAAAACTCCTTTTTTATTTGATAGGTATGTTTATATTTGGAATCAAATTAAAGTTAAAGAGAAATTTTAACCCCCGGCTTTTTCATCTCCGTTTAGAACTTTCTGATATAAAACTTTTCTTTTTATCCTACAATATACAATACACAGAATACTTGAGTAACTTACTCTATAGAGGAAGAAAGAAGTTTTTCTGTTAACTCCATTTTCAGAGCTTTCATTTTAACAACAAATCATTCCATTCAAGAGTTTTGGTTCTGAAATAATACTTTCCTTTCTATTTTGTTACAACGTCAACAAACCAAACACTGTCAATTATATTATATAATATAATAATAATATATATATTATTTTATATACAATCATTAATAGTTTAAGTTCGCGTCTCTTCAGAAGGTTTAATTAAAATTTTATATTTTTAATTTTTTCTTGAAAATCATTGTTTGGAGATTTAATTTTGAATGAACTGTTTCTACAATTCTTAAAGTAGACCTAAATTGATAACAATTCAAGTAATCCAGAGATGGATTTTAAAGAATTTGAGCCGCGGTTTTAAATCAGTTCTATTTTATCTTAGCATTTATTTGAGACATTTCGTTGTCAACCTTCTTGAACATGTATGATTCTTGAAACAATAACCACAAAATTCTCTTAAATCTGGGATTTCCAAAATGTGGTCTTTCTTATTTGTGTTGTCAATATTACCAAGGATATTAAGAATTTCGTTCAGATTAAAATTTTGTTAACCCTATTCCTGCTGGGGTTTTTTTTTTACATAACTGAAAAAGTATTGGTCTTAGGCTGTTTAAATTTTCTGACTTTTCCTACATACCCAAAGCCCTCCCTTTAGGCCTAAAACCGGGCTTTAATACTAACTGCCTGAGTCCTCGGGCAAACTGCCCGAATGACTACTTTTTCCTGTAATAAACTAAATCTTTGTTTTGACCCACTTTCAGTTGTCAGATTTTGATAAAATTTAGCTTTTTGGAAAGCCTATGACATAAGGAAACGGATTGCACAAGTTTTGCAAAAAAAAATTGCAAATTTTTTGCAAACAAAAGAAATTTGCACATTTTTAGTTTTTCTTTATTAAACATCAGGTTATTTAAAATTTTGCAAAACTTTTTGCATATTTGAAATGGCATGGTCAAGGGCTTTTCAAAAATGTATAATTTTTCATTTTTTGGAAATTTTTTTTTTGCAATACACAGAATACTTTTATATCTTACAATACACAATATGCAATACACAGAATACTTTTATAACTTACTCCATAGAGGAAGAAAGAAGTTTTCAGAGTTCTTATATTAAAAACAAATTACTCCATTTAAAAGTGTTGGTCCTCATATTATACTTTCCCTCGTAGGTGAAAAATATATGCGTTTGTTTGTAAATTCTGCTCAAATTGATGTGCGGGTAGCTTGAGATGGTAGAATATATAGTATATATTGAATTCTTTATCTTTAACCAGCAATCTGATGTTTTCTCTCTAATAAATCAATGGTGTGCGAATTAAAGAAGTATATTGATCAGATAGGGCTTGGCCCACGTTGGCACGCGGGTCAAACAGTTTTCTGATCTTTTTTCAGCTCACATCATGGTTGTTTCTTCTCTCTGGTTCTATATCAACTGTGTAGCCTGCTTTTTGCAGATTGCCAAATTCAGGGCAAATTCAAAGATAGTAATATTTGACAATATAAACACTTTTAGGCATAAAAAGATATAAAAGTGAAAACATAAAAACATATTAATAACTTTTGTTTCAAGTGATCTAAACACCCCTAAAGGCAGCATAAGGCTTTTTTGCACAAACTTATTTCTTTTTTTACTTCTAAAATTCATATCTTCTTGTCCATTGTCATTTGTCATAAATGAAGCATGATATAAAAAGTTTATAGTGTCGTAACTTTTACGTAAATCCAAACTTTTGGGATCCCAAACGACTATCAACTGATGTTAAAGATATTGGGATTGGGCTTGGTTTGGGAATAAGGTATATTAATGAGATAGAACCAATTGGGAATAGGTAAAATATCAGCTGTAGAGAAATTTGGGATTAGAAGATTTGTTATTCGAATCAATTAGAGCTAGGATGAAAGGAAGGGTTGTTTTATTGGTAGTTAGAGTAATTGGGAAGATTGGGCAAAGGAATAGATATTTTTTGAGAACCACTGCATCGGAAGAGAATAAGCAAAATATTTAAGTTTAGTATAAAGATACGGATATAATAAAATACGTGTGTGTAGAACAATAAGAGAATAGCTGATTTAGTGAATAAAAATGTTAAATAGGAATGAAGACGACATTTTGGAAAGAATGAACAATTATTGTTAAGTTAGAATAAGAGAGAGAAAATGATCAAAAATCGCATTTTTAATTTACAATTGTTCCACAACGGTGCGCTGTATACCAGTGTCTAAGCAAAGATTATGCGTGTTTTTCTATCTGTAAATCGATAAATTTTGATTCGGGTTTCTTTTATAAATTTATGTCCCAGTAACAAGAAAGGAGGTTGAAAGAGTTCATTCTTTTTTTCAGAGAGGAAACCAATGATATCTACTTGATTTTTCTTTGATAACATGTTTAAATATGATTAATGAACGGTTTTTATTTTTACAGTTTGTAATAGTAATTATATATTATAAATGCATATTATGCTGTTTGTACAATTATAGACAAAATGTATAAAGCATGAAATCTTATGTTCTTGCTTCTTCTCCAGATAATATTACGGGGTGTAAGGTCTGGAGTTTAATGGTAGAACTGGAATATTAGGTTCATATTCTATCTCGTTCAAACCATCAGTGCACTCTGGGTTGGAGTCCTGCAACAAGAAAAGTTGAATTAAAAAGAGTGACTTGCTAGGTATAGTAGTTGTACTGAGAGTGCATTTAGACTATAGAGAAAAATATCAGGATACATTGGATACCTATTAAACGCTTTAAGATTCTATAATTGCTGCATAAGACCACAAATTCGCTCTCGAAAGATTATGAGGAGGTATAATTCTGGAGACTTGCTCTCAAGGTTTTGAATTCAGATATTTTACTTTAAGAACCTGTAATCTCAGTTCAACTACCATAAACAAGAAAATATAAAATTACAGCTGTGGATCATGTAAAACAAATTCTTCCATTAAGGGATTGTTCACGTGATTTAAAAGGCTCTACAGTGTTCTAAAGGATTCAAAAATAAAACTTTCCTGATGCTGGCTGTGGTCGCAGGTTTTCAAATTTACAAAACTAGGATTTAGCGAGCTTTGCGCCCCTTTTTTCTAATAACAATTTTAGCTTTTACACGTTGATTTTCAAACTTTTTTTATAAACCTTGGGCTCAATCAGTTTAACTGGTTTAACTGTTTCGGATTGCTCCGCATCCTCTCTCTCTCTCTATGTACATATTGAAAAACAAATATTATCATCAGCCTATATCAGATAAAGATAAAATCATTTATTGCATGAAGAGTCGCGCGCTTTGAAGCATACATTGACAATCCCTTTAAGTATCATCAGATTAGTCCTTGTTAATTTTTTTTTTGAAAATGCCTTTTTATCTTTCTATAATCGGAAAATTTTAGTTGGCTAGAGCTAAGCTAAAGGGTGTTCATTCAATAAACTTTAAATACAAAAAGCTAAGCTTTTTAGATTTATGAAATTCCATTCCATTTCAATGCTATTCAATCCTGACTTCTGATTAATCATCTCATTGGTCGGATCCCAAAACTTTAGCGAGTGATTGAAGACAGAGTTAAAATCGATGAACAAAAAGATTTAGCTTAGTAGCAAAAGTTTTCTGATCAATTATTGTTCATTAACCGTCTTCAAACTCGTGTAAATAAGTAGCAAAAAGCGCGCTGGAAACAGGAAAGTGGTGAAAATACCAGAGAATATTATGCTGCCAATGAAGAGTTATGGTTGCAAGCATATGATCCAAAAAAGAGGAGCCTGGTTAAATTTAAGAACCAAATCCTCAAGGGATTGTATGATGCAGAGTTAAAGGAAACATGCCTGTTTTTACGCCTAAGGAACCAAAACAGAAAGGAGATATTAAGGCAGTATTAAACCGACAGCTAGCTCTTGATAGACATGAGTTCAAAACTGCATATGTCAATAGTTTTGAGATGATAGAAAACAGCAAGAGAGCGGAAAAAATGTGGGAAATAGGAAACAGCAACATAGAGAGTTCTAGGAAGAAAGGAAACATCCGTTGTCCGTAAATACACGGGAAAGTTTGTTATTATACAGGGTGTTTATATAAAGCTGAATTTCTGCAGGAACATTAAACCTTTTGAGGGTATGTATTCTGAGAGGGTGCGGCACTGAACCAAATGCATCTTCTAAATTGAAAAATGTTACATGGACTGTTTTCTTGTTTGTCTTTGCTTGGCTTATAAACTCTCCAAGGACGACATTATGCTCAATAGTGCCGTTAATGCCCGGCAGAAAGGCCTTCTGTACTTTCTCGTCAATATAATTATTCGCAGTTAAAAACTTGGTCAGTCTTTTTGCAAGAAGAAGATGTAAGTCTTTGCAATAGAAGATGTAAACTGCGTTTCAATTGAATGCTTAACATGAATAGCTTAAATCATGCAACATACTTAAATTCTGCAATAAAACATGGACAGTGAAAGATTTACTGAGTTATAACCCTTTAAATATGTAATTTAAACTTTAACTGTGCAATAAATCTGTAATACTTTAGCTACGCTCAATATAACGAGACCCGGGTTTAAATAAATACTTTATTAACTAACTTGATTCATAAATTTTAATTCAAATTATCGAAAATTATATATAGATGGGTGACATGGCAGAATTGATGCTCTTCTTGCCGTGTCCTCATATCCGGCTCAGACTCGTCTTCCGCCACAATACTCCCCCCAAAAAGGAATGGCGGAGTTAAGGCGGAGCATGCACTTCTTATCCCAGCTTGTCTGTGAGGATTTCTTCTCAGTATAACTTCAGGTTTATTGAGGAAAGATTCAGACTCCTCTTTGGAGGCAAACAAATTCATGGCGGAGGATGGCTCAGGAGGATGACTTGCTGGTTGGAGAGGAGGATGTCCTTGAGGCGGAGGGTTGGCTGGAACTACTGGGGAATCAGAGAACACTGGCTTTAAACAATCCACAGAAACAGAGTCAACCTTGTGTCCAATCTGGAGGCAGAAGAACTTGCTCCACCGCTCAACAACTAAGTAAGGACCACAATACAGAGGAGTGAGGGAAGGTTTGCTGGCATCTTCTTGCACAAAAACAAACTTAGCAATTCTGAGAGCAGCTGGGACTTCAGTTGGAGGCTGCTGTGGAACGTCATGAGGCGGAGGAATGGAGAAACCAGCTATAACTTTCCCTATCTTACTGAGGAACTGAGAGCTTGGAAGCTCAGGAGCATCTAAGAACTCTCCTGGAATCGTCAAGGCCGAGCCATACACTGCCTCAGAGACGGAGAAACCTGTATCTTCCTTTGGAACAGAACGGAGTCCAAGCAAAACCAGAGGTAAGTGAGAGACCCAGTCGGAGTCAGCAGCTCTGGCTCGGAGAGAAGATTTCAGAGATCAATGGAAACGTTCAATCATACCATTCTACTGAGGATGAAAACTTGTTGTCTGAGAGGTTGAGATCCCCAGAGAATGACAGACTCTGGTCCAGACAGAGGAGGTGAACTGTGCTCCTCTGTTGGTGGTCAAGGTTGAAGGAACACCAAATCTTGATATCCAAGTTGAGATAAAAGCTTTTACACAAGTCTCAGTTGAGATTGAGGATAATGGAACAGCTTCTGGCCAACAAGTAGTCCTGTCAATCAGTTAGTCAGGATATCAGAACAGTCCTGACTAGAGGGTAGAGGTCCAACAATATCAATGTGTATGTGAGAGAACCGTCTGGAAGGAACTGGAATGGCAGGAACAGAAGTTTTCACATGAGTTTGTGTCTTACCCCATTGACATTGGAGGCCCATACTCCGACATCTTGAGACAAACCAGGCCAAACGAAACGAGCAGAAATTAATCTCCGAGATCCTCTTACACCAGGATGAGAAACATTGTGCAGGGCAAGGAACAGAGATTTACGAAGAACTAGGGGTCTGAGAGTTCCTGTTAAGCTGTCACATAATAAATCTCCGGAATCCAGAGTTACAGTCACTATTGAGAGAGGATAAAATTTTACTGATGAACAAACTTGCTGAAGCGATAAAATCTTTGAAAAATCAAAGTTTGGAATAGAAAAATCTTTTAGAACTGTAGAAGGAGGTGGAGAAACTGCCACTGCCAACACCTCCGACACCACCCACACCCCTGACACCTCAGAAGCAGGATCCTCAGTAGGAGAAGGATTTGGAGCATCATGAGAGGGAGAAGGGGCTTGGAGCTGGGTTTAAAAGAGGGGGAGAGACAGTGGTTGGAGGGGGCTGGGATGGAGCACGAGCACTGGAGCACTGAGAAGGGCGAGAAAGGGCATCAGCCACGGTATTCTTCAGGCCTGGAACATGCATGATGGAACTGGTGAACTCAGCGATGTAGGCCAGGTGTCTCTGCTGTCTAGCCATCCAGGGAGGAGAACTCCTGAACAAGGCAGAGGTTAGAGGTTTGTGATCGGTAAATAACAAAAATTCTCTACCTTCTAGCATGAATCATAAGTGTCTGATGGACAGGTAAGCAGTCAGGAGTCTCTGTCAAAGGTGGAGTATTTCTTCTCTGCATCTAATAGCTTCCTGGAGAAAAAGGCTAACGGAAACCAGGCATCGTCAATCCTCTGTTGGAGCGCAGCACCCACATGAGAATCAGAGGCGTCCACGATGAGAGAAATTGGAGCTGACAGACGAGGATGAATTAACTCTGGAACTCTGATGAGGAGATCCTTGGCGTGGCAGAAGGCAGCCGCGAGGTCAGGGGTCCAGGTGAGAGACTTGCCAGGACCCTTCAGAGCTTTGGTGAGTGGAGCTAGTACTCTAGCAGCCCCCCCCCCCTGGAGAAATTTCCTGTAGAATTGATCATGCCAAGGAATCACTGTAGAGCAGGCTTGTCTGACGGAGCAGGGAACTTGGAGATTGCTGCTGTGTGCTTGACTAGGGGAGAACAACCACTTGCAGACAAGACCCAAAAAGACCCAAAAACTCAATCTTAGGAACAGCAAACTAACACTTGGGCAGGCCAATCGTCAGTCCCTACTGTCGACAGAGGAAGAGAACTTGACAAAGGTGATCCAAGTGCTGCTCCAAGCTGCTACTGAACACTAGAATATCGTCCACATAAGTGAAACAATAGGGCAGGTCACCTAGGATAGAGTCCATCATCCTCTGAAAAGTATTCCCTGAGTTCCTGAGGCCGAAAGGCAGGCGTAGAAACTTGAACATTCCGAACGGTCCTGGTTGAATATAGAGTCTGAAATTTAGTCCTATGTTATTGGATGCTTGTGTCTCTGTGTGGCATTTAGAGCCGGTCCTGGTTGAATATATAGTCTGAGATTTGTCTGATGTTATTGGATGTAGGGTTTCCAGTCGTAATTTCGTTACGCGTAATTACGCGTAACGAAACGTAACACTTTCTTTCACTTACGCAGGAGCATTACGCGTAATTACGCATATATTACGTTTACGAAAGAAAGACTGCACGTAATTACGCGTAAGAGAATAATCTATTACGTTGGAAACCCTAATTGGATGCTAGTGTCTCTGTCTGGCATTTAGAGCCGGTCCTGTTTGATTAGGTTAACTGATATACCTGGATAGATTAGTCTCCAGTAAATTGTTATGGAGTATGTATTTGCTACAAATAAGTGAATTATGTATTACACATTCCCCAGCTACCTCTATCATGTCAACTTATGCGGGAAAATTTCATGTAAAAATTTTCAAACTACTGTTAAAGACGATACTCAGACATTAAGCCAGTGTCTAGCTTTTCAAATTAGAGAAATCAAGAGATTTAATTCTTTTGATCTAATGTTTCAGTTCAGGGTAACTAAACTCATTGATTTCTCAAAAAAGAGATAATTCATTTGATGTACTGTCCACTTTTACTGTCTATAGTATTTACATAAACTGTACTACTTGCTCCATAATTAGATGGGATACTTTAAGTGTACAGTTCAGTGCAAAGCTTAATTCTTATTTTCTTTTTAACCTCAAAAATGCAACCAATTATCAAAAAGTAACTTAAAATGCAAAAATTCTAGATTAAGTTCTTTTATTTGTTTACAAAACTGCCCCAATTATTTTTGAAAACTTGTTTTTGATTTTAAAACCCTGTTCAGTCTCCCCCTAACCCTGTTCAGTCTCCCCCTAACCCTGTTCAGTCTCCCCCTAACCCTGCTAGCAACAACACATCTCTGTGACTCTCTGTCTCCTNTGTTTCTCAGCAATGGATGACGAGGGAGTCAGCTGCGAAATATTGCACTGGCATTCAAAGTCTAATCTGTGTCTATCATATGAATCATTTATATAGAAAATAAATAATGTAGTTTTTCCATTTATGAAAGTTGTAAACTTGTAAAACAATTGTAATATCTTAATCTCTGCTACAAAATAAATATTTAAATCTAAAAAAAAGATTTTAAAACAATAAATTTAATCAATAAAATAAAATTAAATTACAAATTACAATATCATATTATAGAGGTTAAAAAACTGAGGAATAAATACAATATTATCCCTTTGAGTTTTTTTAAGAACCAGTTTTTAAATATAAAATTATCCCATTGATTAAAAAAAATTGGGGAATAATAACATTTTTTAAACCTGGTTTATGATCACATTTTCAACACAATTGCGTTTCAAAACTAAATGTTATATAATTTAATATTTTGGAATTTTTTATACCTTCTGAGCCTGTATCCCAACATTAGTTCTAATATTCCTCTTGTTTACTGGTTGGAGAGGTCGGAGATTATTTTCTGTTTAAAACATTTACTCTTTACAATCATAGGGTGCAGTAGTCATCAAAGATTTATAATGGTATCTATAATTAAAAATAGCTTGTCTGTTTGTTTGTATCCAATAAATGTCAAAACGGCTGAACCGATCAGGCCCAAATTTTGTGTGGGACCTCACCTGACCCCAGGGAAGGTTTATCAATTATCAAAATTTTTAAAATTTGCAATTTAAAGCTTTTATATTTTGTACAATTTTGTATATTTTTGTTTTATACTATTCAAAGAGAGAAGATGCTCTCAGATAAAGCCATAATTAAAAGTTGAAATAGAAGATGGGCGCGAAGCACCCTAAAGGGCTAGTTTGTATAAATTTGGATAAATGAACCAAAAGGTCGTCTTGATTTCACTTGACCAACATTCACTTTGCAGCCTCATCATTAGAAATTTAAGGTGTAGAAGAATGAATGCTTTAATCATATTAATTGGCTAAAAGATTATCCTGATCCAATATGGCCAATTAACTTTTCAACCTCATTTTTACAAAGAGTTCAGAAATCATTAAATCTTAAACATAATCTTTGTGTTTTTCATGTGGAGAATGTATACACCATAAAAACGTCTCATTGGTATAAAATTAATCCTAATTTGTTTTAAATAATACTGCATTCTCAGTTCAATAATGTTACTTAGCCTGTCTCTCTCTTTAAAGGGCTAATGGTTTAGGTAGGCTAGACCAATATTCAATTTACATGCTCTTAGGGTACAGTGAAAATGGTATGAAACATAATCATATAAAGGTTTCCTATCAATTTTTTATGTAAAATTTAATTCTAAGAACATTTCTGGTCAAGCTGAAAACTGCAGATCAGCAAAAAGAAGAAAACAATTCATTTTTACTTTATAAATAAATTGTAAAAAATGCACACAATTTTGTTCTATATTTTTATCGAATTTTCAAATATCTTGGTCTTTACAATAGTGTGTAACATAATCTGGCCCAGACTTATGAATGTTTAATAAGAGGCTATGCTGCTTGTTTTTAAACTTGGTCATTTTCGGTCTATGCTGGAGCCTAGATGTAATGAATCCATCCCTAGAGTCTGGACTCTTGTTCAACAACAGCCTTAGTTGCCTGTGTCACTTGTTGAACTGCGCATTAAGTACTCTGTGAATGAATTTTTATATCTGGAGTTACATATGGCTTCTCAAGAATGTTTGTAAGTTCTTCATTGGAGAGACAACATGTAAATATTGGTTCATAGATATCTTGACTTGGCCATGAATAAGATCTTGTAAGGTTGTGGCTTTAAGATCTTCAGCTCAAATTAAGGAGTTAGGCCCAATAAAATTATGACCATCCTTAGTTGGTTTTAATGGAGAACAAGGCTCAATGTTGAGTTCTAATAACAACCCTGAATGTGCCAATTTCTACTATGAAAACCTGCCGAATAGAATATTAAACCAGTTTTTTTTAACTCTACTCTATGGAAAATAAGATGCAGCTTGAATCTGAAAGATCAAGTCGTAAAAAAGGCCCAACAACAGCTTAGACAGGATCTGTATTTCTCCAAATTTTTTTAAATCGTAGGCTCTGATAAGTCATGTTTTCTGGTCCACAGATAAACCAATCTCATTTCTGTTGAATGCCATCTTGGATGGTTTAAAGCCCTACACTTTATTTCTCTAAAATATGATGGAAGGCAGCCTTTTTTTTACTTCATTACAAAGTTTTTATGACAGTTGCTGATCTGATATTTTATCTAAAACATTCTTTGGAAGAATAATTAGGTCTCCACCTCCAGGAACAGCTTTGAACTCAGGTTGGCATTCCATCTCATTTACTCATCCTAATGCAATATTTCAAATTGTTTTACGATCAATTTTTACAATAAGATGGCAAAATGGCAATTCATTTGTGTGTAGTATACAAATACATTGATGACACTTGTGATCTAAGAACTATTCAAGTAGCTATTGCAACTCCTTGCCGCCAATGTTAATAACTGTACTGTCTTCATCTAATGTCATACATGATTCAGTTAGATCATGTTGTTGTTGCATAAGATGATAGACAGCTTCAGCTTCTTTCATTGCTGGTTTAACAGGATGCACTGGTTCTACAGGTGTAACATACCCAACATAACTGCCTGATGGTACTGCTGTCTTTAAATCCATCACATATTCCAATTATCTCAGAGTCATTGATCTTTTTCTTGTCTTTAGCTTTTACTGATTTCATAAGAGTTCTTTCTTGCCCTAGCTATTTTTGATGGGTCTACTGCAAGGTAAGACAATTCTCTCAAACCAGCAGAGACAGATCATTGGCAATATATCTATTTGTATAGTGCTTTCTGTACACAATTGTTTGTTCTTTTAATAATATTCCAGGTTTATCCTAGAGAACTATTTTAGGATCAACCCCCCTCCCCACCCCTTCCTATCAATTTTGTACATGACCATTAATTTTCAGCTATTTAGCAAAATTATTATCTTTTATTTTTTATTACTTTAGAGTTACGTTAGCTTAAGATAATTTCTGGGCCAAGTACTGCGGCTAAGACAGGCTAGGGGGCCAAGCACTGCAACAAGGACAGGCTAGGGGGCCAAGCATCACAGCTAGGACAGGCTAAGGGGCCCGCGCTGTGGCCACTTGACCAATTATATGCATGTGTATCAAATGAGATCCATGCACAAAATTGATAGGAGCCTAGGAGGGGGGGAGGCTGGTATGGGGTAAAAAATCGTTCTCTAGGAAATTACCAATATTCCCCTCTGTATAACTGTTCAGTGTTGGAAGTTTACTAGGCATAAACTCTTTACCTTTGCCATCATAGTCAGTCATAGCTGAACAACTAGATAGCCTAGTTGATACACTATTGGAAGCCATCCTTGGCTGTTTTGATTACTTAGTATTGATGTAGAAAGCTGACTTTCATTGCTGCTGCAATCTTAATCCACTCAACCTGATGCTAACATCCCATTGCCTACACTAGTTTAGAGTGAGTACACATGTACAGTGATTAAGATCACTTAACAGTGATGACTAAACATTGAATACCAAAAGATTTAATAGAAGTTACGAGTACTAAACAAATCGTTTGTTAAAACAAAGATATTTGAAAATTTGAGAAAAATATAGAACAAAACTCTGTGCAAAATTCATTAATTTTGTAACAAAATAAATTAAAAACCCTATTTGATGGTTAATTTTTGGGAAACAAAATTTCTGTCTCTAGAAAATTGACAAAGGTACAGTGGATTTTCATTAAATTTTTACGAAAAATGCGGCACATAAAAGTCCAAATTTGGGAATCAAGATGTCTTCCAATAAAAAAAGCCTTTTCTAAATTGTTATTAGAATTAAATTTTGCTTAAAGGTGTATTTTTATAAAACTCATATTTGAACTTTTCTATTTGTCTCCTACTTTTCAAATGTAAATGTTCCATGGGCCTATAGATCCATGTTCCTCTTACCATGTTTCAGCCTAAAAAATATAACCATAGCATTGTGATTTATATATTTGAGAAGTTAAAATGCAACACATAAATTAAAATAAATACAATTTTATTTATATTTCATTCTTAATTCACAAACTCCACGGGTAGGGCATGTGAGACTTTCGTTCTTGTATGTGTTAGGGTGTACGCATAATTTCAAGTGACCCTACATGAAAAGATATCAATGCCAGATTTACAACGGTATATCCTTAAAACCTTTTACTGAATAATGTTGTGGGCAGTTGTGGGACTTCTTCTCATTAATCTACAAAAAGTTTAAATGTTGAACACTCTGTTTGCAACCTGTTTTAAGTTTTAAAATGTTTATAGTCAAATTCTAGAGTTGGCAAAAAATAATATTTTCTCTTAGCTGTGTTGAGGTCAAACTGTATAGGTACCTTCCCAAATGCTTTTCTCCAAGTGGCACCTTCCCAAATGTTCAATTTCCCAAGCGGCAACTTCCCGAGTCCATCCTAGCCGCATTGCTCGGACCCTCTGACTACGCCTCTGTCAGGAGGGGGCCCGTGGCCCAGGGCCCCACTCTAATCCGCCCCTGGTTTAAATGGTACCGTTGTAAATAGGGCATTTCCCTCTTTTCATGGAGGTACACAAACCAATTTCATTTTATAAGCATTTGAGTCAGTGCGCAAAATTCTTGTTTGCTGTACCCTACTTGCCCCCCCCCTTAAACCCCCTTTTTTAAATATTGATACCTTTTTTAACTATTTTCGGTTATATATACCCTTCCATATTACAAGTGTTGTTAATATTATTTATGTAATTTTCTTAAGTGGACTCATCAGTCATCAGACACTCCCTCTTAATAAGCTTCAAGGGGTGAAAAAAGAGATGGAAACGTTTTTTTAAAAATATCTATATTTTTATAGGAACGATACATATTGTATTATAAATAATCATATAAAATTTAAAACGAAGGCCGTATTGATTAAAGCTTTTTTAATTAAAATTTTTTAGTTAAGGGTAAAAGTGAGATTTTAAGTGTTTTTTTATATTTAGGGGATGCCGTGGCCCCCCCCCCCCTTCGTACACTACTTTTTATTAGTAGATTTTAAAACTACTGGCAAAACTATAGTTTTATAGCATTAATTTAACTAGTTAGCTGAATTGATTAAAGGAACTTTAGGCGTAGTTTTAAGTTACCCTCCATGCACCCAAGTAACCCAACGGCACTAATTGAAACCTTAAAAATGTGGATAATATTATTGTTTTTCTTGGTTAAAAAGTGTTATATTCAGATGTATCCGATCAGTCTTCCTAAAGTAGAAATGCGCATATCAATTTTGTAAATAACCCACAATAGAAAATAATCAGTTTTCAAAATTATAAACATTGATATCTAATAATAAGGAACGTTGTGAACCCGGCATTGTCATTGTCACTTGAAATTGCGTTCCTTTTAAAGTACGAATCCTTTTAAAGTACGAATCCTTTTAAAGTACGAATCCTTTTAAAGTACGAATCCTTTTAAAGTACGAATCCTTTTAAAGTACGAATCCTTTTAAAGTACGAATCCTTTTAAAGTACGAATCCTTTTAAAGTACGAATCCTTTTAAAGTACGAATCCTTTTAAAGTACGAATCCTTTTAAAGTACGAATCCTTTTAAAGTACGAATCCTTTTAAAGTACGAATCGAAACAAGGACTTCGCGTGTTTTCAGTGATAATTTATGAGAGTACATCAATTATATATCTCTAATATTCACTTTAATTTTTCAGAATTTTTTTTATTTGAATAACTAAAACCGCATTAGAATTTTTAAAATTTTGAAGTGAATGAACAAAAAAAAAATGTTCATTCTCTTGAAAAGCTAAAATGATCCCTTTAAAAATTAATACAGTGAAACGAATACATCGAAAGAATTCATCAAATGTCGTATTCTTCACTTTCTAAAAATGAAATGATGCAGATATTTAGTTTTTTAATTAAATGATTATATGGAACTCTTTAAAACTGTTTCGGCATATTCATGGCTATTTATTTATTTTCGCAAATACTGAAATTTACGTAATATAGTATAAAACTCATTGAAAAATTGTCAAGACGACATTTGAGAAATTCTTCCGATGTATTCGTTATTAAGGGTTTCACTGTAATAGGGTAATCTTTAAACGTTGCATAACTAATATTATCTGAATTAAGAGAATAAATTTACAAAAAAATATTTTCTGTTCTTTTTTTACTTTTTCAAAAGGACATTTTTTTCTCTCATATTTTTAGCATTTTTTCGTGAATTTTCTTTTTTTTTAAACTCGCATAGAATAGTCTTAACAGTACACCCAATACTGAGCTAGACTGCGAACATAAAATTTGAAATTTTCAATGTTCGGACAAACATCAAAAATATTATTTATAAATGCATACAGTAAAATTTCAAAGAAAATTAAATATTTACCTCTGAAAATGTGCCAGCTGCTTTGTTGTTATAAAAATAGGTTTATTGAATACTGATCAGGAAAAATCAATATTTTTTTCATATTATATTAAATGTTGAATTAAGTATTTGATCTAAATCAAAAGGTTCAGGAGTTTAAGGAATAAGAGGATTTTCAACGTAATTTTAAATAATTTTTTAAAGAGATTGCAAACCGTAATTTCAAATGACCTTTCATGCAACAAATGCAATGCCCAATTTACAATTGTATAATTTTAAAGACGACCTTACATTTCTTCTCTAGACATCTAACTCTGTGAAGTGTTGTATCAATAGGCCCAACGATCCTTTGGAATAACCTTTGTTTGGACTGTTGTTGATTTGTAACAACGTATAAAAGTAAAAAAGAGAAAATGAAGACATTTGTAAAATACAACTAGAAACCACACTTGATGTTGATCAGGTGGATGATTCTTGTTATGATTTTTTTTACATTTAGCTACTCTAAACATTCTAGAACAAATGAATATAAACCTTCAATTAGACTTTAGCAATATTTTTTTCATAATCAAAAATAATGTCCAATTGAACCAAAGTTTTAAAAACCTTGGTTCATTTGAACAAAATTATCTTAAAATTATGTTTTTATCAATTAAAGTAATTGAAATTCAAACTGATTTTCCAGTATTCCAGTGTTCAAGAACCCCCAATAAGCCTGGAACCTGAATATTTTTGTATAAGTGGTGATAATGTACACATTATTTTCATAATTTTATATATTTTATCCTCGAGTTGTATTTTAATTTTAAGTAAAATTATCAATGAATACTATTAAATATCGTCTTTTTTTGCTAATGAACTAAATTCCTATTCCACACAATCTGGAAATTGTGCACACGAACATTTAAGGTTTTAAATAGGACATTGCTATCTTTGCATGGAGGGTCGCTTGACATTACGGTTACAGTCCCTTTAAGTTCCACTTTATCTTAATTAATTGCCATATAAAAATATCACCGTTTTTATCTATATATTTTAAGATGCTTAAAACGCAATTTCTCAGGTTAAAGTTTAAAAAGTATCAATATGTACTCATTGTAAATTGTGACTTTCCATTTATAGAGTGGAATGCCCGATTTACAACAGTACCCTGAAAACTTTGTATAATAAAAAATTAATATCCATGTTTTATTGAAAATGTGTTACTTAAATTTGGTTTCTTAAAAAAAATATTTGCTTTAGGAAAAATGAAGAAAATTGTCAGATTTAACAACTTTCAAAATTATGTTTTCCACAGTATTAATCAGATAAAGGTTTAAAGGGTACCATTGTAAATAGGGTATTAAAAATTACATCACTCCCAATGAGATTAAGAAATATGTATTTGATTTCCTATCCATGTCACAGTTTCCCAGCAGCCAGGAAAAGTTGAACTTCCCTAAATATTCCAATAATTTAAAACACTAAAAACTACTTGTAAAAATTCTATATTGTTTACATCATAGATTCATAACAATACAGATAGAACACTAGATGTCATCTTTTCAAGATTTAGGGATTTTTCACTCACAATAACCCTGAGGCAGAAGCCCAAAGGAGTTATACACATTCCGCGTTCAATTACAAGACAGAGAGAACATGTGCCCGTAATTACTTTGAGCTTCTGGCTTCGGGTTATTGTGAACGAAAAACCCCTAAATCTTTAAAAGACGACATTCCAAAAATCCTTATAATTGACCTCGTATGTTATATAGTCTTCAGTTCTAGGCAATACTTGATGTAAAGAGAAGGTTGGTACTTTCACTATATCTCCTCTGTGCAATAACTAAACATAACATCGGAAGTTATATTGGTAAACGTTTTAAGCTCAGCTCAAAAATACTCACATAATACTCGAAAATACTCACATAATACTCACATAATACTCACATAATACTCACATAATACTCAAAAATACTCACATAAAACTCGAAAACCCTTGTTTTTTTCTGTAAGCAAATTTTTAAGATGACCTTATTCAGCCTACACGTAAAAATTATTGGTAAAAGTAAAAAAATAGCTTTTTGTGGGGGGGGGGGTTATAGAGGGGGTAGACATTTTCACTAATGTCTAGATTCTGCATCGATGACTTTATCACTGATATCTACATCAGGGACATTTTCACCAATTCTACATTCTACATCGGTCAGAAAAAACTCGATTTAGTACATGGCATCGACATTGAAAAATTCTAAAATTATTCCAGTCCAAATAAAAAAAAATAACAAATAATACAAATGCAATGCTAATCAGAAAGATCTAGAATTAATTTACAATTAATCAGACGACTTTACAACCTAATTTTACAAATATGATGAAACAAAATAACCTAGTCCTGACTTTACAACCTAATTTTACAAATATGATGAAACAAAATAGCCTAGTCCTGACTTTACAACCTAATTTTACAAATATGATGAAACAAAATAGCCTAGTCCTGACTTTACAACCTAATTTTACAAATATGATGAAACAAAATAGCCTAGTCCTGACTTTTACAAAATGTGGTCTGCCTTTTTTCATCATTTAAAATTCCCTTCCCCTCTATTTGTGGAAAAATTTTGTCAATACAAAAAGAATTAATTTTTATCATTTTTTTACAAGGGAAAAGGAATAGACAAAAAATATTCCAAAAATCAACATTAAAGATTATTGGTAAATGCAATATAAATATCTTTTATTAGCTAGATTTTTGTGTTTTATGTTTGTTAGACTATTTTAAATGATACCTTTGTGTGCATACAGAATGAAGTGTGGGGGGAAGGATAAAACATTTTCTTTATTCTTTATTTTAATATTTTAATATTGTTGCGCCCGAATCCATTACAGTTTTTATCTTACCTTATCTAGATGAACAGATATGAAATCAAAATCTGATTTCCTGTATAATGATTCCGTTATCTGTACAAGAATGGCGAATGCTACTAGACCATTAGGGTTCTCTCGAGCTATGCTCATGTTCGGGTACAGTTCTAGATAATATAGATAGATGTTAGGGAGAACAGTTCTAGATAATATAGATAGATAATAGGGAGAACAGTTCTAGATATTATAGATATGGGAATAATATTTTGGTTCAGTTTCAAACACTCAGAGTTTTTAAAAAAGTTTTTTATTTACAGTGAAACCCTTAATAACGATTGACAATTTTCCAATGAGTTTTATACTATATTACGTAAATTTCAGTATTTGCGAAAATAAATAAATAGCCATGAATATGCGGGAACAGTTTTAAAGAGTTCCATATAATCATTTAATTAAAAAACTAAATATCTGTAACATTCCATTATCAGACAGTGAAGAATACGACATTTTATGAATTCTTTCGATGTATTCTTTATTAAGGGTTTCACTGTATAATCTTAGTCATTATTGATAAAAGACGAAAAGAAAGTCGTCACTAGCCCTGTACTGTGTTGTATTTGTACCACATTATATTGGGATATTTAAAAAACTTTAAAAGACTTAACAAATTAAAAAAGTATATGATGGTAATCATAAAAAGTTGCTTGCAATATGATATGGGACGCACCGCGTACAAATTATTCAAACCATAATTTGTAATCATATTTTTAATTTCCGAAAAAAGAAAAGAAAATAAACTCAGTCAAGAACTAAACTTGAATTTGACATTAATGTAAACCCACACTAACATCGTTAATTAGTATAGTCATTTCAAGATTGTTTATGTGGTTAAAGGGCGTAACTATAGAGTCTGATTTGATTTGATTTGTAAAGAGGAGGAACTGGAATGTTAGTCTTTCTTCAAAGAATATCATACCTGAGTTGAATCCATATATTTGAATTTCAGCTGGGAATGATTGTTTATTGACCGTATGTTCAGAACCAGGGTTCCCTGTATTTGCCCAGTGAAAGTACATCTCCTAATCAATGAACAGAATTAACAATCTAAAAATACATATTTAAACATTACACCCCAAGAATTGAAAGGGAGATGCAATATCGAAATATATTTTTTAATCTGAGTTAGGAGTATAACATCCGAGTGTTATCTTAGCAGTCTATGAATTCTATATAATAAATACCAAAAATAAAATACATAGTTAAACTTTCAAAACAATAAAAAAATTCTGACTTTAATCTAAAGAAATTTCTTAATGTAGAAGGCTAGAGACGGCATTAACTTTAAGATTGGTCTTGATCTATGAATATAAAAAAGTTAAGGAAAGAAACTGAAAGACGGACGGTTTTATGTAAATGTCGTCTTTCTTAATGCATTAATAAAAGTATATACATAGATTAATACATAGATTAATACATAGATTAATAACAACACAGAAAGAACACTATAATAAATATAATCTTTTCAAGGTCTAAGGGTTTTTCGTATGCAATAACCCGGAAGCAGAAGCCCAAAGAGGTTCCACTTTTTTGGGCTTTTGTCAAAGAGTTATTGTGAACGAAAAACCCATAATTTTGAAAAGACGACATATGGTATTATATCTGTGTTGTTTTTAAACTATGGCCCTAGACTTGAAATATTTGTTGTAAACTTCTATAACTGAATTGAAGGCAAAATTGATAATTCCTAGATAAATTGAAGGGACTGTTCCTCAATTAAAAATGCAAATAATGATGTCCCTGTGGGGCATCGAGCGGTGAGAATAAGTTCTGTGCATCACATAACCGCTAAGTTTCACCCATAATTTTTTTTTGCATAATTTACAGCATTATTTTGTTTCTTTTACCAATATTATAAATGAAGTTTCTTTTTACCTTGAATCTATATTGGTATGTAAGAGGACCTCCTGCTATACCAATATCCTGACCCTCCCCCTCATCTACTCTATATACCAAGGACTGTCCTAAGTTTTCATTTTTTTAAACATTCAGGATATTTAAGATTTCAGGAGGCTTTTATTCCTTGATTTTGCTTTGTTCAGGCTTTAAAATTCTCCAAAACTAAAATGAACGAGGGGGGAAGGCAAGCCGTCCGTATAGCCTCGATCCCGCAATTTATTCATTAACATAGAGTTGCGGCAACGCGCTCACCCGTAGTGCTTCCTAGTCGCACCACTATATACTCCGGCAAAATGTTTTGATCTAATCTAAACATATTTTTGAAGGAAGAGAGAAATTTAATTTTTACTAGAAATAACACAGTTTTGCGTTCAATTCGGTTTAAATCTATCTAAATATATCTATCTATCTATTTATCTGATTTTAGATAATTTCAAACCGATTCGCATGCAAAACTACGTTATTTTTAATAAAGATCGAATTTATGATATGATTAATATGTTTAGGGTATAAAAGATGCCATGAAGTCTTTGAATCTTAAATTAACTCATTCTTTCTCTATAATAAGCATTTCAAAGTAAAGACATTTTGCCACAATCACGATCAAGATAAAGTCGAGTGAGGGGCGAAACATGTTGAGGGTGGGGGGGGGGGGGCGAAATCAAGTTTGCTCCCCCCAAGTTGCATCACTTTACATCATGTTCTAATTCTCTGAAGCCTTGGTTAACTATCTTATAATTATAAAATAAAATGGTTTACCATAGATTCAGAGAATTTTAAGATGTTTTACCTTTGTTTCTGAGAATAACAATATGCAATAGTTTCAGTTTGTTATAAGATGGGTTATGTTAGCCTTTGAGAATCTTAAGACGGTTTACCAAAGACTCAGATAATTATAAGATGGTTTACCTTAGCTTTTGAGAATTTTAAGACGGTTTACCAAAGACTCAGATAATTATAAGATGGTTTACCTTAGCTTTTGAGAATTTTAAGACGGTTTACCAAAGACTCAGATAATTATAAGATGGTTTACCTTAGCTTTTGAGAATTTTAAGACGGTTTACCAAAGACTCAGATAATTATAAGATGGTTTACCTTAGCTTTTGAGAATTTTAAGATGGTTTACCAAAGACTCAGATAATTATAAGATGGTTTACCAAAGTTTCAGTATAGTTATGAGCTGATGGTGTACCTTAGTTTTAAAGAATTTTACCATGACTTACAAGAAGTATTGTAAATCAGGTTTCAGAATATAAAAATATTTTACTTAAAGGGACCGTTCACTTATTTGGGTAATTTCAGGGTAGATGAACGGTCCCTTTAAAATAGTCATCAAATCTTATATCTAGTGATCACACATCTTTGGAGACTTTACAGCAATCCTCTGTAGTCTGAAGTATACAATTGTGCAGTTCAGAATTTGGATAAAGTCTGGCTTTTTACGACAACTGTAGATGTAGATAGAAAAAGTTATGTAAAAAATAACGAAGATTTACAAGCGCCCAAAATTGTTAAAAATACCGAAAAAAGGTGCCTGACCTGAATTTTAATTGCAGGCCAGGACGTCTTAGGGAAAAGTTAAGGCATATGTCAAATTCTTCGTCATAAAATGAGGATTAAAAATAAAAAAAACTTTTCAGACCCCTTTAAGCGCACTGCCCCAGTATATCTTCTGGCAGAGTCACCCTTATCCATGAATTTAAGATAATTAGATACTGGTAATCGCATATTTTTGTGGAGTCTCAAAAATAGTAAAAAAAGCCTTGAATATTTTAGAAGGAATACTTAAAAAGTTATGTCCAACCTGTATTCATAAACTGTCCAGTGACACTCTTCTTCTCTACCCGAATACTATCCAGGGATCCATCATAGTTCAGGTTTATTGGATCAATATCTATAGGAGATTGTAGTTTACCCTGCAATACAATGTGTTTTTTTATCTCGAAAAATCCGTTTCGTATCTCAAATTACGTTTTGGTTTAATTAAACTGAATTGAGCTCAAGTAGATCAATGTAAATTGATCTACGTGAGCTCTGAGGATAAGCATAATTAGAGTTTCATTTCTCAGAAAATTTTGGGGTTCATGAGTCATGAAGGATTGCAAATATTAGTATTTTTCATCGTCAATTAAAATTTTTTGTTCATTTATCTCTAGATGGAATTCATAAAAAATCATGTAATAACTTTTTTTATTTTAAGCCAAAATCAGTTGAATTTATGCAGAAACAATTATTAGTAATTGATTTTACATATAAAACATGTCATCATTGCAAAATTTGTAAGATATCCTTTTATTTCATACTAGCTGACGGGCCAAGCGTTACCCGTGAAAAAAATCTTAATTTTTTAGCCTCAGACAACCCCCGGCCACAAAAAATGTCAGACCATTCGGTCAAGCCGTTTGGCTGGCTAGGGGGAACATATATACGAATGTCTTGTTTTATTAAATAGATATAAAGATATACATTGCGTGTGTGGGTGTCTGTTTGTTTGTTTGTATCAAATAAACGTCAAAACACCAAAACCGTTCGGGCCCAATTTTTTGTGGGACCTCACGTGACCCATGGGAAGTTTTTGGATGTTCGAATTTTCAAAAATTTGTCTCTAATGAAATTCGATTTTTAAAAATTTCAAAAATCCACGAAATTTTTTTTTTGTTTTGTCTTACAATTTATACAAAGAGAAAATGTATAAAATTGAAAAAGAAGATGGGCGCGAAGCGTCAAAAAACCTATACATATACTTTGCTTGTTTTTTTGTTTGTATCCAATAAACGTAAAAACGCACAGACCGATCGGGCCCAAATTTTGTCTGGGACCTCACATGACCGGCTCAGGGAAGGTTTATTGATGATCAAAATTTTCAGAATTAGCCTCCAACAAAATACAATTTTCATAAAATTTTGAAAATCCAAGAAATTTTTTTTTAAATCCGCAAACTTTTTTGTTTTTGTTTTACAATGTAAACAAAGAAAAAACGTTCACAGTTGAAATAGAAAATGGGCGCGATGCACCCTGATAGCCTAAAATAGCTATAATCTTCTTCAATTTTTAAGGCACAATAAAGGTAGATTAAAAAAATAGTGAGGCATCAGTCTTGTTTGCTCTCATGTTATGCTTTCAATATTGGAAGCCAAATTTATTAGGACAACTTATTAGCAGAAAATCTAGAATTAAAAAAATCGACAGAAGATAATAATGTATAAATGTAATTTTCAATCTTGTACAAATGTAGGATCGTTAAAATCGTTAAGATCTACATTTACAATTAAGTGAACCTTCTTATCAATTGATGTCATAACTCCAAAATTTTTAGATTTCAAAATACAGAAAAAATAATCCACTATCATGTCGTAGAGTTTTAAAGTTTAAAACAAGAAAATTGGCATCAATTTTCATTGAATCAAGATGAAAGTGCCTGATTATAATTTTTTTGTTGAATAAGACATGTCAGAATTAGGAATTCAGATATTTCTTATGGAAGCGCAATAAAACCCCCTATTTTCATAAATCCATACCAAAAACCTGATACTTAGTGTCAGTTAACTCTGTTATCAGGTTCACAAAATCAGAAACCTCGGAAACAAATTAGAAATTTACCCGAAAAGCCAAATATTGAATATTGAATGTTCTGTCTGATTAATAAGTAATCCCCCCCCCCCCATTCTGCCTGTAAAATTTGGTCTGAATGATAAGACGGGGCATTCAAGAAATATTCAATAGGATCAATCACAATGAGGCTTTGAAGACGACCATACATAATTTACCCAGGCGTTATTCTTACATTCTCTGTTCTCTGCAACGAGGGAGAGGTGACTGATCTCAGGTTTTGGAATTGCTCCCAGGGTTTTAGAGTGCTGCCAGGATTTTGGAGTTGTTCCCAGGGTTTTGGAGTAAAATGTGAAAATTTATCCGACCATTTCAGAAAAGTCCTTTAAAAGGGGACTTTAAAACCGAAAATTGAAAAAGGTCTCTGCTACCGGTATACCCCTTTTTTACTGCCTTTGTTCAGATTAGGGTTTCCACGAAATGGCTAAATCTTTTGCGCAAAATTTGCGCTATTTTCGCGCAAATTTTATTTTTGCGAACTTTTGCGCTATTTTTGCGCATGAAACGCAATGAGTTTTGCGCGGTTTTGCGCTATTTATTTTGCGCAATTTGCGCAAAACCGGAAATATTTTTTGCGAAAGTTGCGCATGAAACGAAATTTTAGTTTTGCGCAATTTGCGCAAAACCGCAAGTTTTACGCAATATGTAACTTTTTAGGCACATTGTCAAAAATTGATATTCTAAGCTTAGAATTAAACAACTGAAGATTTATTCCATATAAAAAAAAAAAATATTAACATACGAGTATGATAACGATTATACCACACTCAATTGGTTACTTCCAGTTACAAAAAGTTTAAATTAAGGGACCAAAATTAATAAAATAGAAATTAGAGAGTGTGAAACTTGGCAATATTTTAATCCTATTAAATAATTTCAAGTGACCCGGCCTTAAAAGCTTTGCTTAATATGCAAGTTTGAATTGTATTCTTAAATTTCTTTAATCAAATTTCTGAAATCTTTTTAATCTCGTATAAAATAATGCAAGAAAGTAACCAATGCCTGAAGAATCCACTTTTAGGAAATATGCATGTCCAAAACTAAAATTGTCGAGAAAATTGTGAGATTTTAACTCTTCTTAACTGTCATTGGTCAATTATGTAAAAGTGACCAATAGGAAGACATTCCAAAACAAGATTTTTCCAGAATTGAATTCTAAGAAACACACACCGTCACCAACCGTTTGATTTTTACGAAATTGCGGAATTGCGGATTTGCGCAAAACTCTTGTTGCGGAATTGCGCAAAATTTGAGTTTCGCAAAAGTGGAATAGGGCAATTTTGCGCGAAATGACTTTTGCGAATGATTGCGCAAATTGTTGTTTTTTCGCGCAAAATTGATGCGCAAAGAAAGAAAAATATTGCGTTTCGTTCCGCAAAAATTGCGCAAAAGTTTTGCGAATGGAAACCCTAGTTCAGATATTTGCAGAAAAAAATGCAAATTTCAGTCCAAGTAGCCTGTGGCGATCATATAGTTTTGATTAACTCCCTTTTTTAAGGGAGTGACCGGCTATGTAAGGTCCGGTAATTGAATTGAGTATGCAGTGTTGTCGAAAACTTCTTTAGAACTCATTTGAGACATATTTCACTTTTTAAAGATTAAAATCCTGAGTTTGAGCGCAAATTCGACGTTCAAAACTTCTGATTGAACAAGATTACTTATTTTCGATGATAAGATTAATTTTTATTTTCTCACAATGTTCCTATCATGACGTCTGTAATTTATTGTAGAATATTTTTACATTTTATGTCGTCGTTAATTAATAATTGAAAAAAAACTAATTCTGAAAGCGTATCCACCCCCAAATCAGGAGTTTTGAACGTCGAATTTGCGCTCAAACTCAGGATTTACAGACTTTTAAAAAGTGAAATATGTCATGATTCCAAAAGAAGTTTTCCACAACACTGCGCCTCAGTTCAACTACTTTACATAGCCGGTCACTCCCTTTAAAGGACTGTTCATAAAAGGTCGGATAAATTTTCACATTTTAATCCAAAATCCTGGGAGCAATTCCAAAATCCTGGGAGCACTCCAAAACCCTGGGAGCAAATTCCAAATTCTGCAGGTGTTAACTGTTTGTGTTCCTTAGTCAAATCTTTAATTAAATATAGGCCTAGGCAATTTGCCGTTTACAATGACAGCCGTTATGCGTTAATTTTGCATGCCTAATGTTTACATGTAAAACTTATGTTAGCTAGCAGATGTGTGTCTTTCTATGAGACTATTGAAGCAAGTTCTAAGCTTTGCATTAGATTTCTTTCTAATTTATGTAAAAATGACCTCAACACAGTTCTTGGCAGAAATTTATTTTCTATTGCAAATGATTGTTCTGTAAATTCTTCGGATCTTAGTAAAATGTTAGTTTAGAAACAAATGAAATATTTTAATGTCCCATTGGAACATGAGTGGAAAGTTCCGGTTTTACAAGAACTTTTAAATACAAGAATGAATAATTTATATGTTGAAGGATTCGATGATTACGTAATAACTGAAATAATAAATATGTTATGCAGTGAGTAAAAATAAATGTTTTCTATTTGTGCATAATTTTGCATATTTTTTCTCTTTTCTTTCGGAAAACTGTATTTTCAAAAAAAAATTATTTAAACAAATTTAAACTACACCATTTATATATGTGTTTATATCTTTGTGTGTGAATAAATCTTTATAATATAATAATATAGCCCAGCTGAGTTCAAAAACTATGAACCTTTCATCAAATGTTTACACCATCTAACCTTTCATTTTATCTATTTATTAATGCTTTCATTAAATGGTATAAAAATCTAATGAAAGATTATAGTATTTGAATTCAGGTTATATTAGGCATACATTAATTAACAGCCGTCACCATTAACGACAAATTGCCCGAGTTAATTTATACCCCATAAAAGTTCACACTATATACAATGCTGAAACCAAATTCAGCCTTCAGCATTCTTATAGTTTAAGGTCGTCAATACTTTTTGGGTAACCCTATATCGGTCAGATTGGTTTAGAAAATTCTCCGTGTTATATAACCTTAGCGCATGTAGTCCAATCTGGGTTCATGAGACCCCAGTAATAGGGTCCGGAAATTCCTTCATAGGTCCACCAGCCTTCCCAGTTACAGGATATACTTCCGATACAAGTTAACACTAACAGTACATTCTGCAGTACACAAGAGGTACTTTTCTTCGTCATTTTTATCTAATTGAAATCATTTTTGGGAAGGGTTAAAGGTATGAAAATGGAAGTGAATAGTTTAGGGAATTGGTAAATATAAAAGTAGGAGCAGTAAGAAAAAGAGAAGATAGGTAGAAGCCGGAAGGTAAAGAGAAGGTAGGTAGAAGTCGGAAGCTAAAGATAGGTGGAAGCCGGAAGGTAAAGAGTCAAACGTTATGGAAACCCAACGTATAGAAACAAGGCATATTTTGCGGAAGAATATTTTTTATAGTTTTGAAATTTTTTTTGTAAATATTAAGTAGCTTCATTATCATTATTTTGTTGTTTGTTTAACATACCCTGCACATTAAAGGAGGGAAATAGTTAAATGATTATCAATGCTATTTGCTTAATTTTCACTTTTCAAATATTCTTCGGTGCTCCACAAAATAAAATGGTAAAGGAAGACAACTTCTCATAAATATACAGTGCTCCCCAAAATAAAATGGTAAAGGAAGACAACTTCTTATAAATATACAGTACAGCAATGCATTTTCCCCACTCAAATTTGCCATTTTATTTTGTGGAGCACTGTATTTTTATAGAGGAGTTATCTTCCTTTACCATTTTATTTTGTGGAGAACCGAATATTTGAAAAGTCGACTTCATGGCCATTTATTTTGGGGAGCACTGTATTTTTCTGAGAAAAGTAAATTGTCCCTGACATGCATAAATATTCCGCCAGCATTTTCTATAATGTCCCTTTTCATGTTTTGTGACAACAACGTAAGCTGTCCCGCAAAATACACCTTGCGGCTATACATAGCGGTTTCTATACGTTGGGTTTCTATAATGTTTGACTCCTTATAAAACGATAGGTAGGAGCCGGAATAAAAATAGAAAGTAGGTTATATGGAGCCACAAGCTAAGGTAAAAGTAGGTAGGAGCCAGAATTTAGGGCAAAGAAACGATTAAAGGACGTGTAGGAGAAAGAAGGTGAATGGTAGGGTAAAGGTCGATTGGATGAAGCAGAAAGGTAAGGTAAAGGTATGCAAGGAAGGAATGTAGCGTAAAGGTGTAAAGTAGGAACAGGAAATATATAATGTTTGAGACGACGTGTAGAACTAAATAGAAAGAATACCCAAACCTCTTGGAAATCTCTACGAACATCACAGAGGGAACGAGATGAGGACCCACTAAACCACCCATTTTCCAATAAATTCGAGGCTGTATCCAGTGCCCATCTTAGAGAAACATTGGGGGCCGGGGGGGATACGTTTGTGTAGATTAAAGTCAAAAAATATATAATCTAGTTATTTTGAAAATGATAAAATAATAAGAATTTTCATAGAATTATTCTGATGGCTAATACTAATGTATATAGAAATAACTTCTCCCCCCCCCTAAACCTCTGGTCTCCGACATTCCCCATTCTTCTTGGAAGAACGGGTCTAGAGAATTTAAGCTAAAATTATATGCACATGACAATCAAAAGTCGGTGACGTTGAAATGACCAAAATGAAAATGATTATATGGAGATAAATTGAAGGAATGAATAATAAACAAATTTACATTTTTTTCCGGCAAAATAATTTTTTATCATTTGTCATGGGCCCAACCAAAGTGGGGCAGTGTCGAGGATGAGTTCTCACCTCACCGGCCCCTACTCTTCTTCTCACCCCTCCCCCTCTAGTCTCTACCTCTCCTTCTCCCCTCTCCCCCCTCAATTGGTAATCAACATAAAATTTTGTTTTATGAGATTTTATTTTTATGCATTTTTATAAACACAGTTTTCGGATGGTTTTGTTTTCGGCGTCTATCGGGGTTTCATGGCATATTGACTTAAACTAGATTTTCAATTTGTTTCCAGATTTATTTGGTCAACAAAAACTAAGAAACATATAGCCAAATCTTAGTTCCAATTCGCTGATTTAATGACTGCATTTCATGATTCGAGTTAAGGTACTAAAAGGCCAGGCTGCCTGTTTACTAAAAATTATCTCATCCCGCGCAAAGTAATATTTATTTCCATTTAAAAGATATATTCAAAAAACCTTACCATCTACAACAAACCCAAAGAGAATAGAATTCAAAAATCTTACCAGTTTTTAGATGTTTGTATTCCCCAATACTCGAGTTCAACATCTACAACAAACCCAAAGAGAATAGAATATATATTAGAGGGGAATTTACTCGAAAAAAGTGTAAAACGGCCATTTTGTTGTACTGTTTCCATACTGCAGGTTTACTTCACATATTTATGCTATATAACCTTTTGGGCCCTGGAATATCATTTTATAGAAAATATAAAATTTATATTAAAAGAAACCCAAATTATGAAATAGGCTGGTTTCATAACTGACCAATGATCATTTCACATAGACTCTATGCCTTTCACTTTACAAACGATGATTTTCCGTTATAACTATAAATCAAATGATGTTTTTTATTTACCTAATTCATTATAAAGTTTATTTAACAGCTTTAAAAAATTCGAAATTGAAATGGATAGTCTAGGGAACATACCGTATTAACCGTCTATGTCCGAACTTAATATTTTTCAAAATATTTTTTTAAATTTTAATTTTTTTTAGAAATGTTCCCTCAGGAACAGAACTATTTTTATTTTTGCATACAATGCATAGTTTTAGAGATAGGCCTGGACAGCTGTCGATATCGACCGCTTCGTCAACGTACGGGATTTTAAAATGGCCAAAATCGACTGCTCCAGAACAAAGCAAAGTTTGTATTTTTTTTCTTTAAAAGTAAATATATCTATAGTTAAACATTGAAAACAGCTTGTTTGTAGTTTGTGGTTCAAATATCTTGACACACGTGGACGCCTAAAAGAGGGGGGGCAATTACCCCCCCCCGTCCCCCTTTTATAACATTACTCATCCCCCTCCACTTTCATAATATTACTCAGCAGTCAGCCCTGGTTAAGTGAAATCTTGGGGGGTTTCAGACCCCCAAATAGTTAGGAGCCCCATAAAAAAGTTTTAAGTCCCCTCTGTACAAAATCCTGTATACACCCCTGTTATCTTCTAGAACTAGTTTTCATAAAATTTATTCTAAGTATTATATATACCGTTCAGAAATTATTCATTTTCTCCCGTACATTACCATAAATCATGTTTCCTTCCCATCCCGTCCCTCCCTTCCCATCCCTCCCTTCCTCCTATAGTATATGTTTAACGTTTATGGATCATGTATAATATGTATATTTTATGATTTTTTTTTATTTCCCTGCAGTGACACATGAAAATTTGTAATTTGTTATATTTCAAAGCATTAAAATGTCAAAATTCTTTCAGATAATTCATTTTGGTACTTAATTTTTAGAAGACAGCCCCTGTTAGGTAAGTTTAGCAATCCCGGGCACAGGAAACCTTTTTGCTGAGTTTATGTGCCGATGGCAAAGTTGGCGGGTAAAAAATTCTGGACTTTTTATGTTCACCATCGGTTTTAGGAGACTTAATGTTTGTAGGGGGGGAGGGGGCTAACCCAAATTTTTTTGTTGTATTGTATAAACCTAGCTGACCAACCAACTGACGTCACCAAGACGTCAGGGCGACGTTGTCTCTAGTCACCGCGGTCAGCTCATTTAAAGTAATTATTAAATCTAGCAAGACAAAATTTTACACTTAAAACAAGTTTTAAAGCATTGATTTTTATCTTAAAGCTAAAAGAATTTTGTTACTTATTCCCGCACATTTAAATTTTTGAACTTTTTCCTTTTTAAAGTCAATTATTATTAAAAGATTATTTTTTGTACAGTCTTTGGCGGGCTTCGAACTGGGTTCCGTGGGGTTCGAACAGGCTTCTGAGGAGGTCGAACAGGGTTCTGCTAACTACCTGGGTTCGAACAGGATATTGCGGGGTTCATGGTCCCATGGCCCCCCTCCCTCTTTGGTGTTTCAATGGATTTCATAATAGAGTTTAAAATAACTCCGGGAATGGAACTATTTGAACAACAACATTTCACTGAGCTATATATCATATTGACGAGAACTGAAGAAGGACATGAGAAGGACTAAACTAACTTAAATTTCTCTCTACAGAACTCATGTACACCACAAGTACTCAATGACATAAGAACAGCCAATGGTCACAACCGACCTAGTTAATCTATATCATCTATATAATAGGAATATCTTTAAAACATCTCTGTACATTTATATATATTTCAGGATGAAAAATGTCGTCTTATGTGCAATCTATCTTTGTCTATGTTCTACACCCATTTTTCAAGGGCTTTTAAAAAATATAGTTTTCAGATCTGTAGCTTTAGTCTGGGCTATTTAAGATTATTTCACATACTCGGTTTTTTATCTCCCTGCACCCTAGCTTATGCATAAAAAAATTTCAAAAAAATCCTTTAATTTTCTGTTTATGAAAAGTCAAAAAATTAGTAAAAAAAAACTAGAGAGGGGAGCCAAACGCCCCCGTCTGTTTTTTGGTTAAGAGCTCCAGGTCGTCATCATTGTTTCATGCACTGTCATGTTTATGTTTCAAGTTAAATTCATGCCCTAGAAACTTAATATTTTGACATATTTTGTTGCTAATAAATTGAAAACCTACAAATTTGAAAATTGTCAAATGTTTGCAGTCATTATCATCGAATTCTCTTTAAATAAAGAAAGAGAATCTAAAAATTGGTCAATTCCAATTCCCCCTTAGAAATACGATCACTTTATATACAAGTGTACAGTATTAGATACGTAAACATATCGTGATGTATACAACCGACCACTCTATTAATTGAGTCACGGAAGTTCGTAGTAAGATTTTGACTCCACTGGAGACCACTGGAGGGAATTGATCACTGGGGTTTGAAAAAATACTTTTTACAATTAAAAACTTTACGCAGGGTGATTTACATTCCACCGGAGGGATTCAGATATCTTTCCAGGGCGTTTATAATTCCACTGGAGGAGTTCAGATATATTTCCTAGAGGTTTATAATTCCACTGGAGGAGTTCAGATATATTTCCTAGAGGTTTATAATTCCACTGGAGGAGTTCAGATATATTTCCTAGAGGTTTATAATTCCACTAGAGGGATTCAGATATCCTTCCTGGAGGTTTATAATTCCACTAGAGGGATTCAGATATCCTTCCTGGAGGTTAATAATTCCACTGGAGGAATTCAGTTATCCTTCCTAGGGGTTTATAATTCCACTGGAGGGATTAAGATATCTTTCCAGGCGGTTTATAATTCCAATTTGCATCAAACTTTTTAACTCGGAAAAAAATCCAGTTTTTTAAGTAAAGAGAACCCCTAAAAAATACGTAAAAATACGTAAAATAAAAACCTTAAAACTTTGAGATATTACTTGGTATGAAATTTACGAAAAAAATACGTATTTTTAGGTTTGCATCAAACTTTCATTCTCTAAAAAATACAACTTTTTAAGGTAAAACCCCCTAAAAAATACGTAAAATAAAAACCTAAAAACATTTCTTGGTATGAAATTTACGAAAATATACGTATTTTTAGGTTTGCATCAAATTTCAAACTCTAAAGAAAATACAACTTTTTAAGTAAAGAAAACCCCTAAAAATACGTAAAATACATAAAATAGAAACCTGAAAACTTTGAGATATTACTTGGTATGAAATTTACAAAAATATACGTATTTTTAGGTTTGCATCCAACTATTTAACTCAAAAAAATACAATTTTTCCAACTCTAAAAAAATACGACTTTTTAAGTAAAGAAAATCCCTAGAAAATTTCTTGGAATAAAATTTACGAAATTATACGTATTTTTAGGTTTGCGTCAAACTTTTAAACTTAAAAAAATACAATTTTTTAAGTAAAGAAAAAACCAAAAAATACGTAAAAATACGTAAAATAAAAACCTCAAAATTTAGAAAAATTACTTGTTAATAGATACCTTTCTGGAAAACCAAAGCATTCAAAAAAAATTGTTTGGTTCTTTAACCAAAAGTTGAGCATACGTATTTATATGTAAAAATACCTATTAATACATATACTTATATAGAAACTTTGGCATTTTTAGGTTTTCAGGTTAGTAGGGTAGCAAAAAAAATATAGTTCAAATGATCGCTAAAAAGTAGTTGCTCATTTGAATTATATCTTTTTGTTTTATTTAAAATATTTTTTTTCCTCAATTGAACTATACTTTTGCTTCTTTGAGCTATTTTTTGCTCATTTGAATTATTTTTTGGTCATTTGAACTATTTTTTAGCTCATTTGAACTATATCTTTTTGATCATTTATTTGCTCGTTTGAACTTTTTTTTTAGTATAACTTGAATTATTTATCTTGATCATTTGAACTATTTTTTTCTATTAACTGAAAGCTATGTTTTTCTCCGAACTATCTTTTTTCTCATTTAAACTATTAAATGTTTCATTTGCACTATTTTTTGGTCTTTAGAATTATTTTTATGTCCATATTTGAAATATATTTTCGATCATATGTAAACTATTTTGTGATGATTGTTTGACATATTTTTTTTCATGAAATATAAAAATTTTAAACTGCATTAGTTCAAATGAGTGAATAGGTCACAATGTGTTGTTTGAAATACAGGAATAAGGACGTCATTATCAGTAGTTAGAATGGTTCAAATGCGGTTCCACTTTCATTTTAAAAATTCTACGTGGATATTTTGGCCGATCAATATAAAAAACTGAAAATTCTTATTGGACGGGATTTTGTAGTTATACCCGTCCGAAATAAAAAGTTTTATTTAAAGCAAACTACAGTTAAGAAAATCTATATATAAATTTGTCTTGTCTGGGTGTTTTTCTGTTTGGGTGTCTGTTTGTTTGTATCCAATAAACGTCAAAACGGCTAAACCGATCGGGCCCAAATTTTGTGTTGGACATCACGTGACCACAGGGAAGGTTTATGAATGATAAAAATGAAAATAAAAATGTGTTTTAAAGGTTTTTAATTTTGTAAAAAAATTTAAATTCTTGAAAATCCGCGAATATTTTTAAAAATCTGCAAAATTTTTTCTTCTTTGTTTTAAAATGTAAACAAAAAGAACCATGTTCACAATTTAAATAGAAGATCTAATTAGAAATTTTTACAATAATCATCAAATATTTCACTAAATATCCCCTTCACCCCCCCCCCCCCCGAAAATTGAGTTGCGCTTAAATGTTGTGATGGTACCGTGCTCATGATCAGTGATCACCCTTTAGATCACATGATTCGTTTCCTAGTCTCCTAGACTCCCTAGTCTGTATTAGTTAGATCCAGATCTCAGATATAAGTGTACATCTGTTCACTTACCCACAATTCCAGGGGGTATTGAACACATTTCGAGAACTCAAACTGTACATCTGTCTAAATGTACAGATTACATAAAGTGATAACACAAGTAAAGTATAAAGAGCCTAGTTTACCCGACAATTATAACAATTTTTAATTTCATCTGTTTATCAAGTAAATCACGATTGCAGTATGAAAAAAATTCACTCTTGTCGTCAACGGCAGTATAATTGAGAACCCAGCCGAACTTGCAGGCAGGGTTTATGATATTTTTTTCGATCTTCATTGCCGTTTTAAGTAGCCTTTTAGTATATATATGTATGTATATGTATGTATTTGTATGTATATGTATGTATATGTATGTATATGTATGTATATGTACGTATATGTATATATATGTATGTATATGTATGTATATGTATATATATGTATGTATATGTATATATATGTATGTATGTATATGTATGTATATGTATGTATATGTATAGTGATGTATGTATATGTATGTATATGTATGTATATGTGTATATAGTAGTATATGTGAAGCGAAAAATTCACATAAAAGATTATAATTGGACCAATCAAATATCGGAAAACGATTATTTGATTTTATAATCTACGCATATATAATATAATCCTGTTCAATTCTTATAGCTATAGCTTTACTTAAATGAGTTATATTCTTTTCAGAGTGTTGATTTGAATTCTAAATTATGAGGGAAAATAACGAGGACGAGGAGAACCAAAACCAAGGGAAGGTACAAGATCAAAATGAGCGAACCAGACTTTTGCCTGAAGGTAAATTATTCACTCCAAACTATATCATTGTGAGCAAAATCAAATTTATGCGGAACTACTAACCTGGTGTAAAACGTTGCAATCTTTTAACTCCTATGTTTGATCCTAAATTCAGCTGGGAATGGAGAAACGCAACAAAAAAACTCCTCTGAGAAGGGAGTTTTGATTGAAAACATTAAAGATTTTAATTAATTGTTCAGTTGGATTTGCAAACGAGCAAATCAATCTTTATTTAACTATTTCTCTAGATTATTGGGAAAATTATGAAATAAAACTGTAAGGAACTGTAAACGTAATTTTAAGTGACCCCCCATGTTAAAAACTTGGTCAGATTAAGGTTTAAAGGGTACCGTTGTAAATCTGGTATTGCCAGTTTTGCATGAAGGCTCGCTTGATATTACGCGTGTAGTCCTTTTAAATAGGTTTTGTATTAACGTTTGTTGATTTATTTAATAATAGAGGTTTTAATCCAGTAATAGGAAAAAATATTATTTTGCAATACATCCGAACTCTGATTATTTTTAAACCTAAAACTTTTCATTATATTTTAGTTAAGGGATAAGCATATTTTTAGATTACCTTGCACTATAAGAAAAATGGGCAATTTCTTTTTCACGCAATATGTTTTAGCGATCCTTACAAATGGCGATTTTGTTACAGAAACGATTTTAAAAGCTTAAACCCGAGAGAAAAAAAATGGCTTTAGCGGCCCAAGGACTGTTTTAAAATACGACTAAATTCTAGCAATTATTACAAAGTAAGATTTTGTTCACGGCAGCACTGTTCACGGCAACACTGTTCACGGCAACACTGTTCACGGCAACACTGTTCACGGCAACACTGTTCACGGCAACACTGTTCATGGCAACACTGTTCACGGCAACACTGTTCACGGCAACACTGTTCACGGCAAGACTGTTCTAAAAAAAATTCTCTCAATCAATAATATTTTGTTTCAAACTTAAACCTGTTTATTGCAATCCTGACAATTTTGGTTTGTTTACAATTGAAACCTGTTAAAGTAATTCTTACAAAATAAAATTTAGATTCAGGCTTAAAACTTATCTTAAAGTAAGATTTTGTAACTGTTTCTTGTCTAAATATTTTCTACTAATCTGCTAAGACGATTTTCTAGAAAAACACCTGTTCTGGCAATCCCTAACTAAAATAAGATTTTGTTTAGGGGCAACATTTTCTAACAATTCTTTTAATAAAACGATTTTGTTTAAGCAAACCTGAAAAATAGCAATCTTTAACTATATTCAACCAACCTGTTTTTGCAATCCTTACAATCCTAAACCAAATAGGATTTTTTTTAACCATCTTCCCTACTCATTTTCTACGATTGTTCAAACCTATCTTATGATAGAACACACAGTTCTGTTGAATGTAGATAAAAAATTAGCTTACCGAGAACATTATAGACGAATATATACAGAATTGTTTTATAAACTGAGCACTAGCCACTAAACTGTTCTGCATAATAACACGAACTATACAAACCATTATATTTACACTAAAACATATTAAGAATATAGCGATTAGCGATTGTTCTACGGTTTGAATAAAAGGGAGATAGTCTTTCTGAGGCTTCTCTGCCTCCTATGGCAGATGTATTCTCTGGCGTCCATTCGGTCTGAGCCTCTCGTCCATACTGATTCTATCTTGAGTTCAAACATGGCAAGTCCTCTCCCTCCACATTTTAGAAACCCGCTGGCCTAGTTGTTGGCCTAGATATATGCCACGCTGTTTACGGGTGGCTTGGGTTCTATCTATATATTCCTTCTTCTTCTTATAACAACTTTATTCAGTACAAAACAAATCGACAATAGTATTTTTCATTTATAGAATCATAGAGAAAAACGTCTCGTTCTACCTATTGCCGTACCGAGCTGCTTTTCGCACAGCTCTCCATTAATTAAGATCTGATCAAAATAATTTGCAAGCGTAGTTGCAGACTTTTCATCTATACATCTATATGAATAAAAGAGAGGGAAAAAAAACAAAGCAACAAAAAGGACATAAAATAAAAATCTAGAGTACTGGAAAACCGAAAAAATGGGAAATGACTTTTCATCTATATATTCCTAACATTTAAATACGGGGGCTGTGTCGACTGTCCTATGTACAACAAGAACTTTAACTTGTGGGGCAGTTTCAACCGCCCTATGTCCAACACGAACTATAGACAGTGAGGCTGCTATGCTCACATTACTGACCAAATCTATATTCGGCAGTTTACTTAAAATAGCTGTAATGAACGTTCATTATTGACGGAATATTGAATAAGTTTGTCAAGTTTAATGTCAATGTTAATAATTTGGTTAATTCCAGGTTCTCAGGGGCACGGAGAGGATCGAACAAACTTTTTTCTTTCTCCATCTTTAAATTCTATAGGTGAGCTAATAATGTGAAGGGATTTTTAGCATAATTATGAGTGAATTGGAGTGTCTGCAACGTTGTACTATAGGTCAACACTTTTTAGACGTGTTAGATGAAAATATTTAAGTGGTCAAAAATTTCATGAACGAGGTTGAAATGTCGAGTCGAGTCAAGAAAGGTTGAAAAGGATAGAGTTGTGATTTGTAAAGAACTCCTGGTTTCGTTTTCAGAATCACTTAAAATACTTTGATATTCCCGCAACTAAATTTTTGTAATATTTAAATTTTATCGCATCTTGCATGTGTGATGAATTTGTTCATATAAATGCAATGCGTTTTAGGAATAAAATAAAATTGAAAAGAAGTGTATTCTTAATGATTCAGGTTATTAAATTGGGCTCAATCCTGAAACAGGATCGATTCGTGAACCTCCATCCCCATTAGACTCAACTGTGCAAATTTTATAGCAAATTCTATTTTAAAATGAAATATAGATGAAATATTTGTTTTAAATTAAAAAGATCGGAGTATAAATAAGGCAAACAAACCCTTATCTTCCACCTAATATCCAACCCCTTCCTGAGCCCTTTCCTATCTTATCTTTTGCCCCCTTTCCCTTACTTTGATACCCCCTCCCCATTTTATTCCTCCTAGTTCACCTGAACAAACATGAACGTCTCCATGTCTCAAATAATGATTATGAATTGTATTCGGTTTTTTTAAATTGCAAGACATCATTATATTGCTCTGTGAATCTCATTTTGTACATAATATCATGTTCAACATTTTGATATTTTGTTTCAGGAGATATTCATAGTATATCAATGCCAGACAATCATGTTTATCCTTACCTACCCTCTGCACAGGAAACTGTTTATCCGCCTCCTATGGTAAGTTTAAGAGACCCATATAATAAATTTTTTACTGAATATTTTTTTTTTGTTGGTTTCTTAAGACTTTATTTGTCATTTTACAATTCATAGTTTCTTTAATTCATGGAATTGCCTCCCGCTACCTAGTGTCTAATTTTGCCTTTTTTTTGCTTTACTTGATACCCACTACTATCACATTAAACACTGTCACATTTAATTCATTTTTGATCCATTGTTACATTTCTTTTCCTACATGGTTATCCATGCGACTTTAATGACTACCGAAAACTCTTTGAATATACAGTTCATCCCCAGGCCTTAAATGTTTCGACGTAAAATTTTACTTAACCCTTCCAAATCTCTTTGTTGCTTGAAAGTTCAGAGACAAATGATTTAAAGAATGAAATCGTTCTTTTTCAGGGAATAAATAAATCGTTATTTTGTTTTATGGACGAAAGTTTTCAGGCAATTAATAGTTAACCTGCTGCAGGGGCGAGTTTTTTAAAGAAACAAATCGTTATTTTGTTTAGGGACGAGTAGTTTCAGGGAACAAATTGTTAATTTGCTATTAGTGGCACAATCTAAATTAAAAAGTCGTAATTAAGCGATAAAAAGTCGCCTAATCAGGTGAAAAAGTTGGATGGCACCCGAATAGGCGACAAAAAACGCTTAAGATACATCGCTTATTTAAGAAAAAAAATCGCTTATTAAAAAAAACATCGTTAATTTTCAACAAAAAATCGCGCAGAAGAAGTTGGTGACTGCCAAATAAGCGACACAAATTCGTTAACTTTCAACAAAAAAGTCGCTTATTTTTAACATAAAAACACATATTTTCAACGAAATCCCTTATTTTCAACAAAAAATCGTTTTCATTCAACCAAAAAATCTCTTATATTTGACAAAAAGCTGGCTTATTTTCAACAAAAAAATTGCGTATATTTAACAAAAAAGTTGCTTATATTCAACCAAAAAATCAACTCTTAATCGCCTATTTTTGTTCTTAAATTGCTAATGTTCCTATTATTGTTCCTGTTCCTAATACTGTGTCCGACCCACCTGAAATCCCTGTCCAAATCCTATATTTTTGTTCCTTATTCCTGAATAATCTTTTTTATTGTTCCTAAATCCCTGTCCTAATCCTTTAATGTTGTTCCTAATTCCTGGACAATCTTTTTTTTGTTCCTAAATCCCTGTCCTAATCCTTTAATTTTGTTCCTATTTCCAGAGCAATCTTTTTATTGTTCCTAAATTCCTGTCCTAATCCTTTAATTTTGTTCCTTATTCCTGAACAATCTTTTTATTGTTCCTAAATCCTTGTCCTAATCCTTTAATTTTGTTCCTAATTATCAATTTTTTTGTTCCTAAAAAATCTTGCCCCCCCTCACTTAAATCCTGTGTCCGCCCCTGTTGATTTTTAAATTAAACTGCAGAAGAAAAAAAGTCAAGATGTGCAGTGTGCCGATGAAACAAAACACAATGCATATGTCGTCGTATACTTACATCGTTGGTTATATCTATTTTTAACAAGCTAGAAAAATATTTTTTCGTCCTTCATAATGATTCAATTTTTCAATAAATATTAGTTATTATATTTCCATTAAATAAGAAATAATCAAAAAGCTTGAAATTGAAAAACACATGTGATTTATCAAATTGGGAACATTTTTTGCCTCGAAATATCAGGGGGGGCGAATGTCCCCCCCCCCTGTATCCGTGCCTGGATAAGCCCCTCACCCTCGGGAAAAAATTCCCCCGATCCTGAGCTTCTCAATCGTTTCATCCAATCCGTCATAATGTTGTTCGATGTATGATTTGAAGATTTGTTTATTTTCAATATGAACTATTTAGCAAACTATTTGGAACGTTAAGCAAATAATTTGAAAAATAGAACAAATCTGTAAACTTTAAATCTTGATTTCCCTCTAATTTCTGTGAGAACTGCTGTCAAACATTCACATAGATCACAATTTGTCGCAATTAGAAATAATCAGCTGATTCATAAACTGGTTTGAACAGGAGTTTTTGACTACCTGCATGAAAATATACGATTTTAAATCGCTTATTAGGCGATTTTCAGTCGTCTAAAATGAATTTATTTCTAATTCAAAAATAATAATTTAAAATCTATTAAAATGCAACTGATAGTCATGATATACTACTTTTGTCCTTAATTTCACATTTTTAGTTTTAGACGATTTAAAGATGCAAATTAGGCGTCTTTTAGTCGTCTATCATGAAGTTTTTTTTTACTTCACAAATAACGATTTAAAAGCGTTTCAAATTCAACTACAAATTGTTTATTCAGCGACTTTTTGTCCTTAATTTCACTATTTTGAGTTTTTAATTAAGAGTGCAGGGAGAAACAAATCGTTATTTTGCTTTGATTTTTAGTTTCGGAAATCATGTCATTAATTTGTTTCAAACTTTAGGGACGGAAGATGTCAAGAATCCGGACGAACTCTGTAAGTATTCTGAATGACGATGGAGACGATGTAATTGCTACTAGCTTTGGCCCTGTTGTAATGGATCATGCTCCCAGCAGGTTGGATACTAATATTTAAGTTAATATTAGTTAAACTAGGTACAGATAGTTGAACAACTTCTCTATTCTGTGGTTGAGATTATGCTAAATATTATATTTTAAAGATTTATTCACACACAAAGATATTAATACATATATAAATTTGTTTAAACAAATTTTTTAATATATAGTTTTACAAAAGAATAATATGCAAAATTATGCACAAATTGGCGACATTGGTCTTATTGATCCTTTCTCATTACATAACATATTTATCATTTAAGTTATTATGTAATCATCAAATCCTTCAACATATAAGTTTTCAATCAACCTAGTTATTCTAGTTTACATATATCTAGCTATTCATTAATTCCAAACTTCGTTGAAGTTAATTCAGCCACAGAAAGAAAGTGCTTCAGGGGTAACTATAGTTCAAGGCGCGGTAACAATTGAAATAGCAAGGAAAGTAATTATTTGGGCTAAAATATTTCATTAGTCAGTAAAATTTAGGAAGAAGAATAAAGGATATTTTTGAGACGGACAAATAAATCAACAGCTACAGCGCCTAGAGAAATAACTATTGAAATACAAACATAGATTTGGTTTTTGAGACTATAAAAGATAAAATTGAATGGGCCAAAAATGGATTATGGGATTGAGGCATGGGACAAATAATAAATTATTACTAAATTATTATAATATGGCATTTGTCTCAATTAATTGTTTGGATAATCTGTAGCGATTAATTTTAGAAATTTTTATGGAAACATCTGAGTATAATCTCTGTGATGAGGGAAACTACTAATAATTATTTACAAACACTTAATCTTATTTTACTTTAGCAAGGGTCCAAGAAATCCTAATACCGATATTGTCTACTAAACTTCCAGATATTTTGTATGCAAAATTGATCAAGTAAAATTTTCAATTTGTTGAAAAAGAAGTTGTACACAATATTATCAGTTTTTAGATGAAAATACGTGAATATATTATATAATGCAGAGTGGGTTGTTATTGTTTTTCCCAAGGAACAGTTAAGTTACTTAACATTCCGCTGTTTGGGTAATCATGGGCCAGAACTGTTGATAATAGGTGGTGAAAAGATAACTAATAAAAACTAATGTTCAGTAATCTAGACTGGTTGCTTGGATGGTTTCTCGCAATAATAAGGAAAGCATATAATTGAGAAGTGGGACCCATAAATTGTAAACCAGCAGAGAACGGTTAGACTAAAGTTTTGACTTTTAATAGTCCAATGAACAAAGCTATTGTGCACTTAATAAGTTAATTCTCAAGCATGTGGTTTTAAACTTTTTTGTTTTATAAAATCATTAAATACACATTAGATTGATTTAATGTCGTCTCCTTATTCTACATTACAAGGTTCCTACTGTAAATTATTGAAATTTTTCTGTAATTTATCAATTTTACAAGTCAGTAATGAGTTTTGTAATTTGTACGCATTGTAAAAGGTTTCATTTATTTCCATGAGTTGAATGGCAAGCTAATTATATAGTTTTCTTGTAAAGTGGAGTTCTGTTTACTGCGAATAATTTCTTCGTCAAGTATTTAAGTTTGGAGGCTCTGGAGATGTTAACGATCAGGTATTCTTATACAATATCTTTAAAGAAATGTTGTGATCCTTTATTTGAATCGATCACAGCCTCAACCATTTTAAGCTTTATCAGATCAATAATGTGTTAAGATATCATCGTTTTTCTAGCCTGCAAAGTGTTTCATTCTCACAATTTTCTCATTAGTTTCTGTAGCAGAAATCCGCATCTCACTTTTATAGAGAACTTTTGTAAATAAAAACCGACAAAAAGAAATAAACCACGTTTTTTAAAAGGAATCGTTGAAAATCTTATACATTTTTGATCAGACAACGCTTTTTAGGGTCCTGATATTATGTATAAGTGGCGGATTATTAAATATTACGTTTACGGTTCCTTTAATATGTATATGCAGTGTTTTAAAGTCTATTATCCGACTCTGTTGAACTAATGGTTTCCTTTAACCCATTCGAGTTTTTTCATATTTTTAAAGCCAAATGATGTCAGAAAAATTAAAATGTTGATTTAGGAATCTATCATAAAAATACCAACAAAAAGTTGACTCATTATAAAAGTTTACTTATATAATTCATGATCAAAAAGAAATCTGAAACCTTTATCTTTACCAAATAACAGAATTGAAACTTAACTTTAACTTCATATATGAACCATTCTTTAAAATAGTATGTACTTCTAGCTATAAGCGTCTCAGCCCATACATTTTTTTTCTTCAAAGTTCACTTTATCCATGCAGATTTATTTCTTAGAACAGCTAATGTCGATAAGATGATATGTTGGACGTCATTAGCTTTGGTTCAGTTTGGCTTGGTAACCTTGGTTTTGTTTGGCTTGGTAACCTCAAAAAGACAAAAGAAAGGGTCTTAGGGGGGTTTTATATTTTATCTAATCTACGTTTGAGCAAACAATTTATTATTTTCCCCCAAGGCCTCTCAGCATATTTAGGAAAAAATTCGTTATATATTGTTATTTTAAAATCTTGCGTTACAACTTGGTATGACGCATCATAAAATATGTCAAACTACTCTAAATTTAGAAGCCTTGCAAATTTGTTTTGAAAACTTTTAAGTTTGTCGTCTTTTTTTTCCATGTCTCGTTCTACCATTACTCTCTATTACGGTAATTTCCACCAAATTCCCTTCAGACTTTCGCCTAAGACTATGGTTTGCAGTGAAGAAAAAAATGTTCGCGAAAATTTTTTTTCTTCGCATATCATTTGCTCACAAAAAAGCTAAAATTTCGCAAAAAAAATAATGCAAAAATTTCGCAAAAAAGTTACCTTTTTCAGCTATCCTTTGCTATGGAATGATTTTGATATTTATATTGAAACAAATCTAGAGTAAGCTTGGGTTTAAACTTAGTGTTTAACAATTCTTGCTTAAAAATTCTTGCTTGATAAATACTTGTACTTTAGATGTGATAAACTTTTGTGTCAGTTGCTCAAATACTTAATACATTCTCAATTATAGCTTTGTTTCTTGCTTGACCAGCCTGTGGATCTTATCTTTTATTTTGAATGCTAATTTTTAGCCACCAGACTTCTTAAAGAAACCCTACCCTCTCTCTGCCAGGAACTCCAACCTTTCTAAATCTAATTTTTGTGGAACTTTTCAAGATAATTTTTGATTAAAGGACCAACTGAAAACAGTTTCGGTTAGTTCCGTCTCCCTGCCATAAAGTGTAAATCAAATGATGTTATTATAAATATCCATTTTTACATGTATGATTTATGGCTAAATATATAATTTGATTTGATTTATTGAAAAATTAAATCTTTTTATGAAGAATAATTTTAGGTCTTCAATGCAGACAATTGTTATTTTGATAACTCTGTTGTCCACTAGAACTCCAATTCTACCCCCGTCAAACAAGGTTGGTATATTTCAGTAAAAAATATATATACTACAGGATTACATTAAAAATCAAAGAAAGTTTTTGATCGCCATTTAATTTTGAGTTCCACCTAAAAGAATGTTTTGAATTCTAATAATTTCTTTTATTGTTTCTGCAGAAAAAAAAACAGAAGTAACTATTAAAGAGAGTCCACAGTGGCGGATACAGGATTTAAGTGAGGGGGGGGCAAGATTCTTTAGGAACAAAAAAATTAATAATTTGGAACAAAAAACCGTGCTGGAGGCGAAAAATTTTTTTGAGTTAAAAGACTCAAAATGAGTAAAAATTAGTGACTAAAGACTAAAAAACTAGATTTTTAAGTTTTAGGAACAAAATTAAAGGATTAGAACAGGAATTTAGGAACAATTAAAAGATTGTTCAGGAATTAGGAACAAAAATAAAGGATTAGGACAGGAATTTAGGAACAATAAAAAGATTGTTCAGGAATTAGGAACAAAATTAAAGGAATCGGACAGGGATTTAGGAACAATAAAATGATTGTTCAAGAATTAGGAACAAAAATATAGGATTAGGACAGGGATTTAAGGTGGGTCGGACACAGTATTAGGAACAGGAACAATAATAGGAACATTAGCAATTTAAGAACAAGGATGAAGACACTCTTCAAGGAAAAATAGTTCCAAAAATAAAATTAGAGTAGCCAAAGTCTGATTGAATGATTGATTGATCACCAACTTGAATTTCCTCAAAAGGCCTAAATAGCTTCATCTGCGAATTGTAAATCTTTATTTTAATTCCAGCTTAGTACAGTCATGGTTGGATTGTGATTTGGTCATAGGGCATTCCCGAAAGTTTGATTGATTGATTGATTGTTTGATTTGGCGGAGAATTTGATATGTTGATGATTTAGATAATATTTGGGTTGATTCTTACATGTAAAAGTTTATTTTTTATGAATAAATAAAATAAAATGTTTTCTAGGATCGAGTCCTAGTGGTTCTACAAGGCCTTCTAAGTGGAGTTAGGGTGTTTTTACAGGTATACATGTACACAGTGGAGATGTAGGTCAAAATCTACAAAATTTTATTTTACTTCCTTTACCAAGGGAAAATTATAAGAAAACTTTTAAGTTTTATTTATTTTCCACTTTATTTTATAGAAATTCTTAAAAATAATGTTTTTTCTCGACCCTTTGAATGAGATGGGGAATGCAGACGGCCATAGGTCACAACATTTCCCTCTTACATGCCACATATTATCTTTTTTTGTCTCCTGGCAGCCATAAACCACAACCGCACAGTCTTCCATGCCACAGCATTCAAGTCTTCCGGCTGTTATTACTTTTTTAAATGATAATATAGGGCATTGAAACAGCAATTTTTAAAAATCCTGCCACATTACGCAAAAGATCATATCTTTAAGAAATTTTAGAAGTTTATTAAAGATCAATGAATTGTGTGTCAGTTTATAAACTGCTTTACATCATCACAAAGAAAATTTGACATTATTTTGCGCATTGTGGGCACCGAGACAAATTGGTTGGGGTAGTCTAAAGAATAAGAAAAGATTAGAAAAAATCACAAAATTAACCGTCATTACCAATTACAGATTTCCTTTAAACAGTGCAAATTTTCGGTTAAGGGCGACCTTTGAACTTTAATGAGTATGTTTTCCGGTAAAGCAAAAAGAGATTAATTGGTTTGTTTGGTAAAAATTGGAAGGAAGAAAAGAGATAGGAGGAATGATCTAGATGTGATGTAAATATGTTTGAAGGTGGGGGTGGTAGCTGTTGTATCTTTCCTATCTATAACCATCCATCTAAAACTTTCTCTCTCCTCTCTGTTATCTGCCAATCTGGTTGTTTAATGAGCACTATGATTCCGATGATTTATTAATGTTTATAATCCACGATCACATAGGTAAAACAAACTCGCTTAAAGTAAGCCAATTGAGAGAGGCTTAGTGGGATTTCTTAGCAACACTACATGATGGTGTGTGTTCTTTTTACCGGTCGGGCTTGTACTACTTAAAATCCAGGGTGCCCAACTCTAAATTGTCAAAAATCCACCGAAAGGCAAATTTTTATCCACAAAATCCTCAATAAATAATTAAGAAATCCCCAGAAAATCCTCAATTTTTCCTACAGAAAACAGCTTTTTTAGAGTTTTTTGGGAGGGTTTATGAGAGTTTTTAACATTTATTTCTGTATCTGATGCAATTTCAGATCTCTTTACTGCAGTGCAAATGTTATAGTTTCATTTAAAACTCTGAAACACAAAAAGATTAAAAGTCACATTACACACTTCGAAAAAAATAGTTGCTTACAATTCAGAGCTCATGTTACATACTTTGAAAAAAATTGCCAAAAAACTAATGTTAAACCAATTAATTCCAAAAAATAGTTTTTTTGATCCTATAGATTAAACAATTTTCAAGATACCGATATGAAAACAAATGAGCGTCAGTGGAATCTCAGACATCTTCAGATTGTAATATTTTGAGAAAAAAAAAATTACTACTGACATTTGTGAATTTTTTCTACCTTTAAATTAATTTTCTCGTGGAAATTTTAATTTTACAGAAAACTTTATTTCTAAAAGTCCAGATTAACAATACTCATCTAACAAACTGACAATATTTAAATAAAAAAAATGTAAAACTCAACCCCCTTTCAGAGAGATATATATGTTACAGGAAAACTTTCCTTTAATTTCGAGACATGTTTTTCATTAATTTTTGACAGAATATCAGAAATATCAGAATAAATATTAAAATCCCCAGAATATCTACAAATCCCCAAGGGGTTTCAAAATCCCCAGATTTGGCACTTCTGGGGATTTAATCCACAAGGTTGGGCACCCTGTTAAAATCCTGGTTCGATTTCAGGGTAAAAATAGCAAATAACAATTTACAAGATAAACAAACATAGATCTAGATTGAATGATAAATTGATAAATTGATACATCATTAAATTAATGATTCTTGTTTTGGGATATAACCACCCCTAAACCAAGCCAACCATTTAAAACCACGCAGGTAGAGAAAAGATAGAAATCCAAGCGCCAGATACAACTGGTGTATATAAAGGTATTCTAAGAAGGCATTCATGAAACAATAATACATCATTAAATCATAATATTTTGTTTTCTAGTTGTCATTTGTCATGTAAAAAGGTCGGCAATAATATAAAACTGATTTTATAAGTAAAATCCCAAACTGTAAGAATCCCAAATGAATGTTAACCAATGTTGGGATTGGAAGGATTGGGATGAGGACTAGGAAGTTGGAATAGGTTGGACAGGGATCAATTGGAAATAGACAAAATAGGTTGGGAATTGGGATGGATACCAACTAAAGAGGAAGTTGGGATTGGGATTCAATGAATGTGAGGATGATAAAAGGGTTGGTAAATCGGGAGTTGGAGTAATTGGGAAGATTAAGTAATGAATAGATGTTCTACGGGGACCACAGTATTGGAAAGAGAATCAGCAAGATATAGAAGTTCAGAACAGAGATACAGACATAATAATATACGTGTGTAAAGACTAGGGAGAATATGTAGTTTAGTGGGTACAAATGTTAATAAGGGGGGAAGACGACATTTTGGAAGGAATTAGCGGATTACTGTTAAGTTGGGATAAGAGAGAGAAAAGAGTATAAAAATCATCATTAGAATCATTCAATACTCTGAAACATATGTTATGGTGCATCATTTTCATTGTTTATAGTGTTTTCAAAAATAAACCATTTTTTATGAAAGATTGAATTTATTTTTGGGGAAAATAAGTTTTGCAGCTTACATTAAAAGGAATTAATTACATATTTTGCATGACGTAACTTGATTTTTGAAAATCACAATTTCAATGCACTAAAGGAATTGAGTTTTTGCCACAAACTAAAATCTTCTGGTCCCAACATCTTTGCAACCCGATGGTGCAAACCTTTGATATTTCAAACTTAGATTATTTTATCTATAAGTATTAATAGTTTGAAATATCTAAGGTCTACAACATCGGATTACAAAGATATAGAGATTAGAAAATCATAATAACTGCCGGAAGACTCAAATATTATGGCTTAAAAGAACGTATGGTTGTGACTTATGGCTGCCGGAAGACAAAAAAGCTAATATATGGCATAGAAGGGAAAATGTTGTGGCTAAAGGCCGCCTGCCTTCCTCGCTCTTTGAATTCATACATTAACAATTGCAGCTTGTTAAAAATCTACTTTTATTTTTATACATTTCTATAATCATTTTCTGTAATTTTTAACAACTTAAGAAATATTGTTAGCATTTATATGTTAACCATACACACACAATCAGAAATCAATCAGTGGTTTATGTGGTTTATTCATTGGTATTTTTAGAATCTATTAGTTATGGTGAGAGAATTAATCGGCAAAATTGATATCTTGAAAATATTGAATTCCTTTTACCAAGACATTTTTGTCATAAATTAATGTATAATAATTGTAACCGTTAAAATACTTTTTGTGTTGAAAATCTACTCTATTTATATTTATGATAAAATTGAGTTTTAAGAATCCCTCATTCACTTTGAACAGAATTCTCGCTATTTTCTATTTAGTTTGCCTGCCTCTCCTTCATGCCCCTGGGGGATGCATTGACGCTGGTATTTACAGAGCCACTCTGGACTATTATCATTTCAAAGATTATCCTAAAAATAAATATAGGTAGGTTTTATGTATCTTACCAACATCATATGTAGGTCAAAGGTATCTAAAATCAATATAAAGGGTGTTAATAAAAAAACACAAGATGGTAAAACTCAAAACTAACCAACAAAATCATATAGAAGATGGCCAAAAACCTAAAAAAATTAAAAACAGTTTTCTATAAGACTAATTGGTGGAAAATATAATGACATATGCACCTCAACCCACATTGAAAAGACAGATCAAGGCTTAGTTACTAAACAGTGATTAAGCCAGTGATGGAGATATTATAAAGTAGCTTTTTCTCAGGTAAAATTCCAAGTCTAAAATCCATTTCACAAACAACTCTTCTATGTAATACAAAACATGCAAATTACATTTAAAGTTTTGTGTTTTGACGACCGGAAGGTTAATAAAAAAAAACCAGCAACTTCAAAAAGAAAAATTGGTATGGGTGAATTTAATGATCATAAAACATGGTCATGAAGGATGTGAATATGTTTTCCTAATTAAACTATGTAAAAAAATAACTATATAAACATATAAAACATCCAGATTAAAGCCATAGTTAAGTAATGGGAAGCACAAAAAATAAAAATAAACAAACTCAAAATAAAAATAGTGTCCTAGGATGATGCTACATTCTAAGGAGATGAAATTTCCTTACAGGCTGAAAGAGATTTTCAGCTCCACGCTGGATTACATAATTTGACCACCAAAATGGCAAATGTTTTGCTTTACAAGAACTTTCTGGGTATTTTTGTATGTGTTTATTGGCTTTTATCCCTCATCAACTTCAGTTTGTTTTAGATAAAAATGGGAGTCAGATCAATAAAGGAGACTAATGAGTGATTCAATCTTTGTATTTATTATTTTTAGTTTTAATAAATCAAAATTTTTGTGGTTTTTCTATTAACAGGTATTGTAAAATCAATACAGGTAGGTTATAGGTATCTTAGTGATAAAATAGGTAAGTTATAGAGATCTAAAAATTTTATAAAAAGTTTACAGGTGTCATAAAATCAATATAGGTAGGTTACAGAGATCTTAAATTTAGCCCTATCTCTGCTGGGGTACTTGAAAACCAGGATATGCTGGGGGGGGGGTCAATTTGACCCCCCCCCCCCCTCTAAATCCCATGTTTGATGCCCAAATATGACAAATGATACATCATTGGAAAGCTCTTGTGCTCTACTTTTAGATTCTGCAAAAAAATTAGCAAATTTGCAATAATTGAATTTTTTTTTGCAAAATCCCGTTATATAGTAAAAATGTTTGCAAATAAAAATTTGTCCAAAAAATGAAAAATTATACATTTTTGAAAAGCCCTTGACCATGCCATTTCAAATATGCAAAATTTTTTGCAAAATTTTAAATAACCTGATTTTTAATCAAGAAAAACTAAAAATGTGCAAATTTCCTTTGACAGGTTGTTTGCAAAATTTTGCATTTTTTTTTCGCAAAACTTGTGAAATTCGTTTCCTTATGTCAAAGGCTTTCCAAAATAGCTAAATTTTATCAAAATCTGACAAGTAGAAGTGGGTCAAAACAAAGATTTAGTTTGCTACAGGAAAAAACAGTCATTCAGGCAGTGTGCCTGAGGACTCAGGCAGTTAGTATTAAAGCCCGGTTTTAGGCCTAAAGGGAAGGCTTTGGGTATGTAGGAAAAGTCAGAAAATTTCAACAGCCTCAGACCAATACTTTTTGAGTTATGTAAAAAAAAACTACAGGGGGGGTCAAATTGACCCCCCCCCCCCCAGCAGGAATAGGGTTAAATTTGAAAAATTATTTAGGATGGTGGAAGACGATATTTGGAATATTTCTTCTAAGTGGAATGGTTCTTTGTATTCAGCCCCCGTTTATATTTCACCCTCTTCCTCCGTCTAATTCGTCTTCAAATAACTCAGGTCAAGCAAATTCAAATTCTAAACCCAATTCAGCATTGGAAAAAAATCCTTAAATTTTTATTTTGAACATGGAGTTAATGATATGATAAGTATTTTTATAGTCTAAAATTTATTATAACTTAAGGGACTTAACTTATAATAAGTTTTCTTTTTATATGACAAATTTCTTTTTTTAGGCTTTGCTAACGAGACTGATTATTCGAATACTACATTCCAACCTCTTGATATTTCCACAAAATTCACTACTCAACCATCATTTTATAATCAAACAAGCAACCAATTCTTCAACACTGAATTAAGTGAACTCAATCTTAACCATACAGCAACTTATCCTAAATACACAACACCTAATCCCCAATACACAAATACGCAAAATATAAACTCCATCTTCAATCGACACTCCGATGCTCCTAAAGTAAGCTTTTTTATCATTATATAAGAACTTTTCTTGTAATTGTTGTTTTAAGTTTGAAATTTTTCTTTTACAGCAGCCATGGTTTTTTCATACATTATTAAAATTAACAATTTATAATTTAAATTATAATTCAATTGTATAATGTTTTATATATATATATTTATAAAAAAATAGTTTAAAATCGAAATTGTTCTGAGGCATTCTATCCGAGCATAGACCTCCAGGGCTATAGTAAGTTAAAACAAAAATTTGATTGGACCAACACCCAAACAATCAGACCAGGGGCGTATGTAAGAATTTTATAGGGGGGGGGGGAGGTTAAATTCGAATTTTTCTTTTACCTCCCCCCCCTAGAAAAATATCTACCATTTTATCATGATGTACATCAAATTATTGGTATTAGTTTGGTTTGACTTAGGTTGTAAATAAAGGCTTCCTTTCCTACCCTTTAGCTTTCACCTTACTTTATATCCTTCAATATATAGTCATTAATTTTACATTACCTCATTAGTTTGATCTGTAAAAAAACCTTGATTTATTTTATATATATACACATATAAACATATACAAATATATACACATATGCATAAACATATACATGTACATATACATATACATATACATATACATATACATATACATATACATATACATATACATATACATTATACATATACATATAAAATAATTTTACTCTTAGAGGAAAAAGATGTCACTTTTTTAATCTTTATGAGAATCTACTCTGCAAAACTTGGAAATAATTTTGTCTTTGTTTTTTTTTATTTCTAGTTACGTTTAGACTGATATTTTTGTAAAATTTTCATGTATTTTCATCATGTTTTCATGTAGTACATTAAGATCCTAAATGAATATAATTTTGAAATGACATTATTTAGAAGTGAAAATGTATTCTCCTTTATCATGGCCATAAACCCTTTTTTATCTATTAAATAAATAATAAATAATAATAATAAATATAAAATAATTGTAATGACTCGACATTGACCATTGCTTTAAGCGCTGCATTTAAAATCATTTAGAATATGTTGACTTAAACTCTGAAATATTTTAAAATTTACTGCACATCAAAATCTCATTCAAATTTTAAAGATATTCAATTTTTAAAAAGTTGTCTTTACACATGTTTTTATGTTTTTTAAAGGGTGTTAAAAGCAGACTTATTAATAGGAAACAATTTTTTGGAGGAGAAACCACAGGATTCTTAGGGGGGATACTTAACCCGATAACCCACCTATATACGCCACTGAATCAGACAGACATGCCAATTGCCAAGAAAGGACTCACTAAATATGTGAGTAAAATCAAGTGTGATATCTTCAGGATCCAAGCTACAAAATTTAACTTTCCTAATGCTGAATTGTTAGCATTGTTAGTATTATACTTTATGGAACTGGAACTGCTATCTCTCCTGGGTGAAATAGACAGAATATTGTCTACAACAGAATGTAAAAATGTCCTACTAGTCAGGCACATTAATAGTGATATTTCTAGACCTACACATTTGTGTAAAGTATTAGAACATTTACAGAGGAGATTATGTTTGTGGCAGATTTTCTACGCTTCAATTGCATTTGTGGCAGGTGTTATGTGTCAAGGAAAAACTTGTGGCATCTGTTAAGATATTTTTTATAATATTTCATTGTTTTGTGGTAGATTTGAAGCTCATTCATAATGCAATATTTAAAAGTGTATTTTTATATCATTCAAATTCCAGACCTAAATCCTAGGGACGTCAAGGTCCACCATTTGCCCCTCGTCTATTAAGGGTTAATGATGCAAAGGCTTCAATTTTGATCCCAATACCAGTTTCATAAACTGTCCCTTTCTGGTTATTCATATAGTTCAATGTCTATCTCTCAAAATATAAATAAATAGGATTTATTAGTTTATATTTTATTGGTACAAATACATCTGTTAAAGCTCAATTCTCTGCACAACTATAAGCTCCTTAGCTTAGCTGCTGCTTCTGGTAGTCCAGCCTGTGGTTCAAAGCAGTCTAGAGGTAGCAAAACCATCCAGAGAATACCTATTGCTTGGAGCTGCTCTTCAATGGTTTCAATGTTACTACTGGTCCTGAGATACTTCCTGTAAGCTATCCTCAGACCCCCTGTTTCATGTAAATCTCCATCTCGTCCTGGAACTGGAAGAGAAGCTTCCCTGGGACTAGAGTTCTCATTTAGCTGCTCCATAAGATTCCCACTCCTGTAGGGTTTCTTGTAGCTGTTCCAAATTAGGTGGTCTCTGATCAGCTTCCTCTGTTCCTTGCATCTCCTCAGATATAGGTTCAGGATTTTTACACTTAGAACCTTCATTTAGCAGCTGTGGGTTGGCCTTATTTGGAGCAGCTTCCTTTGGGCCAGATAAGTCTTCTAGAGCTATGTCCAGGAGTGGATGCTTCAGAAGAGGAGATATCATCTTTAAGCCAGGGTAACATATCTTCCAATATCTCTTGTAGAGCATCTCTCAAACTCTCCTTATCTCTTCCTGCTGCATAGACTAACTGTTCAGCTGTTCAAACTACTCCAGGGAGATGAGGGTAATCTGGGGGTGTAGGTTGGGTTGGAGGAGTCCATGGTTCCGAAGAGTCCCTCAGGAGTTCTTCCACTTCTGTATCTAGGTCCTCCATCTCCACAGTGTCTGGACTGGTATTGGAGCAGTCTGTAAAGAGCAGCTTCCTCAAGGATCTCCAGTGATCCATAAACCTCCTGATAACTGCATCATATCTGGGGCCTGGTAAATCCCCTCTTCATTAAGCCTTAAGATCTCCTCTTCTCCCAGAGTCATCGGTCTGTACTGATCATCTATCTGTTGGTGATCACCAATAGGGCCTGAGTTTCAAGTGGAGCTCTCTGTAGAGTGTGGATCAGCTCAAGGTGCAGTAGACAGAGGGTTTAGTTCCTCTCCTTCTGTGGATTCCAATCTCTCTTCATCTCCTAAAGTGTTGGTCCCATTTGGTAGTTGAGCCATCAGTACTGGTTTTGGACTTGGTTGTCTTAGGTTTACCAAATGCTCTATATCTCCAGTGGACCTCTCATTAGGACCAGCTCAAGCATCTAGAGTCTTATCGGACATCTCTTTATTCATAGATTACTCTATATCTCCAGTGAATCTCTCACTAGGCTCCATTCGAGTATCTAGAGTAGTTGAACTAGCTGTAGAGTTCTATACCTCCAGTGGCCCTCTCATTAGGCCAGGCTCGAGTATCTAGAGTAATAGATGATGAGAATGAGCCTGCCCAACCTCTGATGTATTAGATGATGAGAATGAGGCTGTCCAACCTCTGGTGTATTAGATGATGAGAATGAGGCTGTCCAACCTCTGTTGAGTAGGTTGATAAAATACCTGTTAGTTTTCTATTGACTGTCTGTTAGCTGTCCATGAGGTATAAGTCCCCAGGCCCTAATTAGAAACAGCGGAGCTGAGCTCAAATGCGTTTTCTATCTGATATCCTGGAGTGTGCTGATTAATTCTCCGACTCTCATAGATTGCTCTGACTCAGAGAAGGAAACAAAGGTTTTTTAACTAGGGAGGGAGTGCTTCCATATTCTAAATATTACAATAATATGTGTGGCAGATTTATGCATTTATGTTTGTGGCAGATTTTCTACTCTTCATTTGCATTTGTTTGCAGGTGTTATGTGTCAGGGAATAACTTGTGGCAATTGTTATGATATTAGTTATGATATAACATAATTTTGTTGTACATTTTAAGCTCATTCATAATTTGGCTGGCATATTTTAGATTTATTTTTGTGGCAGATTTTCTTAGCTTCAATTGCATTTGTGGCAGATTTTATGTGTCAGGGTATAACTTGTGGCATTTGTTATGATATAACATATTTTGTGGCATATTTTAAGCTCATTCATAATTTGTGTAGCAGATTTTTTTCAGATAGATTTTGTTTGTGGCAGATTTTATGTGCGAAGACATTATTTGTGGCACATTTTATGGCATATTTTTTCATGAAATATGAAAAATGTTACCAACTGAATATCCTAATTGGCATTTTTGGCTAAAATTGGCATTTTCTTCTGTTACTTGTAGAATTTCCCCTAAATCAGCAGATTTCTTGTCTTGATGGGCAAATTATACCGACCCAAATTTGCTCTGTGAGGAACCCTGAGTCATGCATATCCTCCATCAGGACTGAATGCAGGACATAAGAATGGATGAAATACTTGAACCTGGAACTACATACGGGAGAACCTCATATTCCAAATACTGATCCGGGACCTGAGTGGACAGAGCGTTTGGAAACCCCTGCAGCTACAGTGTGTCATGCAACTACAGCAGATGATAGTTTGAGGCCAGCCTCAGATAGGAGGCCTAATCTCCAGAGATATCTCTTCCTAATTGTTATTGAGAATGATGGTAGAAACCTGTTTAATGCCTACAGAAACTAACAGGCTACAGAAGATATATATAACTGCATTAGAGAGACAGTTTGAAATTTTCCATCATAATGACGCTCTTCCCCCTCGTCATGACGTGTTTGCTCCTCACCCTGGCCTGTCCAGTCCGTGCCAAAGATGATATCCTCAAGTTTATATCTGAAAATATTTTTTTGTTACTTGTCTTTGCACTGTGGTTGCTTTCTTTTTTGCGCTAATAATTGACTACAAATTTAAAAGGTTACTGTCAGTGATTTTTAGATAAGGGGTCGCTTAAAACTATGAATATATAAAAATACTCTAAATTTAATTTACAAAGTTTTTGCTTTTCTAGAAAGAACTACCATCGAATAAAATACCGAAGCCAAACCTACTTCACAAGTTTAAACAGATTACAGGTCAAAGCTTCAGTTTTAATTTTTCACATTAAATTAAAAAAAATGTTTCTGACATTTAGTTGATTGTTGGTTGTTAGTTTTAACAATTGTGTTGTTTAGGTTTGGATAGACTTCAACTCCAGTATGTAGCTAGGCAGAGTATTGAAGATAATGATGGTGGAGGGGATACACCTGGAACAGGAAGATATTATATAGGTATCAGAAGTTTCCATTAATAAATTCAGTTAGGCGTTGAGACATTGGAAGTAGGGCATTCTCAAAACTTTGATTTGGTTGCATACTTTTCCATGTTTAGAGCATGGACTAGAGATATATACACGCTAACATTACTATCTGTGAGAAGTAGCTAACATTGAATTCTCCTTATTGACAGGACATATTCCCTTTGCTGTTCGCTTCTAATACAGAACGTCCCATATAATACTAGTCTTATCTCCAAGCTTTAACGCCAAAATGAACACATAATACTCTAAAAACCTAGCATTTTTTGCAACAAATTTTTATGTTAGCTTTATTAAATTTTTAAAAATGATTCATACTTCTTAAATTTTCAGATTTGTCCCGAAAATCGTAATTTAGACCCATTGACGATCTAATATGATGTGGGACACCCTGTAGGTTAAAAATAAACCGTTCTAACAGTGCACACATTAGTATTTTACTTCTTGTAGTGTAAACACAGATATTTTGCCTCTAGCGGTGCAAACACCAATGTTACGCTATTGCGGTGCAAACATCAATTATGAAAGGTGCCAACGCTGATAAATTACGCTGTTATGGTACAAACACTAAAATCACACTCTTTGTGGCACAAATACATATATAATGCTTCTTGCGGAGCAAACACCAATATTACGCTTTTTATGGTTGAAATATAAATTCCTTTATCTATATACTTTGCGGTCTGTCTTGGTGTCAGTTTGTATCTAGTAAATGTCAAAAAGGCAGAACTGATCAGGCCCAAATTTTGCACAAAACTTAAAACTTGTTCTACATATTTTTCAGTTTTTGACCCTTTTTTGCAAAATAATAATTTGAATGCTTTTTGAATGAATTTTTTATTTATTTAATGTTTTTATCGTAAAAAGTCAAATTTTTGTTATTATTTATTATTCCCTTTAAGCCCTGAAAACATATTTGCATAATAACTTAAAATGCTTGTTGCGCTTGCAAGAATACCACTTGATCGAAAACCACTTGATTAAAAATGAGGAGTTGATCGAAAAAGTGTATGCTATACAGTTAAAGCTACAAGTTAGTTTAGCATGTTTAAATACCGAATAAGCTCTTTTTTCATCTCCCTTTTCAATTCTTTGTTTCTTCTTGTTTTTCCCTCGCTTTCTTCGTCTTTCTCCTTCTTTCTCGCTCTTTTTTCTTCATTGTCAATCTTTTTCTTTTTCACTCTTTCTCTTTTTCTTTCTCCTGCTCTCTCCTTCTTTCTACCTCCTTCTTTTTTCTTCATTTGTCTCCTTTAATCTTCTTTCTCCGCGTTTTACTTGAAATTTTTCTTCTATCTTCTTATTTCTTCTTTCTTTTTCTTATTTCCTTTTTTCTTCTTTCATCTTCTTTCTTCTTCTAATTTCTGCTTTTTCTTCTTTCATTTCTTCTCTTCTTACATGTTCTCTTTTCCCTCTTACTTCGTAATTTTTTATTCAAATTCTCCATATTTTTTCATACTTTTTTCCCCCCATATTCTTTTCTGACAGAAGCCAGGAAGATGCACCTGAAACCCCCATACCTTTGTTCGCATTAGTGTACTGCAGTTTATAGAAGGAATGTAGGTTAGGTTAGGTTAGGTTAGGTAGTACTTATTTGCTTATTTTGAACAAGTGTGGAAGTGTCTGAGACTGCAATTGTACACAATTTTTTGATCAATTCTTGAATTTCGATCAAGTGGGTTTCGAGATCATCTGGTATTCTTCCGTCGCGCTTCATAGTGAAATATCAAAGGTCTGCGACAAACAAAACAGTCTACATTTTTAGAAAGAATAACTCATTATAGATTTAAATTCGTTTTTTACTATAAATCTATATTAAAAAAAAGCTCTATGCTTATATCTATATATTAAAGCTGTTATGTAAGGGTATATATATATTTATGGGTCAGCTATAGCTGGCCAAACGGCTGAACCAAATAAGCTGAAATTTTTTTAGGGAACCCGTTAATACTCTTGGGATAACATAGGCTAAACAAAAAGTAAAGCAGTCTACATTTCGTAACTTTAAGAATCAGAGGAGTGCAGTCATTAAAGATTTAAATTCGTTTTTTACTGGAAAAATTAGATAAACTTCTGAATTATGCGTATTAAGCGATTTAATCATTTAAATCAATTCTCTCTTTGTTTGCCTTAGCTGGGAACTTTTTTGGATTCTCATAATCCCGATCCCTTGATCTCGGTATCTACCGTTTGCACTTCTAATATGATGATTATAAAACTATACTTTTCCATGACTTCATTTTAGTTATTCTTACTCCGATCAAAGCTACCTTCAACCCCTGACTTATTGTAACAGTGGGCGAGTTTTGTTGATCTTTTACGATCAGCAATTCAAGGATAGTTGAATATTTGAGAAACTCAGTGCATTGCTTTATTGATTTTTATTCATATACAATATTATTACGATTATTGAAAATAGATAATAACAAGCATTGATCTCTATATCCACAAAACAAGAATTAAAAGTGTTCCCAGCGTTTGTCTGCATGCCACAGAGCAAAGTTTTCATTAAATCTGTATTTTCTTTTATTTGATTATAATTGTCTGATCCGGATAAAGTATTAAAGAAATATAAATATTATATTTTTTAGTCAATAGTTTCTCTTCGTTATAAACGCTCCCGGATTAACCTTTGGCAAGCATCTATGATTACCCGTTTTCGATGCCTATTCACACTGCACACTACCCTTAGCACAATGTAAACGATACAACGATACAACACTACGCACTGCAAATTGCAAACTATAAACCGTACACTGTACAATATGCACTGCACACTGTACACTCTATACACTCCAAACTTCACACTGCACACTGTATGCTGCACATTATGCTGCACATTTCACACTATAAACTGTACACTGCACACTGCACACTGTACACTGTATGCTGCACATTATGCTGCACATTTCACACTAAAAACTGTACACTGTACACTGCACACTGCACACTGTACACTGTATGCTGCACACTTAACACTGTAAACTGTACACTGCATGCTGCACACTGCACACAGCAAACTGCACACAGCAAACTGCACACTGCACACTGTACACTAAAAACTGCAAACTAAGTTCGGCAAATGCACACTGAAAATTGCACACTTCACACTGCACACTGCGATAGTACACTGCACACTATGAAGTGCAGACTCCACGCTGCACACTGCAACCTGCAGCACACAATAAATTTCACACTGTACATACTGCAAAATGTGCATTATACACTGTGCAATTTACACTGCAAACTGAGTATGGCAAATGTGCAATGTACACTGCAAACTGAGTATGGCAAATGTACACTGTACACTGCTCGCTAGACACTGCACACTATGAAGTGCAGTAGACTGCACACTGCAAACTGCACACTGCCAACTGCAGATTATACATTTCACACTGTACATACTGCAAAATGTGCATTATACACTGTGCAATGTACACTGCAAACTGCACATCGCACACTCTTCAAAATGCACACTGCACACCGAACAATGCACACTGCATCTGTACACTGAACACTGCAATCTGTACACTGCACACTTCACTTACTATACAGTGCACACTGTACACTAACTCTTTACACTGCACACTTCAAACTGCACACTATGCACTTTACTCTTTAGACTGTACACTGAACAATGCACACTTTAGGCTATACACTGTGCACTGTTTAGATATGTGCCATAATAGGTTAATCCGAATGCGTCGATATAGACGCAAAAACGTTTTTTGCTTTATATTTAAGCACAAAAGTTTAGTAACATAAATTTCTTAAAGACCCCTAAGGAAGCCGTCCTGGAAATGTCATGCAATTCTGTCGACAGGGAAGCTGGTTGGTATTAATAGGCTAAGTACAAAATGAGATTTTTCTTACAACGATTTCCTTAAAAGATATAGCTAGCATGAAACTATCATTTTATTACAATAATGATTTGAGGACTTATTTAACAATAATTAAAATTTCTAGGTGTCCTTTTGGCATTGGGAACTGCAGTTACAGGATCTCTTGCTAATGTTATAATTGCTAAGGTATAGATAAAATTATAAATAAAATCTAAAAATCATTTTTACAATTTTAATTTTCTGATGGGTGGGGAAAATATAACGCTAACAATATAACGACCAAAAATATAACCATCCAAAAATCTAATCATTTTTTTACCAAAAATATTACTATTTTCAACTAAAAAAATAACTTTTTTTCAGTCAAAAATATAACCTTTGTTTAGTCAAAAATATTACCTTTTTTTAGTCAAAACTATAACAATTTTTTTTGACTAAAAATATAACTTTTTTCGACCAAAAATATAACTTTTTCGACCTTATATTTTATTATTTTCGATGAAGAATATAACTTTTTTTTGCCAAAAATATTAAAAAAAAATTTGACTAAAAATATAACCATTTTTGATCAAAAATATAACCAGTTTTGATCAAAAATATTACCATTTTTGACTAAAAATATAGCTACCAAAAACATAATAGACCAAAAATATAACCATATTCTACCAAACATAATTTTATCTGCCTGTTCAATGTATGCAAAAACTTCACATGTATACTTTTTGCGTCCCGTGCATAGGTAAGTTTTTTTTCATGCTCTTTTTTAGGTATGTAAACCAATGCTCATTGCCCACTCCTGTCCACTAAAGTGTCCACACCTTTATGGCTTTTATTTAATAAAAATTCAGCGGAATCACATTTAGGCATTAATAGAAATTGATTCTCATCTTTAAAAAATGTTTAATAGTTAAATTTTAAACTTAAAAATTTTTTATTTTTGGTAAAGAAATAGTAATAAAAGTTTGTAATTTTGGAAGAAAAAATTTTATTTTTGGTTAAAAAATTTGTGTAGTTTTGTTTAAAAATGGGTTTATTTTTGAGATGTAAAGTAGTTATATTTTTGATTAAAAACGTTTGTATTTTTGGCTTAAAAAAAGATTTTATTTCTAAAGAGGCCAAGGCTATATAATTGGCTAAAAATGGTTTTATTTTTCGTTAAAAAGGTTCTATCTTTGGTTAAAAAAGGTAGTATTTTTGATTCAAAAATGGTTATATTTTCGGTTTAAAAAATGATTATAGTTTTGGTAAAATAAAATGGTTATATTTTTGATGAAGAAATGGTTGTATCTTTGATTAGCATTATGGTTATATTTTTGGTTAGTAAATGGTTAAAAAATGGTTATTTTTTGGCTAGTTTTATTTTTGGTTGGTTATGTTTTTGGTGGTTATATTTTAGAAGCTATATTTTTGGTCAAAAATTGTTATACTTTTGGTCGTTATATTTTTAGTGGTAATATTTTTAGAGTTATATTTTCTATCACAAATATTTTTATTAGATTGTTACGATTATCTATCGAATTTTGAATTGTGAAAAAGGATTTTAAGTTTTTTGACTAAATTGTATTACTTTATTACTACTTACTAGAATTTTAGAACACCGTGCCGAAGTAAAATCATTGCTTAAACCTAGAGAGTATTTATAAAACGTTTTTCTCATATTTTTTGTACAATATTGGATTAAAATGAAACCTAATAATCTTATTTTGGGTACAAAACAACTAAATAATAAACACCCACACTTTAAAACACCTAAATTTCAAAAAGTCAAAAGTGACAAAACATCTAATTTTTCAAACACCTAGAAGTGCCAAACACAATTGTCATTTATCGGTAAAAACCACCTAAATTTAATTTTCGGAAAGAAACATCAAAACTTTCAATGAACTTTTTGAATGTACAGATATCTAAACTTTTTTAAAGGTAAAAAAAAACTAAATTTCATTTTAGAAAAAAAAAACGCTAAATGGCTATAAATAAGCCATTTGAATTTTAATGATGTTTTTCATTCAAAGTTAGGTTAGGCAAAAAGTTTCTGATCAAATTCTTGTTATTAAGATATCAGATGAAAAAGTCAAGATACCTATCGAATTCAAATTCAATTAAAGATTAGCCTGTAACCCTTTCATTTTTCTCGAACACTCCTTTTAAAGTGGATCACTGAATTATTTGAATAATTTTAGTGTGATCACGTGGCAAGCAGTGTTATGGTATTTTACTCTGGGTTAGGAGGAGTTATACTGGGAGTTTCCTTCAGCTTCATGGATCCAGACAATAGACTAGTGTTCGATATAGGCAAACATTACTTAAACTTGGAGCATATTTCACCTTTATGGATCCTGACAATTGGCTTATATCATTCAACCTAGGCAAACATTATTTATTCACAGGCGTGTATAAAATTCTTTCCTCCCCCTGGGGGGGGGGGGGGGGATAAATCAAAGGCATACATAGAGCATATTTCCGCTGTATGGAATCCTTTAATAGACTAGTATTCAACATAGACAGTTTTATGGATCCCGACAATTCTTATTTAATGAAACTATTGTGTACTTTATCATTCTTACTCACTTCATCGTGAATTTCATAATGAAGGTGTTATAAAATAAGCATCGGGCTATAAAGTTAAATTAGCTGTACATTATATCACATGTTCGTTATTATAAAGTTTTGATTGGTTCCCGGATAATTTCTACAAACAAATTTAGGATATTTTCAAAATATTTTTTTCAATTGAAATGAAAATAAATATGAAATCAACTTCATATTTTGACTTCTGCTTTCGTTTCAAAGCTTATTTTGTCTAGAAATGACCATTGAAATAAGTACACAAACGTTTCATAAAATTACTTATAACACTATTATTTTGGCACGACGTGCAATAAAGTTTTTGGTCTTAAATTCTCTCTATACCTCGAAGGTTCTCGCCTTTCTAGATTATATTATGTCCCTCGCTAAAGCTCGGGATAAACTTAAATCGAAAAAAAACCTTCGCGATATAGAGTAAATTTCTGTCCATAAACTTTAGAACACTACGAAATAACAGTGTTATAAATAGTTATTTACTGGCGCAAAATGGACAGTAAATTTTATTTTTGGACATAAAGCAAACATTACTTATTTTTGGAAGGATCTTTCGGCCTTTTGAAGCCAGACGAGGGGGGAAGGCGACCCGCACCTGTTTTACCACCGGCCCGCAGATGACGTCACAAAATGGAATTTGCGGCATTTGCCGTCTGACCCTCACCCGTTTTTTCATTCCGGCAAAATGTCTTAATTTGTATAGGCAATTTTTAGGCAGCGCCAGGCGGCCACGACTGGTATTAACTAAAATTTTAAAATTTCAAAATATAAATTTTAATTGGATTTATAATAAATTAACTCTTTTTATAGTAGCATATTCTTTTACTGCATTTCTCTTATGAATAAAAATTCGGGTCGGAAGACATATGGGTAAGTGACGTAAATAGCGGAATGCCGCAATTACAATATACACTAAAATGTTGCAGTTTGAATCTTTAAAACTAAAGCTTATTTCAGCGGGAAAATGTGATACTGTTAGAATAAAAAATATGATAAAAAAGTTTATTATTTGATTGATGCCATGACGTCTTTAAACATTTAAATTAATGCTGCAATCGGTTAATTAACATATACAAATTAAGAAATTTTGCTGGAAGGTAAAACGGGTGAGGGTCGGACGGCATAGGGGTAAGCGCATGCCACAAATCCCGTTTTGGGTCGTCATCTGCGGGTCAGAGGTAAAATGGGTGCGGGTCGCATCACCCCACCCCCCTCGTTAAAAATAGGAAACATTACTTATTCTGTTTTTTTTTCTCCGAAAATGCCAAAAATTATTTACGATTAAGAATTGTTTAAGTCAAAACTTGAAAGATTGTTTCTTGCCTGCACAATGAATTAAAATTCTTTGCTCAGTGTATTTTTCTTGTGATGATATTTGGCCTGGTCATTTACCTGAAAAGGATTAGAAAATATATTATGTATGCATATATATTCATAGGAATACAAGGTTACTGACACTCTATTATATCCAGAGAATGAATGGTACCTTTTCCTGCGATCAGGGGGGGAAAACTTCAGTGTTTCGGACGAATTTAGTTATCAATTTTTACGATGAGTTGGAAAGTAGGTTGAATAGGAGATAAAAACCGCCTGTGGGAACTTTTTAATTATTTTAATCAGAAATCTTTAAGGTTTATTCCCCTTTTTCGGTTTGTTAAGCACCTTAACTTTTCTTCGACATCCCAGTTAGTGTTTCCAACGCAAGTGGATTTTAAATTCGCGCAAATGCGAACCCTTGCGCACAAGTGAATTAAATTGCGCGGAATTCCGTAGTAATTGCCCGCAAAAAACGCCTCGGCATTGCGCGCAATAGCACGCAATTCCGTCCAACTTTCTTGCGTTTGTGTTTCAACTTTTTGATAATATTCAATTAAAACCTTATGGCACGCAATAAATGCAATTCATTATTGCGCAATTCCTTTCAACAACAAAAAATTAAATTTAAACTTTGGTAGTGGCATTACACTAAACTGAACTGCACTAACATTTCAGTCTCAAATGCTAAGAAAATTGAATTTAAGCTTAATCTTTTGTTTTATAATATTAATTTGCAGCATGATAACCAGAAGACTCAGGCATATGAAGACGACATTTTAGACACAAGCAGACCAATGTAACTGAATAAGTGATTTAGTAAGATACTAATTAATGTTTTTTTGCTATGTTGTCCTTCTGTTCCATAGTTTTCTGGTTCTCACTGTAGCAAAATATCTAATTTTGATTAAACAAACCTTACAATTTTAACCAAAAAAAGCAACCAATGCACGCAATTCCGCGCAACAGAATTTCGATTGGAAACCTTCTGCACAGTACTTCGTACTTAGGGAAAATATGTATTTATAACTACGATGTATCCGTGAGAGTAATGTACTGTTGTTGTACAGCTAGTATACCTGCTGACAATTGGCTGGTTCTAATCTTACTTGGAGCTAGTGGACTTATTGGTGAGTACTTTTAGTACTCGTGATAATTATATCCCATTAGTAAAAACACTATGAATGAATTATTATCATCTCGTTTTCTAATCATTTTTATGATCAATTGCCGCGGAAACTATTTGTTTTGATATAACAATGACCCAATTTTATAAAAAAAGAAATCATATGGAGTTGTTCTGCATATTTCAGGTCTATTTTTATCTTTCCAAAAAATAGTTTATGATTATTTATATTCTGAAAATTTCTGTGTTGATCTTCAGTAAAACATCAAGTGTCTAGTTTTCAAACCCTTATACTCATATACTTACTCAAACATATACTTATACACATGTTCTATTTATTTTGTTTTGATACGGTGGTTAACGATCAATCAATCAAAATAATGAAGACTACTTTTTATTTAAGTTTTAATTGTTGACAAGCTAAATTTTCGATTACAAGTTTACTAGTAATTAAAGTGACGCTTTTTTAATTGCCAGCTTCTCTTTGTTTCCATGTTTTTGTGTATCCATGGTGTTTGAAAGTTTGATAAAAATCAAAATTGAAATCGAAAGTAGTCTTCATTATATTGATATAATCGCCTACTGTAATAAAAGCTTAGTGATACAAAATTTTATCAAAACCATCAAAATCAAGCTATAATACCTCGTTCTCATAACCAACTTAAAAAAAATCGGAGTCACGGAAGTCCGTAGTAAGATTTTGACTACTGGAGACCACCAAAGGGAATTCATTTTCACTGGATGGGTTTGAAAAAATGCTTTATACAATTTAAAAATAACGCAGGGTGATTTACATTTCACTGGAGGGATTCAGATATCCTTCATAGGGGTTTATAATTCCACTGGAGGGATTCAGATATCTATCTAGGGGGTTTATAATTCCACTGGAGGGATTCAGATATCTATCTAGGGGGTTTATAATTCCACTTGAGGGATTCAGATAGACATTTGAATCCCTCCAGTGGAATTATAAACCCCCTAGGAAGGATATTTTAATCCCTCCGGTGGAATCATAAACCTCTAGAAAGGATATCTGAATCCCTCCAATGGAATTATAAGCCCCATAGAAAAAATACCTTAATTCCTCCAGTGGATAGATGTCTGAATCCCTCCATTGGATTGTAACTCACCATGCGTAAAGTTTCAAATTGAAAAATGTGACTTTTCAAATCCCTCCAGTGAAAATGAAATCCCTCCAGTGGTCTTCAGTAGAATCGAAATCTTACTACGAACTTCTTTGATTCGAAAATTTTTGTGAAAATAAGGATATGGGGGATCTTGTTGTATTTTTCCTGAAGTATATATTTCTGTAAACTATCTTCTAAAGATAAAGTGTTTAAAGGTTACTATGCTATGACAAGATCTCTTCAACTTATACCACCAACCACAGTAGCAGTCCTCAGAGCTTTAGAAATTATTCTTGCATACGTTGCACAGGTTAATAATTCAGAACATCCACAAAGATCTATAATTATCAATTGGTTTGGCGTTACGTTGTCTTTTCTTCATTTTTTTTATTTTACCTGCTTATAGTTTCCTAATTTCATTATTAAATAATAACAAAATCTTATTTGCGAAAATAAATTTTTTAAATTTTATTGGATGACACTGTTGGCATGAAACAACAAAATGCAGAAGAAGAACGATCTATCTCATATTCTTACTTGCATATTTAGAATGTTTAAAAATGTAGGTTTTGCATAAATAATCTCAATAGTCTTTACCTTTTCTAATATTTTCATTATTTTGCACTCCGGTTTTCAGTCGATTATTTAAAATCTGTTGTTTAGGCTGTTGTAATGGGTGAGATACCGAACCCTATGGCAATATCTGGATCTTCTATTGTAATGCTGTGTGTTATGGGTGAGTTAGTTTGATGTTAGGAAGGGATTAATGTATATATAATCCTTTGATGTTTCGAACATTGGAGATTTGATCTAGCAGAATTTAAAAATTTAAAAATTAAAGGTCTGCGAAATCTGGTTTAAATAATGTAAGGTTAAAAAAAGAGTTTTTTTGACCACGCTACAATTTTCGAACCGATTTGTAAATTTTCTTAATTGTAAGTCTGAAAGAGAAATTGGTTATTTCAGGATTTGCTCTGGAGGATACGTTCACGTCCTGTTGCTTTACCAACAGATGATTTTATTCTGGATGGAAAATATATTGCAACTGTAGTGCAACAATCTGAATAATGATGTATGTACATCGTACAGTTTAGTGTACACACACATGAAAATCAAACATCTTAACATCTAAGGTTTATTAACTAAAGGTAGGGAGGATAGAGTTTTTAAACGTATTTGACTGAAGTATTGTATTAACTAGTTTATCAAACCAATAACTAAGATTGTAAACAAAAGTCGGAACTTTCCCGGGCTTGTTTACTCGCTTGTTTATTTACCTTAAACCAGTTCATAAAGGCCCCTATAGAATATACAGAAACCCTATCCCACCTCCCTACTTTTACCTTGTTTTTATCAATGTCATTATTTAAACGTTCATTAGACATGTACAGGGTTACCCACAAAGGATGACACTTCCAGGACTACTAAAAACTCTCAAAATATGACAATTTTAAAGTTTATTTATGTCTTCTGTCCTGAATATTTTCTTTAAATGGTTCATCTGATGATATGGCAAAAGAAGGAAATGTGTTTACAGTTGCAGGAAATTATATATGTAAGGAAACAGACTTAATTAACATTTTGTATTGTCGTTTCTGAACTCTCATCTTTTGTAGTTAACCCTGTTTAAACAGTGTACATTGTATATCAAGATGTCCACAAATGGCAGATACGATTTGGATTAATAGCATGGAAACATATTCATTTCTCTGAAGTCTTGTGTTGTGAATCTCGGATCAAGCATTGATCTCCAATTTTCATCTTATGCAGGGATATCTTTAAAAGAGAGATCAAGCAATGATCCTCAAATATTAAAGTGCTCGCATTTGGTTTGGATCAAACGTTCAAGATTAACGATACTCCACAAAATAGTTCTAATCTCTATTGTCAACAGTTTTAATAGTGGTTGTGATGATTGACTTTTAGTGGTTATCTTCACAAGATAAAAGTAAACAAAAATCGGAACTTTAGTGGGGATATTTTTATTCTTGAACATTTGATCTCGATATCCGCATCCAAAGTGGTCACTCTATTTATAGGTCAATGATCCCTCAATTAAAGCTTTTCCGGCATGACCATCACGGGATCTGGAAAAGGAATTTAATTAATCCGTAGATCCGAAGATCACAACATAAAAAGTGATTTTCAAAGTTCACTTTCAGCGTTTTTTATAAATCTTACACATATTAGGGGAACCCATTTTTTGAATGTCAAGCATTTTGGATTTAATTTTTTTTATAAGTATTTAGTAAAGTTTAAGCAGAAATATATAACATTTATTTTTATTTTTCTACAGTGTATATAGAAGCTATTCTATAATTGCAGTGAATTCAGGATTGCAAGCTTTCTCACAAAATCCGATCTGCATTATCCACTATGACAAGTTTAATTCTTTGAGAAAATCTGCTCCGATTAGAGATTGCTCTTGTGTTGCGACTGCTGCCAATTGAAACGTACGAGTCTTTCGTGAAAACAATAAAGATATAAGAAATCGGTATTCTTTGGCGGAAAAAAACGGTTATACATTATTTTACAGAAATCTGGAAATACGTAGAAATGAATAAGTTACCTGGCACAAGTTTTTACACTTGGTAAACCTGTCTGACACCTTAATATATACATATAATTAAGTTTTATCATATTTATTACATCGTTTCAATTATTTATTTAAATAACAAAAAGTTAATCATCGATTTACATTTTAAAATCTGTATTCATTTACTTTTTATTATTTTAATGTTTATCTTCATAATAAAAGTGCAATATTGTAACCAAGATACACTTTTGTATTTTAAATTGTCATCTTTTAATAGCTTTTAACTTGTAATCGTAATTTTGACTATAAATTCATCTACATTAGAAATAAATCGTTTCAACTGAACTACAACGATAGTTCATTGTACATTATTTATTAGGGGAACTCTTTTTATTTTTGATTCAATTGTTTTCATAAGAATTAAGTAAAATTTTAGCAGAAATATATAACATTTAATTTTAATTTCAAGCGACTTTCCATGCAAAGATGGCAAGGCCCGATTTAAAACAATGCCTTGGAAACCTTGATCTGATCAACAATGTAGAAGATACTGTAGTTCTATTCAGAAAGAATTTATTTCTGATAATTTCTAAATTGCTTCTAATCAGCAAGGAATGCGCCAGCCATTTTAGCAGAGAAACCACAAATCAAATAAACAGTTTAAAGAAGCAAAAATATGGATATACAATTCATACTTGATCAGACAAAGCTTAAAGGCTACCATTGTAAATCGGTCATTGCCATCTTTGCATTTGAAATTACGCTTACAGTCCCTTTAAGCAGTTTTCAAACTGTAGTGCCAACTCATCCAACGGCGGGTTATCCCATTAGGATATGGGTTGGCTGGTGATAAGGTTTATAAGAGGGGGTTTCTAAATAATTGATGAGGGAATAGACTATATAGCGAGCTAGTTTTTTAAGCTCATTTTGCTATTTTACATGCACATTGCGGCACGTATGAATTTGTCAGACACGCGGATGCTATATCGATTGGACTAATAGCCGATTGAGCTAATGTTCAGTTAAGGAATAAAGTCAGCTGTTCATAAACCAGTTTTTAGTACATATGAACAGATTAAAAATGGACTATTTTCAAATGAACTAATTTTTAAATTTAAAACAAGACCTGGCTCAATAGAAAGTAAAAATGAGGAGGGGGGGAATGGGTACTTTTTCACCAAGTAAACATTTAATTATTTTTACGGTGGTCGCATTGCAGCTCTAATTTATCGAAGTTTAAGAACGTATAATTCCACGCAAAAACAAAATTTCATCGAAACTCGGAACCAAATTTTATTACCGAGTTTAAATCTACTACGTAATACAATTCATGTTAAATAATGTTGTAACATCTGAAGATTACATACTATGTTAAATAACTACTGAGTCGCAGCACTCGGCACAGAAATTGTTTTAACCTAACCTTCAAATTTTAAGATTAAGATAATATTCTTTTGTGTAAAAATACAGGGTGTCTCAATCAGGGGCGGATTCAGCTTTTTAAAAATGGGGGTCAAAGTCTGAATAATATAGGGTATAGTACCGAGCGAAACGTAGTGAGCAAGGGGGGGGTGTAGGGGGGCGTCTCAAATTTAAAAAAAACATTAAAAGTGAGTATTTTAAGTGATCAAAACAGAAAATTACTCTTGTAGTATGTAAAAATATTTCACTAAGATATATTACTCTATAAAAAATATTTCCATTTCCATTGGCATTACATAATTTCTTATTACAATTTTACATATTGTGATTGAGATATTAACTACAAAAGGTTGTGGGTGTTATTTCATGTGACTAATTAAGTTACAAGTTACCCCAAAGGATGCAATTTCAAGATTGTAGAGTTTAATCTGTTCTTAACTCCTATTCTTTGTGGTTAACCCTGTAGGTTTAAATATAGCGATGGGCAATTGATAAATTCGTTTTACAAAAACTTTTAATACTTATGGACTTTTAAAGGTTTACGGGTTCAACGATTTGAAATTGTCTTCTGTAGAAGTTTTCTATTATCAAACATGCAAATTTGTTATCCTAGGTGAAAACATAAGGCAAAAATGAACTGAAAACGATCGTTTTAAAAACCCAAAAACTATTATTTTTGCCTTATTTTTTCTTCGAGGGTAACAGATTTGCATGTTTGGTAAACTTCTACAGAATAAAGTTCTAAACTGTTGGAACCTTCTCATATTGTCGTAATACCTTTTAAAAGTCTAAAAACATAAAAAGTTCATGTAAATTGAATCTGGTTATTGCTCATCCATATTAAAATTTTTTAAAAATAGATTATTTATATATGTAAACTACTAAACATGAGGAATAAAAGTAAAGTTTGCAAAGTTGTATAAAGATATAAGATCTAATCTTCCAGAATAAAGAAAGCCTGTCAACTTTGTTATGCATTTTTATAATATTTTTGTTGTTAAACAATGAAGATAAATAAACCCTGAACCTATTGAATATATTTAATTCAATTTTTGTCTATAAAAGCTTTAAACACTTTTGCGAGTTTTACGGTTTCTAAGATGTCTCAATGAATGTTTATTATAGGGATTATTAAATCTCTCATTGTTCATGCTTTTTGTTAAAGCATATTAAAGTATCTGCTGGAAAACAAGTTTCAGTAAACTTTTAGGTTAGTCTCCAGCAAAGGAGGGGGGGTCAAAAGATACTCTTGACCGTCGGCCCCTTTACCCCCCCCCCCTGGATCCGCGCCTGGTCTCAATAAACGGGGAATTAGGGTCTACACTCTACAGACTCATTTGTAATCGAATTTTCAAGATTGAGGCCATTTTAAAAATTTACGTGCAATTTCAGATTTAAAAAGTCCATTTTTAGATTTAAAAAATAAACATTTTATAGGCTCCTAAAGTTTTCAACTGGAGCGCTGTTAAGTAAAAAGTAAAAGATAATCTCCGTTTGCACAATTTTACAGTCAATGTTAGGTTAGTTTTTTACAGTAAAATTTTTAATTTTAGATCTACAAGCCAAAAGTTGGGCTCATTGACTCGGAAATTGTACGTAGATATTAAAAATTGTCGTAATCTTGAAAATCCGATTTACAAACATTATAGACCCAATTATGTGCAAACGGAGAATTTTTTCCAAATTTACTCACTCCAGATGGAAATTTTAGGAGCCTTTAAAATTGTCATTTTTAGAGCTACAAGCCTAAAATTGAGCTCATTGAATCGGAAATTAAGTACGTTGGTTTAAAAATGATCTCAATCTTGAAAATCTTATTCCCCGTTTTTTAAGACACCCTATACTTATTATGAGGAAATTTTTTTTAAAAATCTTAAAATTAGTTTAGTTGAACAAATATGGTCCTTTTGAACGTTAGTCCAGTTGATATGACACCCGGACGGGTCAACTCTGCATCTATATCTACCTGATCTGTAGGTAAATAGTCTGTATAGATCGTGGATAAATTGTCTAAGTTTGAAATATCAAAGGTTTACACCATCAATCATCATGTTCCATAGATAAAGAGATCATCAAATTTGAGTTTGCAATTCCATTGTGTTAAAATTAAATAAGTTGAATTAATGGTGTTCTGTAGATCTAGAATGAGTTTATGTTGCCGCCAAATATGTAAAATCCACCTAATCCTGATGTACTGAATCCACCCGTGTTGTTTCAGCTCCGAGTAAACCTCCGTTCTCTCAGGTTGGAATATGGAGAACCCACAGTTTACCCTCACCTTGTACAGGGTTAACAGGTCCTAGCAATCAATCACTAACAATAGGATGATCGTATTTGTTTTCCGTTAAGTTGTTTTTCATTTCTATTGACGTAACATAAATGAGTACTCCTACGTTTATCTTTTTTAAAATGAAATTGTTATCGTTGCAAATTTTATTTCTATCCCATGTTTCTGACAAGCCTTCATGGACCCCAAAAGTACAGAATAAAAACATTTGTTTAATTATCTCCGTATACTGGACAGCACAAACAGAAAATGTTGGTGTCAATTGAGAGCTGTTAGTGTTTTCTCTCGACAGAAAATGTTGGTGTCAATTGAGAGCTGTTAGTGTTTTCTCTCCACAGAAAATGTTGGTGTCAATTGAGAGCTGTTAGAGTTTTCTCTCTACAGAAACCTAGGTTAGAAATAATACAGCGTTGTTATATTATAAGTAAATTACTATTTGTTCCAGTTTATTGGTAACCGACCCTCTTTGTTGCGTAGAGTTTTGAAAATTGCGATAAATAGGTTTTGAAAGTGGTAAAAATTGCTCAAACTAGAATTGCTCGCATGCATACATATACGGAGTTGTTGAAATTATTAATCTTCAGCGTGAAAATTGTCCCCCAATATTATTTTGTTCTTTCAGCAAATTAATTTACGCTAAGCTATTAGAAGAAATCCTAACGATGTGTTGGACCTATCGAAACTTAAACAAATCTTAATGAATGTTAAATTTTCCTTAACTCGATAAAGATAAAATCTTAACAGACTCTATTCTTTCAAATTTATATCAACTCCACTTTCCACTTTCATTTTATATCAAGATATCAGGGTCACGTCTGTAATCTTAATCTTTATATTAGGAATTCTAAAAAACGCACAACAAGAATGAGCGGAAAAATAATTTCCACCCATTCAGGTTAAAAAACTATTGGTCGTCGATTTCTTGATAGCAAGTACAAAATCTTTAAAATTGTGACTGTTTCTGGACATACTGGGGTTTTGGCAAAAACTAAAAAGCCTGGGTCAAAACTCAGAATCCAGAAAACTTGGACATTTCATTATAGAAGAGACCCAAAAGGCCCGGGCAAGTTCAGGAATTTCTGGGGCTTTGACAGACACCAAGAAGCTTGGGAAAGCCCCGGGGATTTTAAGACTGTCCCAAAAACACAGAGCCCTGTACACACAATGCCATTGAGATTTTCTATCTCTAAGACCCAACAGAACGGGACATCCCGGCCCTTGTATTTGAATCTTTGGAACTGTTTCATAGTCCAACTCCAAGAGTCTCGACACCATGAATGTTTTATTTTTCTTAATCTCAAAGACTTAAAAGCATGGACAGTCCCGGGATCTTTGGCAGAAATCCAAAACGCTTGGCCAGGTCCAGGTTTGCCCCGAAAAAAAGAGGCTCAACACCATGGAGGTTTATTTTTCATAATCTCAAAAACCTAAAAGCCTGGACAGTTCCAAGATCTTTGGCAGAAACTCAACACCAAGTGGGTTTACTTTTCTCTATCGCAGAGACCCGAAAGCCAGGACAGTCCAGGGGGCGGAAACGTCATGGGGGTGTGTCTGTACCAAAAGAGTGTGTGTAAAGTTTACCGAACCGAAGGTGTGTACTGTAGGTATATACAGTACATACGAATCTTGGTATTTGTACAGCCTGGAGAGTACATTTGTTTTTTGTTAATTTTACTTAGAAATATAAGTTTAATATACATGAATATATTATTTATATATATTCAAGTCAACACTATAAGCCAAATTTTCATGCAAAGAATATAATTTGATAAAGTTTACCATAAACTAGTCTTTATTCAAGCTTAATTATAATTGACAACATTGTTTTGCAATTTCCTTGACTGTGGTCATGTTGTGTGTCTGCACCAAAAGAGAGTGTGTAAGGTTTACCGAACTTGTCTGAAAAGCAGTGCGACTGGCTTTCTTATGCCAGACCAGGGCCATTTCCTTTCCCTTCATTCCTATTCCCTGGGACAGTCACAATTCTAGGATTCGTGTCACTTGCTGTTGGCCCTCTCATGGTCATGTTTATTGGGAGACCCCGTATATGTAATGTGTTCCCTTTAAACTAAGAAACCATAATTTCAACCAAAGTCTATAATTCTCCAGATTTCTAACGATATGCTTTATTGGGTTCATGAATTAATTTTAATAACCAGTCATTATTCCTTTGTTTAATTGCTCAAACTTTAACTCTTCAGCTCCAGGTTAACAACGTTAATTAATTTCTTGCACTTTCAAGCATAATGTGCTCTTTTAAAGTTATCGTTCACCTCTTTTAAAGTTATCGTTCACCTCTTTTAAAGTTATCGTTCACCTCTTTTAAAGTTATCGTTCACCTCTTTTAAACGTTTTAATATATTCCAGAAAGCCTCAAGCTAAGTTTACTTGTATTTAGTTAGAAAAGATAAAAATGAGTAATAAGAATATAACAAGTTTTTTAACAAACCTGTGGCCGAATTTGAGCGGCTGTTTAAATTTAAGCCGCGGTTTAAATATGGTTGGTTCCACTTAAAATTGTATCAAATGTTTCAAGATTTAAACCGGCGCTTAATTTAAACCGGGTTTTGGTGGATTTAAACCGCGGCTCAAATTCTTTAAATTCCATCTCTGGCTTCCAAAATGCGTTACTTTTCCTCTAAAATAGATGCTGGAAATTAAATCAATTTCCAAAATACATTTGATAAATCGAAAAACAACATTGTAAACGGGTTTAGTTATGATTCTTGGAAATTATTTTTGTGAATTACGGATTAGAATTTATTTTTTAAAAATCTCAATTTAACAAAAAATAGCAATTTTTGACATTACAAAGTGTATAAATGTGACAACTGGTTATCATTTTGCACTACAATGCAATACACAATCAGACTATTGTTGGATTTAATTTTCCGGAACTGACGCTCTTTTTCCGGAACTGACGCTCTTTTTCCGGAACTGACGCTCTTTTTGCCTCAGTCCTAGAAATATTCTCCAAATATCACATTGTATTTTCAAGGTTTAAGTTCTTCGTCGATATAGTGATGTAAATTTTTTTGCAGATGATTGGAGTTTGAGTTTATTGGTATAATCATAAAGCACCATAAATCAAAGACGAGTTTGATGTCGTCCTTTAGTTTGCATGTTTGACTGCCGGCCTTCATGAACCCCTTGTCAACTAGATGTTTTTATTTATAAATATAAAGTGTGCACTTAAACTACTTCGATTTCTTTATTTTTAGCCTAATGGAAGCAGTGTTGTATATATTCAATACATTCTAGAGAACAAAGGAGCAAACAAAACATTGTTTCCACCAAAAGGGATTGTTCTCTTGGGTTGAAAAATATTTTAGATATTTTTTTGCATGTTATTTTGCAATCGGTCAGGAATGACTTTCTGGTCTACACAGACTATTTGCACTAAGACTAAAATCGGTTTGTTTTTGCTTTTTGACTTTTTTTTATTGATTTGAGCTCTTGTTATTCGTTCAAGTTATTTGATTCAATGACTGCGAAGAATTCCGAAAATTAATTCTTGCAATTCATGTTTTTTGCTAGTTTGCTTTAGAAGTACGGTATATTCAGGACCAGATAAATTACCTATTTTAGAGAATTTCAGGGCATCGTTTTTTATTCATTTCTTTTTGTATGTTTGCGAATCAAAAATCTAATAATTTTTAAAAATAAAGAACAAAATAATCCAAATACTTGTTTTTTATTCATTTCTTTGTGTACGTTTGCGAATCAAAAATGTAATAATTTCTAAAAATAAAGAACAAAATAATCCAAATACTTGTTTTTTATTCATTTCTTTGTGTACGTTTGCGAATCAAAAATGTAATAATTTCTAAAAATAAAGAACAAAATAATCCAAATACTTGTTTTTTTTATCTAGGCAAAACTTTTGCAGAAGAAATTTAACTAATCGTTTTTCATTTTTCTTTCAGTGTTTTTTTCTTGGCAATTTATTTGTAATAAAGGCAAAGGAGTTGAGCTTTTGCCACAAACTCTGATTTTCCAATCTCTACATCTTTGTAATCCAATGCCATAGACCTTAGATATTTCAAACTATTAATACTTATAGATATAATAATCGAAATTTGAAATATCAAAGGTTTGCACCATCAGGTTGCAAAGATATTGGGATCAGAAGATTTGAGTTTGTGGCAAAAGCTCAATTCCTTTATTGAGAATATAATTTAAAAATGTGATAAAGAAAAAATCAAAAAGCTTGAACGAAGCTATACTTCAGAGACGACTGTACAATTATACATACTTTTTAGACTATTAGACAATACAGATTCTAAAAGGGTTTAATAATTTGAAATATAGCTTAGAGTGTAACAGTGAATTACGCTCCATTAAGGGGATTTAATCTTTTACAAACTGTGTAACATGCCATAGTTAGGTGGATAAACACTGCTTGTATTTTATTCTTACAAACTGTGTAACATGCCATGATTAGGTGGATAAACACTGCTTGTATTTTATTCTTACAATTTGTATTACAGTTTGTTATAGTAATTTATTTTAACACGAATAAGATTATATTTGACAAGAGGACCATGTTCAGAGTTAAATATGGTTTTCGATCCTTTTTTATGCATTCAAGATTCTTTGCATTCTAGGAGTCTCCACAAAAATATGCATCAGAGTCAAGAAGGATAATTGAAAGATATACAATCGATTATATCTTCCTCATTGTTTGAGTTGTTTCTCAAGTAAAGGTTCAAATCGTACAGTTGTGATGAGGGCATGTAGCTCTTTAATTAGAGTTACTTGACTCTTTTTAAGCGTATTAATTTGAACTCTTGAAGCCTGAAAAGCTTCCGTTGCCTGGTGTGGGGAAATTTTGACTCTAAGAAATTAGAACAAGAATAAAAACTACGTTTCTGTGACTAATATTTTTGATGTTAATGCAGGAAATTTGAAATCTCTTTTTATTTTTAATATGTTTGATGTGCTTTGTAGTAAAAAGTGAAGCATATCTCAATCAAAAGTTTTACACCAACTGTAAACTACGTAATTTTGTGTTTTTTTCCAGCAGATTTATTCTAAAAATATCATAAAAAAATTGACTCACTTTATCAATAAGTTTACAAATATAAATGAAATAATATGTAATCAGTGTAAAAAAAACAAAAGTTTTTATTATATACTACAATACAGAAATAAATCAAATTGTTATATATTGCTCACAACTATAAATCAAACTGAAAATGGAAACTAAGTTTTGATATTTAGCTTTTTCAGCATGTCTTTAATTGCTTTACATCAATGGAAAACCAGTTGGTGAATTTGAAAGGATCACAAAGATATCAGTTTTATATAAAGAAACTGATCATTTGGACCATTCGAGCCTGTCCAGTCCCCTATAAAGTTTGGTCCCAATTTGTGCGGGGAAAATAGAGAAGGGAATTCACCCAATTGGACTCCTTTGTGACACATAAATTTACAGAATCTGTTAACGCGTTTTTGACATAAAACTGAATTTGTGATTTAGGTTATGACTAAATCAAGCTATTAAATAATTTTCACGTTATTCTGATATTCATTTGTTAAAATGACAGTAAATTTTTTTAAACGATCCCCACATAGGCACCCTGTTATTTGCTGTAAACTGTCCCCACCTAGGCACCCTGTTATTTGCTGTAAACTATCCCCACCTAGGCACCCTGTTATTTGCTGTAAACTATCCCCACCTAGGCACCCTGTTATTTGCGGTAAACTATCCCCACCTAGGCACCCTGTTATTTGCTGCTGTAAACTATCCCCACCTAGGCACCCTGTTATTTGCTGTAAACTATTCCCACCTAGGCACCCTGTTATTTGCTGTAAACTATCCCCACCTAGGCACCCTGTTATTTGCTGTAAACTATCCCCACCTAGGCACCCTGTTATTTGCTGTAAACGAGTGGTGCCGAATTATGCAGCAGAGACACTTTTCAGTAAAAAACACGACAATACCGTCCTCATTGTTAATCTCAATTTATCCGGTTTAAAGGGTATCGTTGGTAATTAGACATGCAACTTCATAAATGGCTGGCCCCTAAAAAATGCCTCCACAGATTCTTTGAGGAGAAAAAACTGTAAGCTCGAAATAACGGAAGAAAAATATGCTAAACAATTGATGAAATCATAAATCTACCATAATAGCTGTTAAAATATTTTCAGAATTATAATATGCTTGGTTTATCATGCATTGTTTTCTTTAACTTTTTTCTTGTTCATGGACTAACTACTTCTTCAAGTTTAACCCAGGTAAATATATCCAAGGGTAGTTCTAGTTGGAACTTGAAGAACACAAGTTCACCTATTTATCAAGCAAAAAAAAGGATTAATTTTTTTTGGTTCCTATCGTCTTCACACCGAACTTAGTATTTTTAATCGATTGTAAATATTTAATTATTGTTTACATTTTTAATGTTTCTTAATTCAAAATTTAATAATTCCGGTTAACCTAGTGCTAACCTAGTTTGAAGACAAAAAAAACTGATAAAACAGGAATTCTCAATCGAAAAAAAATTGAGATGAAAACACGAATTGTTCTGTCTGTTTTTTGATCTCGACTATCTTGGAATTGTAGAAATAAATTGATCTGATTGTTGGGAATTTATGAAAAGAGATAAGTAGATGAATTCACTACTAGTTAAAAACTCTAAACAAAACTGTTAAAAAAGTTTGAATATTTTTCTGCGTTATTTGAATCATATTCATGATTGGTATTAAGTATAAATACAGTGCTCGGCGTTTATATCAATACATTGAAGACGACTTTTTTATTTAAATTTTGATTGAACAAGCTTTTGAGCGACTTTTATATACAAATTTTGATTGAACAAGCTTTTTTCAAATTACAAGTTTACAAGTAAGCAAAGAGAAACTGTTGATTGCATCTTCTCTGTGTTTCCATGTGTTTGTTTATCTAATGCTGTCTGAAAGCTTGGTAGAAATCAAAGTCGTATTCATTGTTTTGATACATACGACGACGAATACATATTGACAATCATTAAAAATATTCTGGGCAACTCTGTGAAAGCGATTTTCAATCCCAACTCGTCTATTTTCAACTTTTAGTTCCAGTATTTCATTCATCGAATTAATTGTTTAAATAGATAGATAGATAGATATATTTGACTAAATATTTTAATAAAAAGTAATTAAAATTGCAGAATTTTTACATTTTAATTTAGCGATTGGAAGAGGTATGGTTCAATTTTAGTTGACAATATAAGATAAGTAGCTAAAACTAGTCCCCAATCAGTTGACTGCGGTAACTATAGGCAGAAGGAGAAGGTCTAATATATGCGACATTTCTGTAGGACTTTGTAATCTCGTAGTCGTATTTCATTTAGTTTTGATTTTACACACAAGTATGAGAAAGGAAAATTTATTCAGTTTCATATTATAAATTATAAACAGTTAAGTTCTTCTCTATAGCTCTATAATTGGAGTTATTATTGAAAATATAAAAGATTTCAATCTAACGTGATATTTACTTTTGTTTGACGTGAGTTCAAACACCTAGAGCTCATTCGTGAATTCCTATCTCAGTGGAAAATAATAGGGTTTCGTAATATTTGTTTTTGGTAAAATTAAAACTTTTATTCTTTTAACTCCGAGTTTTGAATCTTTAGTCTATCAAAGTCATCCCTAGTCATCGCAGTGTTTGAAAAGTTTTATAAATTATGCTGCATGTTTAAAACTTTGTCGATTTTAGTCAGAGTGAATTATATATTCCACGCATCTCAACATCGTTAATATTCAATATCAACATCATCAATTGTATATTAAAAAATATTAAAGGATAGGGGTGAAACATTTTTCTTAAATCATTTTTCAGAAACAAAATTGTATTCTACTTTTAATTCTTAAGTATAAAATGCATTTATCGCAAAATTCAAAAATGTTTGCCTTAAACGGGGTTAAAAAAAAATTTTTATCATTATAAATTTCATCAAGTGCTAAAAAATGTTTTGTTTTTTACCAAACTTGATTTACTTTCAATATTTTTCAATTCGGTGAATTCGGAAATCCAACCAGATTCCAATGGTACCGACCCAAATTGATAAGCTTTTCACAATTTTCATTTCCTCTTATACTACTGATTTTGTTTTCACATTTTTTATTTTTGTCAAAAATGTAAGTAATTAACATCAAAACATATGAATGTCAGTTGGAATACAATTTTGCTTCTGTGAAATTACATCAGAAAAATGTCTATCCCCTATTAAAGAGATTGTTTTGATTCTTAAATTTACCATACATGGCAACGGCTTTTTATAAAGAAGTTCTATGAAACATAAACGAAAAAGAAAAGGTCCTAGGTTTGTTTAATGAAATAAAAAAAATTGAGCTTAATTCCATTCAGATGTCCATCTTTGAGAGTAGAGTAATATGCAGTACAGTACAGTACAGTATTAATATGCAGTACAGTACAGTAGAGTATTAATTACAGTACAGTAGAGTATTAATGTGCAGTACAGAACAGTAGAGTATTAATATGCAGTACAGTACAGTAGAGTATTAATATGCAGTACAGAACAGTAGAGTATTAATATGCAGTACAGTACAGTATAGTATTAATATGTAGTACAGAACAGTAGAGTATTATTATGCAGTACAGAACAGTAGAGTATTAATATGCAGTACAGATCAGTAGAGTATTAATATGCAGTACAGTACAGTATAGCATTAATATGTAGTACAGTACAGTAGAGTATTAATATGCAGTACAGAACAGTAGAGTATTAATATGCAGTACAGAACAGTATAATATTATTATGCAGTACAGTACAGTATAGTATTAATATGCAGTACAGAACAGTATAGTATTAATATGCAGTACAGTACAGTACAGTATAGTATTAATATGCAGTACAGTTTTCTAAAAGGCAAAACCCTACCTTTTGCAAAACAGTGTATTTACTGCATAATCAAAAAAAAACTTATGGCGCACTTTTTATACTCACATTATGGTTTTTATTCCGTACTATACAATGTCATATAAATTCATACAATATCCTAAAACGGAATCATGCTGTTTTGCAGAAGGGTGTCTGGAGAAGAGCTTTCAATGGAAACCAGATAGTAAGGAAACAGGAGGGCTCAGAACATTTACATCTTCATCCTATTCAGCCCCGCCAGCAGCATGGTATACAACACCAGGAAAATTTAATAGGAAACACGGTTCTGAATAATAATGAATACAAGGACAAGAATGAAGCTTATCCAAACATCTTTAATCTACTCACGGATGTTGCATTCAGAAATAAAGGATTTGTTCAAGAGAATTTAGAAAGGTTAGTTTTCAAAAAAACGTAATAGATAATAATTTTGACCTTTTTTTGGAATATTTGACAAAAATCAAGGTAATTCGTTATATTTTATTGAAACACTTAAGCTGTAAAATTTAAGTTAATGTCAAATTGTTAATTTTACTAAAATCCACCAGTAGATATAGTTTAAATTTTTACTTGATTTTATTATCCTGTAAAATCCTAAATAAACTTCTGATGAAAAGTCAACGTTTATAAGACGGTAACAGGGTTTCACTTGAAGTTACAATTAATTTCATCTATACATAAAGTATAAAGTTGAGTGGGTTGGCTTTTATAGGGATAACTCCAGACAAAGCAGGGTGTCCCAGCTAGTTATACAATAAGGCTTTCTTTGAGAAAATTGTCAAGAAAATCACCAAGGCTTTTTTTTATTTGTTTCTTTTAAAAATACGTAAAAAAATTTGGTTTCACCGATATCAAATTTTCGCAAGCTTGTGGTTTGCACGGAATTGCGTTGTTTTGCGCGCAGAAAAATTTGTCTTCAAGTTGATTTCTGACTGAATGTAAATAAAAAAAATTAGAACAAATTTTTTCAACTTTTTCCAGTTAAATTAATCATTTCTAGCAAATTGTTTGAAACTCATTTCGCAACTTGCGTCTTTGCTTACGAGCCAGAATATTTCCGCGAAAAAAGATGATACGCCAAGCAGCACAAACCATTTTGAATTACACTGGAAACCATACTCTCAATTCTGAATCATCCAATAATTATTACTTTTTAGTGAGTTGATGCACAGTGTGGATAAGAAAAATGTTAAACGAGACAGGTAGATTACATAAAGTCATATGTGTTTGCTTTAAGGTTAGGATCCATGTTTCTCTAATTGTTTCCATAGTATCGGTTTAATCATAAATTTGGAAAGATATTTTTAAATATAATTGCGTGATTAAAAATAGGTGTTAATGAATGAATTTTTAAATGTACATAATGAATTAATTAATACGACTGAATTCTTGCAAATATACATAAGGTCGCCATTGTAATTATGTACTTTTTTTGGAAATTTAATTTTAACAAAGTTTAAATTTTGCTAAAAAAAAAAGAAATCATAAACGTTGGTTATTTAAGGTAAAATGCAGAAAATCAAAAGGAAACAAATAAGTTTTACAAAACGAAATAAAAAACTAATATGTGTCAAATTTAATCCAAGAGAGGGAACCAGGAGGGGATGGGTTTGAAAGTCAAGAAGATGTACACAAATAAAAAAAAAAAAATTGGTCACTTTCTAACATTTTTCGGAAGACTCGCAGCAGTGCCTTTTATCCCCTTGTTTTATAACGGAGAAAATGAGATAACCTTTTATTCTATCCAAAAATTGATTGTGACTTCTTTATAAAAAAGTTAATTGCGAAGAGCAAATTAAATGGTAAAGAGGCATTAATGAGGAAAATTATCAGAATTCAACACCTTTCTTAAATAGAAAAAAAGTGTTTTCTAGTATGTTGTAGTAATGATCAGCAATAAATCCCAATTTTCTAATACCTATATATCTACAACCAAATTATGTAAACTTTTGATATTTCAAACTTTGATTGATTGATATAGCAGAAGTCATAGTTTGAAATATCTAAGGTCTACAACATAGGGATTTAAAAATCAGAGTTTGTGGCAAAAACTTAATTCCTTTAATTACATAGCTTGTCAATCCTTTCGATTGGAGTTCATCTTAATGAATTGTTTGTAAGGTTTTTATATGATGAATATTTGATTAGGACCCAACTGCGTCTATCACTATCCAACAACCTAGATATTCTCAGAGAAAAATTATTAAAAGAAATATCAAGGAAGAGCATGAATGAAATTCAGGTTAGACATATATATATACTCAGTTATAAAGTGCTTTCCATAAAAGGATGAGATTTAAAACACGATTATACAGAATGTATACAGTCTTTGTTCTCCAGTCATGGTCCTTTTAAGATGTTTTTTTCGTACAGTCATAACCAGAAAACTCCGAAATATAGAGACGACTTTATAGCAATACGTATGTGTATTTGATGTTGTTATAAAGCAAATAATTTTATAATTATTTTATTTAATCACAAATCAAGTAAAATGGGTCTGTTTGCACTGAATAATTTCTATTTCTCGTGCTCATTGTACTATCTTAAAGGGAGTGTTCGCGAAAAATTAAAGGGGGTATAGGCTTAATGCGATAAAAAAGCGCTTTTGATCGCTACTAATCTTACTTCTTTCTGTTGCGTCTATAAGGAGAAAATTGCTAAAAACAAATCACACCGAAGAACGTAGTGTTCATACAAATTAGGAAAGATGCAACATTCAACTCGGATCGTAAACAAATCAATTTAATTCCCTACAAATAATTCAGATATTACAAACAATAGTCATTGATTATTTTTCGACGAATTCGTAAATATTTGATATTTCATAATATTTTGTATTTTTCATGATCTGAGAGTTACATTTTTTCCTGTTTCGAGGATTTTTGATAATGAAGACGACATTTTTCTATTTTCCAGGAATGTTCGAAAATCCAGCGCCAGCGAAAATTAATTTTAAAAAACAAAATCAAAAATATTATGAAATATTAACTTTATATGAATGCGTCGAAAAATAACCGATGACTATTGTTTGTAATATCTGAATGATTTGTCTGGAATTAAATTGATTTGTTTACGATCCGAGTTGAATGTTGCATCTTTCCGAATTTGCATGGGCGCTGAGTTCTTCGGTGTGAGTCATTTTTAACAATTTTCTCCTTAAAGACGCAACAGATAGAAGTAAGATTAGTAGCGATCAAAAGCGCTTTTTTATCGCATTAAGTCTATACCCCTTTCATTTTTCGCGAACACTCCCTTTCAGTCATAATTTTAGCTTAAAATACACATTGTAATTATGTACTTTTTTAAATTTAATTTTAACAAAGTTTAAATTTTGCTAAAAAAAAAGAATCCATAAACGTTGGTTATATATAAGGAATCGATAAGTTTAATTTATCATCATTATCTACTCAAAAAATGTATTGGCAGATTATTTCAAATGTCGTTTAATTTTAAACAAATGTAACTTTGTAGTGTGCAAAGTACCTAAACTATCTAAACTTCTTCTCACTGTTAATTAATTCCGACCCAAGGAAGAAGATGGATTGAATGGCGGGGAGGATGCAAGGATTGTCCACTGGAAGAAAATGAAAGCAATGATACAAAAGATGAAGATGGGAGGATTCCAGGAGCAAAGAGCAGTTAGAGCAAATATTCAGGTTAAATGTAATTATCATAAAAACTAATTGTGTAAGCCAAATTAAATTTTTCAATTTTTTGTGGACAGAAATCGAAATAGTTTAATTTTATATACTTAATTGATTCTTGATTATTTCGACATTATTATTATATTTTTCCAATTATAATTTATATTATAGAGAAGATTGTACAGGCTGGCCCCTTCTTCTAAACCTATCCATAGTCTGGGAAAGTAGGATGTATAAACTGGATATATCCAACCCTTGGTTAATTCTTGATACTGACAATATTAAACTACATGTTAAATACATGTGTAACATATAAAAGCTATTATTATGAAAAATTCAACAAATAAATTGAGATTAAATTTCTTATGGTTGTTATTCTTTCAGGGACAATTTAAAAAGATTTTTAAATATCTCACAAGCCAAAGGATCATGAAAATTTGAAAAGTGAAAAGTTGTCGGTTAATGTAATTTCAACTGACACTCTATCTAGAAGAATTTAGGTTCAATTCCTAAACAAAGTTTTTCTACAGTGAAACCCTTTATAACGAATACATCGGAGGAATTTATCAAATGTCGTCTTGACAACTTTTCAATGAGTTTTATACTATGACGTTAACAGTGAGTTGCATTTTAACCAAAAGATCTTCCCTTTGGTAAACTTTCTATCCATTCTTAAAAGCTTCCGTATCTTGCATTTAATGTTGGTCACTCTCCAGTTCTGCGTAGAATCTTTAAAATTTCTACGTCTCTTTTAATCTAAATATAAATAAATAAATGTTAGTATAGTTGCTGTGACATCTAATCAAATTAGTGCACAGTTTATTTGCAAAACACGTAATACTTGCCTAACACTGTAAATTATCTACCCCATATCTTTGCAACCTGATATCTCAGACGTTTGCTATTTGGCGTTTCAGAATTTACATATATTTTAAAATATCAAAGGTCATGACATCTGTTTGCAAAAATATAGGGATTAGACAATTAGAGTTTGTGACACGTGTTTACTGTTTTTGAAACCAGAGGAAGTAAGTAACAAATATGTTTGCGATTTATCTGTCCTTTCTTGATAAACTTAGTTTGTTGAAATTCAAGTTGAATGTAATGTATGTAAACTCCTGGAGTTCATCGGACAATGGACGTTTGGGTAATCGTGACTAGCATACACTTTCTGAAAATCTTTTCTACATGGATTAAGAAAACAGATTAGAACAAGATTTTTTATTTTGCATTTTGCATTTTGAATAGATTTAACTGAAAATATAATTATATATAGTCCGTATAGTTCATATTACGTCACCGAAACTTCAGCCAATGGCAGTGCAGTATCGTTGTCACGTGATACAGACGGAAATCACGTATACTGCACCGCCATTGTTAAGTTGTAGCATTAAACAGATCAAATTCAATAAGTACACAACCAATCTGAAAACGATTATATCCAACAGGAGCAAGAATCTCAGGTTTGCTGATATAATTTTTTATTTTGCATTTTGCATTTTTAATAGATATAATTGATTATGCTGAAGTTATTGTGACGTAATACGGACTATACGCATTAAATGTAATAATATTATCAATTATATCTAAAAAAATGCAAAATGCAAATTGAATAATTATAACAAGAGTAAACCTGAGATTTATGACACAGTTTTATGTCAACTTCTCGAGACAGGAACATGTCTTATAGACGTATCGTTCAAAACCTGAAATTCTCAGGTTTTATCCTTTTTTTCTATCCCCTTTCATTTTTCCTTTACAGTCCCTTTAAACAAGCCCTAAGTAGTAATAATACAATTNCCACTTTATATCTAAACAGTTTGTTTTTAACAAACTCAAGGAATAATAATTGTCTTAAACATTTTTTTAAAATGAATATTAGCAAATTATCTTTTTCCCATCTCATAATCTGAGTTTGTTTCCCTTTAGTCCATTTGACAGCCCCAATTTTTTAAAAAATCTTTTTTGTTTGTTTATTTTCTTGTGGTTTTATCGATTTTGATGGTAATTATATCGTTAAAACTGACGAGGGTCAACCCAGACCGAAATATATTTTCAATAAATGGGGAACTAACATCTACTTTTTTTTACTCTACAGAGGTTTGGTCCATCATCATCATAGTTAAAATAAATTTTACAAAATTGTTTTTACTTATTTCCATTGGCACTTAAGTTTATTCTTTGAAAACGAAACCAAAGAAACCTGATGTACCTAAAAATAACTTTCATTTCAAATGCATATTTGAGTTTGTTTCGTCTCAAATCGGCGACAACGAATATAAAAAAACCTTAGAGATATACTCAGTCTAATCAAGTAAATCTACTTCGAGCTCATCTTTGTAGAGTAGAACAGAACAAAGTATGAAGACATGGTATCCAAATCAGCGTTTATTCTAAATACAGTAAAAAACTATCACAACACGTATAAATATGCGATAATATTATAAAACCTATAAAAGATAAAATCAATCACAAAATAAAATATAGATTTGCTGCTGACAATGACGGACAGAGAGAGAGAAACAATCGTTTAGACATCTTTAGGTCCGTCCCGTGGAAAGAGGAATTCTGGCAGAAGGTACTTTGGATCAAAATAAAACCCCTTCAGACTATTATATGATAAAACTGTCAAATATTGTATTCCTATATTAATCATACCTCAAGTATCTCTTCAATATCTGCTGAAAAATCCATTGACTATACTAAATCAAAAAAATTGACCCTAGTTCGCAATGACGGGCTCTAATGTAGATTCAAAACTCCCCTGGATAAGCAGTCATTAACCGAACAGCAATCAATCAATATTAGCGTCAGGTTTGTAGTTATTTCATTTCTCCGGAGCTTATAGGAAAGGACTGATCATATAAATTTATTATATCTCTCATGGAAAAGATTAACCTTTACATCGAAGTCTGAGTCTGGACGGGACCTATATTCTCATCTACTCTCCTTCCTTACCATGGAAGGATTTATAATTTTGTTTTAAATCAGTCGATCCTAGATCATGATCTGTGTAAGACGTCTTTCTTGGATCCTCATTGTTATTTAAGCCTAGGCGCTGAGAAAGCTGTATCCTAAACTGCTGGAATGTTTAGTCAAACCATACATAAACAGGAGGGTAATAATCAAATAGAGGAAGAAAAATTAAAAAGAGTCATGAAGCATTCTAGCAGTACATTATACATCATCCGGCTTTTCACCTAACTTTCTCAGCAACTGGAGCCCTCATGTAAAATCTCTGACCACACCATGGATAAAGGGTCAACTCCTCAGCTGTATCCGTGGTGCTTATCTATAGTAATAATGGGATAATTCCGCATACACATCGGAAAGATGTATAAAACCAGAGAAAAAACAGGGATTGTTCACTACAAGATCTCTCGATACCCCTCCTCTTCCTAAATCTCCAACCTTAACCTACTTCACGAGCAGATAAAGTGGAACTCAGAAAGCCCTATACCGTACAATCTTAATCAAAACTTTCTGAGATCGAGGGAAAAGCATTTTGACATGTGAGTATAATAGTCCTAGGGGGTGCTCCTAGATCACCTTAAACCTAGCTGAATGCAGTATTAGGCTATGGAGATCTCTTGATTTTTTTTTCAAAATTACTGCAGGATACATGAATGAGGCAGCAGATTCAGAATTTAAGAAAACCCTACTAATTTGTATCCGAATTTATAAACCTGTAGAAAAATTGACAAAGTCAGCCTCAAGACGAGTTTGCATGATCTCGTGGAGAAGCGTGCTACTCAAATTCAGACTGTAGACAACAAAAATAAAGAAATACAAATTGCTTTATCAACTTTGTTCATAATTACATATATTACCCTTTAGGGGGGGGGGGGGGGTATGCAGATAACACAGACAACACAGTTAAATAAAGTGAACAAGGGTACACAGAAAAGAAGAATATTGAAAATAATGATTTTCTGCATTATACATTGAAAGGAATTGAATCTTTGCAACATTCTCAAATTTTCTAATCTCTTTATCTTTGTAACCTAAGGGTGTACACCTTAAATATTTCAAATTTATGTTATTTGTTCCAACAGATTTCACAGTTTGAAATATCTAAGGTCTATACAATGTTTGATTGCAAAGATATAGGGATTAGAAAATCTGAGTTTGTGACAAAGCATCAATTCCTTTGTAATAAATATAAAAATAAAAAATACCCAATTTGTAAAAAAAAAATCAGAAATTAAAAACAAGCATTCGCCTAATTTACAATTTTTGTTAAATATAAGCGATTTTCTGATAAGAGATAAAATTGACTTTTGCTTTCGCGATTTGGCGACTTTGTATCACTTGATTAATTGATTTTCAAGGGAGTTGATTCTTTGCCACAAACTCTGATTTTCTAATCTCTATATCTTTGAAACCCAATGTCGTAAACCTTTGATATTTCAAACTTATATTATTTGATCTAACAGAACTCATAGTTTGAAATATCATTGGAATCTGAAGATATTATTATAAAGATTTATTCACACACAAAGATATAAATGCATATATAAATGGTGTAGTTTAAATTTGTTTAAATAAATTTGTTTTTTGAAAATACAGGTTTCCAAAAGAAAAGAAATATGCAAAATTCAAATAGAAAACATTGATTTTTACTCATTACATAACATATTTATCATTTTAGTTATTACGAAATCATCGAATCGATTGGAAAATCAGAGTTTGTTGCAAAGACTCAATTCCTTTAGAGTGCACTAAAGTTTCTATTCCTAGAATTTGTTCCTCTTGAAGAACACTTTATAGAAAACAGATATTCTATTTTTACAACTTTCCTCCCTATCCAACAATATCATTTTTGCATCAATTGATGTTTATAAATCAATTAAATATATTTTTGAATATTTAATTTTTTAATTTTGTGCGGAAACACAATTTTGTATTTTTATTATTCTTATCATTACTATTATAGTTACCATTACCATTACTTTTATTATTATTATCATTATTATTATTATGATTATTAATATCATAATAATCATTAATACTATAATTGTTGTCTTTATAATAAAACAAGATATTCCGATATATGTTGCGTATGGGCGGCCAAACGGCTGGACCGATTGGGCTGAAATTATTTTGTGGACACTCATGGATAGGCTAAAAAAAATCTTTTTATTTTGCCTTTGTTTTTACTTTTAGTTTTGAATAAATTAGTATACCATTATTATCATTAATTTTTCTAAATCTTTCTAAATTATTTTTGAATGTTGTGAATCGTAATTAAGAAATTTTTCTTTGAATCGTAAAATTTTGAGAATTATTTTTCTTAATTGTTTGGAGCTCATTCAAAAATTGTAATCTGCATAAAGCATTCCATAAGCATACACATACAGTATGGGAAGTTCTGACAGGAGTTTGTTTACTTGGGAAGGTTGCTAAAGGAGTTTGTTTACTTCAGAAGGTTCTGACAGTTGTTTGTTTACTTAAGGTTCTGACAGTTGTTTGTTTACTTAAAGGTTCTGATAGGAGTTTGTTTACTTGAGAAGGTTCTGACAGGAGTTGGTTTACTTGAGAAGGTTCTGATAGGAGTTGGTTTACTTGAGAAGGTTCTGACAGAAGTTTGTTAACTTGAGAAGGTTCTGACAGAAGTTTGCTAACTTGAGAAGGTTCTGACAGAAGTTTGTTTACTTAAAGGTTCTGATAGGAGTTTGTTTACTTGGGAAGGTTGCTAAAGGAGTTTGTTTACTTGAGAAGGTTCTGACAGTTGTTTGTTTACTTAAAGGTTCTGACAGTTGTTTGTTTACTTAAAGGTTCTGATAGGAGTTTGTTTACTTGAGAAGGTTCTGACAGAAGTTTGTTAACTTGAGAAGGTTCTGACAGTTGTCTGTTTACTTAAAGGTTCTGATAGGAGTTTGTTTACTTGAGGAGGTTCTGACAGGAGTTTGTTTACTTGAGGAGGTTCTGACACAAGTTTGTTTACTTAAAGGTTCTGATAGGAGTTTGTTTACTTGAGAAGGTTCTGACACGAGTTTGTTTACTTAAAGGTTCTGATAGGAGTTTGTTTACTTGAGAAAGTTTTGAGAGAAGTTTTTTACTGGAGAAGGTTCTGAAGGAGTTGGTTTACTTGAGAAAGGGTTGAGAGAAGTTTTTTACTGGAGAAGGTTCTGACAGGAGTTGGTAAACTTGAGAAAGTTTTGAGAAAAGTTTTTTACAGGAGAAGGTTCTGAAGGAGTTGTTTTACTTGAGAAAGTGTTGAGAGAAGTTTTTTACTGGAGAAGGTTCTGACAGGAGTTGGTAAACTTGAGAAAGTTTTGAGAGAAATTTTTTACCGGAGAAGGTTCTGACAGGAGTTGGTTTACTTGAGAAAGTTTTGACAGAAGTTTGTTTACTTGAACCAGATTGTTAATCCTGTATTCTACACTGTTCACTGTTCAGGGTTACACATTAAGGTCAACAGTATTATTGTAATCCTTAGTGTGTTTTACTCCATGCAAACTGTAAATAAGTGTCTATTTAGAGGGCAATAATAAAATCATATTTTACTGTTATTATTATGATATTCATTTAACTTTAAACAGTTCTCTGGTTTATTACAAACTAGGATTTTTGGAAATCGTAAAGAGAAATTCTGACCAAACATGATTAAAGAGAAAGTTAATCTTTCACGGGTTTTTATATTAAATATTTATAAATGTCCACATTATTTTTTTGTGAAATCTAAAATCTTAATAGTTCCTACAATAGTGTCATCACCTTGAAGGGTATAATTATAATCAATTATTCGCATGCCAGACCAACATATAAAAACAGAAATAATCGCGGGTCTTAGAATTATTCTTTTTCGTGAAAACACAAAAATGTTCAATACATGTTTCAGTGAAACAGTTAGAAGTCACAAATTTCTTAAAAGTAAGAGTGGAGGCGCGCGTAATTCCGCTGTTGGTTATCACTAAAAAGACAAATTCCGGAGATATTTAAAAACCTATTTCGTCCTTTTTATGAAATTAAATAACACAAGACACAATTAATAGTTATACATATGTTCATCTTTTTATCCTTTCTCCATTCAAACGTCTTAATAAGAGTTTAGAAAGTAAAATCAAATTCCTGGTTTTTGTTTTAAACATGATCGAGAGAAAATCTAAAACCTCAAAGTACCGGAAAGGAATTGAGTTTTTGCCACAAAATAAAATCTTCTGATTCCAATATCTTTGCAATCTTATGGTGCAAACCTTTGATATTTCAAACTTAGATTATTTTATCTATAAGTATTAATAGTTTGAAATATCTAAGGTCTACGACATTGGGTTACAAAGATATAGAGATTAGAAAATCAGAGTTTGTGGCAAAAACTCAACTCTTTTATAGTGTGGATATTGTTAATCTTAAATGCTTGATCTCGATATACAATATAGGATATGGAAGAAGAATTGAATTAAAATGTAAATTCTTACAAGATGTAGATCAATGCTTGATCAGAGCTGAAAACTTTAGAATGATATATCCTTAATCCAGATCGGTTAATTAATCTGTAAATTAATTAGAGAAGAACAAGCATTATTTAATCTCGAGATTAAGAAAAAGATGAGATCAAGCATTGATCTCAATATCCACCATTCTAAAGTTTTCAGCTCCGATTAAACACAGATTCAGAGAATAAACGTAGTCTAACTAAATAACAAATAAATTGAATATTTCGCCAGATTTCAGAGCTGAGCTGAAAACTTTAGAATGAGAATCCTTAATCCTGATCGCTTAATCTGAGTATCCAATGTACATACTTTTGATTTTCTTCTTAATCCTCTATTTTGGATTTCCCTACTGTATAAAAGTTACGCTTGATAACAATTACAGAAACGATCGATTGTACTAATATCCGATTGAACTAAAGTCAGCTGTCACAAGCCTGCTTATATAGCATTTAAACAAATATAATTTTAATCATGTTAATATATAAACTTATTAAAAACATATTTTATCATATTTGAGGACCATAAATAATATTATTACAAAAGAGATTAAGGGCGTACGTGCCCTGAGGGGTGGCAACCATATAAAAATACTTTAAAATCTCACTTTTGCCCTTAACTAAAAAAGTTTCATTAAAAAGCTTTAATCAATACTGCCTTCAGTGTAAATATATATTTGATATTTTTATTTATAATACAATATGTATCGTTCCTATGAAAATATAGATATTTTTAAAGAAACCCATATCTATTTTCACCCCTTGAAGCTTTCACCACAGTATTAATCATGAGTCCACTTCAGAAAATTACATAAATAATTTATCAAAACTTGTAAAATGGAAGTGTATTTATGATCGAAGAGTTTACATAGTTAAAAAAGGTATTAATATTTTTTCAAAAAAAGGGGGTTTTAAGGGGAGGGGCACACAATTTTTTTGCGCGATGACGCAAGCAAAATTTGCCCACCCCCTCCCCTACACAAATGCTCACGTACGCCCCTGAAAGAGATTGATTTTGCTGATATATTCCTTATAGTTTTTTTTTTACTTTGGGGTTCCTAAATAGGGTTCGAACGAAAGTGTGTTTTTTGCTCAAATGGAGTTTAATATTTCTCCCACGCTATACATTTTCATAGAATTGCATTAAACCATTAATTTTAATATAAGAGCTAAAACATTTTCGATGAAAATGGAATTTGTTTTCTTCAAATCAACAAAAGGGCTTTCCATTTAACGTTCACATCGTTAGGTAAAATCAACGAGACCATCTAAACCATTAATTTTAATATAAGAGCTAAAACATTTTCGATGAAAATGGAATTTGTTTTCTTCAAATCAACAAAAGGGCTTTCCATTTAACGTTCACATCGTTAGGTAAAATCAACGAGACCATCTAAAACTGATCTTTAGAAGACTAAAACGATCACGGATTAACAAAATACGCATTTTCTCAAAACCTATTTCACGTCGTTAATCGTCAGCTGTCGATCAACCATCATTAACAATATACGTTTTTACGATTGGTTTTTAGAGTGCCATCTCACGGCCACGCGTTGAACATAATACCCATTCAGGGGTTAAGTTAAGTTTTACTCCAATTTTAAAGATGAAAGGATTCTTAAATATCCCAGAATACAGATGTTTGCTGATTGGTCTTGTACAGTTCTTGTACACAATAGAACATGCTGTGGAAAATATCGCATATTTTAGCTGATAATCGATCTCTGTAACTCTCTATCTCTGGTATCGATAATATAACAAATTAACACAATGCATTTGTGTCTTTAAGTAATGTTTATTAATACAACCAGAATATCAAATAAAATAAGAAAAATCATGTTCTCATTACAAAACGTTCAATTCTGTATTTAAACTATCCAACTTAGAACATAATCCTGTTCTGAAAACAAAATATTTTTAACTAAAGGGTGGTTTAAATTTTTTAGATAAAAAGGTTAATTAAAGATTTTTCTGTCGAGCAAATAATTTCACCAGATGTTTGCTGAATCATGCTGGAAAGTTAATTTGGGAGGAGAGTACGAGAAAATGTTTATAAATACAAGTGTCCCATCTTTCTGCTTTATCATTCCCAGTAGCACCAGCACAGATAAAGTAAGACCTTTTTTTACAATAAAAACTTGTTACTTACTTAATTTTCAACCATCACTGAGCTAGAATTTAGTCTGAAAATACCAATTGCCTTGTAAAAATGTATCTTTTTCTTTAAGAATCAGCACGATTTCTTGCACTTTTATTTTTAAGAGCCTTCTTTTTCAATCCCATATTAACATATCATGTATGGAAATTTGGAATACTCTTTTTTAATTCATTTGTTTGGCTCTACCTACCACAACATTTTATATTTGAATGCCATATCAAACTTGAATGTGTTTACTTAATCGTAGTTAGTTTTGTGTGATGACGCTTTGTAAACTAAAATTGCTTCCAAAACTGATTTTGATTATCAATGTTGCAGACATGTGGAAAGTCTTTTTGTTATTGGTAGCTGTTGCAGCTGTAGCATCAGCTTCTGGTCCCAAAGGTGGAGCTAGGTAGTAAATTTATGGATTATACAAGATGAATGGGGGGGGGGAGGAGCTAGGTAGGAAATTTATGGACTAGTGTAAAGTGTGGGGGGGGGGGGTTTTCTAAGTAAAATGTTCAGAAGGGGTGATATATGGTGCAAGACGGAGGGGGCGGGAAAACTGGAAATCATATAATTCTAGGGATTAGCTCGGAGGGGTTACTTGATATTTAATTTTGCAAAATGTCAGTGGCGTTAACGTGAGTTTTTTTTTCAAGGAGGACTGAACCTTAAAAAAAAATTTTCTGGGATTCTTCCCCCGGAACCATAGTTTACTGCTTTTATTTTATTTTCGATGAATAAAAGAAATAATAGGATATAATCAGGAAAACTTTAAATTAACCAAATTTTCAAATATATGGATACATTGGCTTCCAAATTCGCCCAAACAGTTTAAAATTCAAGAAATTCAAATTAAATTCAATAAAAGTTTAGTAATCTAAATCACGAGGAAATTGTGTGATGAATATACAAATAATAAGTAAAAATGTGTCAACCAAATTTGACAAATTTGAAAAGTAATAAAATGAAAGTTTATCTACAAACACTTTCAAATAGTAATAATAAAGTATAAAGAGTATTAAACACTAGACCCACTTTTAACATTATTTATATTGTTAAAATAAAGTTAACGCAATATGTGTTTTTTCTCTCAGTAAAAAGATGAAAAAATATTGCCTATTGAAGAAAATCATATTTATTGTCTAAAGAACTTGAAGTCTAAACATGATTTTTTAAATATCACAATTTTTAGAACAGGATTTTTTGCAAATATTCGGGGTCCTTATTTTGGAAATAAAAAACCTGAAGATATTAAAAATCCTGTTAAACTTCGTATGCTTTTAAGAAATCTAAATTGAAAGTAAAAACTGGCATTTTGATAGAAAGTGACACTGACCTACTGATAAAGGATGGTCCTTGAAAAGCATGATAATTCACATTTTAAGCCTGTGCTGGTGGAGTAACATGGAAACTAGTTTCATAGAAAAATACATCAATGCCAGAGCGTAAACCAAGAACATTTATCGAATATAGAAAATGTTTCCAATCACTTTAATCTATATTTTTAAGTTGTTTGTTATCAAAAGAGCGGAGCAAAAATAAAAATTTTATGTGTTACTTAATTAATTAATGACAAGACTTTATTTTTTGTTTTGTTATTTTTCATAAAAAAATATGGTATTTATTGATTCTTAGTATATATAGTAGTAAAGAAAATGAAAAATAACTTCAATTTACCTATTCTCTTTTTGCATTTATTTTCAGACATGGAAAAGTGAACTTAACCCTCCGTTTTAACTTATTCAAACCATTTAAAAGAACAGAACACTAAATCAAATTAAATATAAATAAATTTCACGTTAGATTAAAACTTTAACACAGTTCAATCACACCTCTTTTTCAACAATTTTCAACTTCTGATTACATTACAAAATAAGTTTTGTTTTTTTTTCTTGCAAAACTAGGGAAGGTACACGATAACAAAGTCGTAACAGTTATTTCGCATTAATTGGATTTGAGATGGGCGTGCAAGGAATTTACTCTAAAAACGTTTGCAGAACCTGCTTCTTTTATCTTATTTCTACTTCACTAAGGAATAATTCAACTTCAAAAAAGAATGATGCGGAGTGCGCAAAGAGTGGTTAGTCTGTAAAATTATAGAAAAAAAGTAGACAACACGTTAAAAACACAGAAAAATAATAAAATATATCATCATGCCATAAATTGCACGACAATTTTTGCTTGGCATACTTTTAAATTGAAACACTCTTATTCATCAACCTTAATTTTGGTATTTTCTAATTATTTCGACTAATACGGGAGACATTTCAAAACTAAATTTATTATTTTAGAGAACCTAAGCTCTTCTTTGTATCCTCAAGTACTTCGACGTCCATTTCTACCACGACATCATTATTAAGCACCCAGTTTACTTGCTTCGCGTAAGTATAGAATTAGTGGATTTTATAAAATAAAATTTTTGAAGGCATATTTTTCAGATTCTGATCATCCATAAACCTTCCCTGAGGTCATGGGAATTGCCTCAAAAGTTTTGGACTCAACCTATATTTTTATTTTCATTTTTCATTTTCATTTAATAGGTTTTTACGTTGCATAATAGCTGCATGGGAAAGCGTGAAAACTGTTATCGACTTTTCACTAGACTGATTCATCGAATGGAGTCCGCCCCATTAAGCGTAGTTTAATGATCCTAACGAAAATCATAAAATCAATTCTGCCATGAATAAATTTATTTTTTAGGAACATATTTTGATAAGAAATTATCGAAGAAATCCGTGATAGTTGAATAGAATCATTTTTATTATTATCTTGAATTCCTTATTTTCTATAAATGTTTTTTAGATTTCATAAAAATTCAAATGTCGTCTTTGCAAGGAAATTCAAGGAAATCTGCGGGAAACGGTTTGGATCAGAATCGAATATTACAAAAATTTAATATGACGGACTCAAATAACTCATTTTCAGTGTTAGAAAAAATGTTCCATCCTGTTTTTGGTCATGACATTGGTATACAGCAAAATTGTTTTTATGCTTTTCGTTTGGATAATTAAACAATGGTAAAGGTACGCTAGTAAAAAGTTTATAAATGTTTTTTATGATCGTTCGCACAATTACACAACGTAAAAACACGTTGCTGATATAAAATAAATCGTAATATATTATTCAATAATGCTACACAGCTCGAACTTACCGCGGTCAGTCCCTTATAGTGGCAGATTAAAGTCGCTAAAAAAATGTTTGCAGTGTAAATAGAGTTATTTCATTTGACAAATGATTTAATAACTTACTAGTAAAACTATTTGCTTATACATCAAATACACTTAAGTTTTGCTTTATTGTCGTTTTCTGGCTCTCACTGTATGATATATTCCAGGTTAGCACTTCAATAATTGTTTGTCGAGTAGAGCTTGTATATATTCCAGGGTATCGAGTACCGCGCTTGTTCTCTGCACTGGTAGAAAGAAGAGAGCTGCATCTCTAGTTGAAGACCAAGCTCTGAGCCTAGACCTAGAAGAACCTATCAAGGTTTCCAGAGTACAGAGGTAAACACAAATAAGTAAATACATATTTCACTTTCATATGCGGTATTTTAGTAAGAGAACAGAACAATATTTTGTACTAATCTTTATTCTTTAAAGAAAATAAACTATAATGATGTCGTCACAAACCTGTACTATTGCTTATAGAGATTTGGACACTGACCATGTTCATTCATCAATCGAAGATAATGTATCGAGTAACCGTCAAGCTAAATTTGCTTGGTATTATATGACAACTACAATTACAAGCACTTCTACTTCTACATCTACATCCACCACCTTTACAGGTATACACTGCTGAAAATCAATCAGGATCAGGCCAAATACTCCTTTAAATCAAGTAATGAATCATGAGTCTTGAGTTTGATGGAGAAATGTGAGGGGTTAAAGTTTAACGGTGTTTATTCCACAACTGTTTTAAAGTGGGGTAGTCAAATAAATCAATGAGAACTATTAAATATTTAAGTAAAATCAGCGGCTATTTATCAAATTCTATCATTATTTTTTTCAGGAACCTTGAGTATATCACTGTTAACGTGTACTCCATCTAGCTTTGTTGCTTGTGGCAAAAAATAAGTCCTAGCTTATCCTATCCTATACCAGATACAGGCGGTCTCCCTCAACCCCTGATTAGATCAAGGATTCTCTCCACCATTTAATGCACATTCTATATATGTATCTAGATAGTAGATACAGATACAGTATAACGGATCCTTTTCCATCTATTTTCGTTGCATTTGATTTCTTGAAATATGACGAATTAAGAGAAGACATTTCAAACCATTTTATTTTCATTCAAATCTATAACGCTGATTCTAAGCAAAGTAATTTCTATTGTTGGTTTTCAGATAATTTTAAAGTTTTGAAATGTATTATTTCTATTTTAAAAATTGAAAAATATAAATTTTTAAATAATGTTGATTAATATATATTGTGTAATATTCCGAGAAAACTATGTGATTTTTTGTTTGAATAAATTGTAAATGCTATTCCATCTTATCCATCCTTTGAAGATATTTTAGTAGATTTATAAAAACAATAACATAGTATAAGTATTTAGTAGTTACAAAATAGAAATATAGAAAACTAAAGAACAAATAAAAGTCGAAAATACGATAAAAATACGCTTAGTCCAATAAAAAAGTCAGTTCGCTGTTTGGTATAATGCATTTAGGCATAGATTAAATCGCAATGAATAGAATAAATAGTAATGAAGCACTGTTTTGATGCTTTTCTTAAGAAATTGACTTTTTATAATTTATTAAATATGAAAATTAAATTACATTAAATTTCGATCCCTAAGCTTTGACTTCTGAATTGGCCTCCAACAAGTGTTGAATTAGAAAAGTTTAGAAGTCTTTATTCAATGTATCATTTACTCTCAAAAAAATTAGAATCAATGAAAATTTAATCCCGAAACTACAATCTTTTGGCATTCTTTAACGCCAATCCTAGATTCATGCCGGGTTCAGGGTTTAACTTGGTTGAACTTGGTTCAATTTGGAAAGTGCTAAGGATGGTAATGGTTTAGGAAATTTCATGAGGAGCTTAGGAAATCTAATATGTTTTTATTTCATAAATGAAATTGACCAACTGCCTTACAGATTTCAGAAGAATCAGTTGAACCAATCGCATCTGGTTCAACCACCTGTCTCTCTCTCTCTCTCTCTTAATTATGAATTTCTATTACAGGTCAAATCTATGATTAATTAATGTTTAAGAGGCAGTATAAAAAACTTTATATATGACCTTCATTAATATTTTTTTTATTTTGATTAAATACATCTAACAAATTACAAAGTACTGTAAGAAACATTATCTTGATAAATAACTGGAAAATAACTATATTCTTTGAACTTGAAATAGTTTAATGTGTGTATCAAACCAAACTGCTGGATCTATATTTCTCAAGTAGATAACTCCCCACATATATGTTCTAAACAGATATTTTCGTTGAAACATTTATGGAAGAGAAACTTTGAAGGAACTGTAGACATATTTCAAAGAACCTTACATTTATAGAGTGGAATGTCAGATTCGCAACGAAACCCTTTAATCTTTGGCTGATTAAAATTAATAAGATGTCCATTTTTTATCGCATTTCACTACGAACATGTGCATGCCATTCTTTAAATGTATGGCCACTTAGATTACAACATTTGTCCCTTTACATTAGGATTTTATTATTGAATTGAATCTCCTGGCTTTGGCACTATCCATGTAAATCGCTTCAGGTTGAGCGCCAAAAAGATTTTAAAAATTCTTTAAATATTGTTTTAAGTATGAATTGTTAAACTTTGAAAGGACACTAAGTATAAAGTACTATAAAGGGAGAGGGGACGTTACCTAAACCACATAGCAGTTCCTGGGTTTGCTTGATATCTCCGTATAAGGATAGGATGAGGTACAGGGAGAAGTCCTACTAGAGTTCCATGTTGGAGAAATCTCAAGATCTCACTTTCATCCGTTAAACCCTTATCCATACACATCTTCTCTACTTGTGGTACCAGAACCTGAGGACGGATTATTTTATTAATTACACGTATTTTAGTTGGAATAGTTGAACCACTTCGGTAGAGTGGACGAAAGTGCACTACCCTAACACAGACTGTGCATAGGCTCATGCTTGGGTAGGCTAGCATGCCTTTAGTGTCTCGGCACGCCATGCTACAGTTCCATGAAAGTTTTTTAATGCCATCTAACGACCACTTGTTGCATAAAATGCCCATTAAAGGGTTAAGTTTTTCAATTTTTAACATTAAACCTAAAATTAGTGAATTTAGTCTATTTTTGAAAGGTTTGCATTTCATATAAAATGGATCCCTTAATATCCCTGAATACAGATGTCTGTTGATTGATCCTTTACACTGCTTGTACACAAAAGAACCTGGTGTGGAAAATATCGAGTAGTTTAGCTTTTAATTGATATCTGTAACTCTCTTATCTCTGGCACTAGAGAAATAGTTTAAATCACCATATTTCAATTCCTTCTCACTATTTATCGAATAGATTATCAAGTACAATAGGTGGCAACAGATAAATGGATCAATTATGCATGACGTCACAAGTGTCAAATATAACAAGGAAGTCAACATTTTCTCCCATTTGTTGACAATTTTTTCCAAGATTAAATAAAAGTGAAAAAAACAGAAAATTAAGAACACAAAATTGTACTTATTTCACTGTAAGATAAGCACTTTATTATCACTATTATTGATAATTGTGTCGCACACACAAAACTGTTGACACTTGTGACGTAAGAATACAGCTGTACTGAGACTTTAGAGTGTGCAAATTCTACGTTGCCATCTATTGTACTTGAAAATCTATTTACTACTTATTAAATTCTTCCTCTAAACTATTGGGATCAAATACTATGTAAACGTAAGTTTAAAGCACCCTTATTGAAATGATGCCATGAACCAAACACTTCGATTCTTATAATCTCAGATTATTTTTCCTGAATTGAGCGTTATTGTTGTTAACTATGTATGCAAAGACCATGTTCGAGTAAAGAATATCCTTTTTTTTTAATTATTCTATTATATTTTTAGTTATAAAGAGATGGACCCTTTATGTTACCTTTTATTTTTAGCTAATAACTGAACGTTCACTTTCGTTTTACGGTTCTTTATAGATAGGAACTGAGTTCTTGTCTTAAATCTTCTAATCCCTATATCTTTGCAACTTGATGAAGTAAACCTTTGATATTTAAAACTTAGACTTTTTGATCCCAAAGAATTGATAGTTTGAAATATCAGAGTTCTACAACATTTGATTAAAAAGATATAAAGATTAAAAACAAGAGTGTGTGGCAAGAACTCAGTTCATTTTCGTTATTTCTTGAAAACTTCTTTTTTTAACGAAATTATGGCGAGTCTTAATTATGACTAATGAAATTGTATTACCTGTAGCAATCGCATAACAGTATGCAATGGAAGTTTTTTCCTCCATTCATTAATCCATTCTTGAGTAGGAGCCCAGTCTTCAGGCTGGCTAGTTGTAGATCCACTTCTCTTCTTACTGAAATATCATAATTAGTATTATTTTATTAGTTGTATACTTTGCTTGTCTGGGTGTCTGTTTGTTTGTTTGTATACGATATACGTCAAAAAAGCTTAACCGATCCGTCCCAAATTTTTTAGGACCTCACTAGATACTAGTTAATTGTATTTTTATTATTAGTAAAGCAAAAAATTAGAAACTAATTGTTACTAATTGATAATATGCATTGAATCGAACACTTTTAATCAAAATATAGTAATCAAAAGAATATTACTCTGAATTTTTTCGTTTTGGTTGCACAGAAGCAGTAGATTCAATTCTTTGCCCTATTAAACCAAAGATGTACGTAAAAAAGAAAAACATACAAAAATTCATCTGAGGTGGGGAAAAATGAATGGAGGAAAAGAGGTTGGGCTACGTTTGAAAAGTAGTTAAATTAATTACACCTTCTTCAATTATCCCTATTCATTAATTCCAACTCCCGGTATTTCGTTCAATGAAGAATTCATTATTGTACAGAAAAAAATCTTTGGTTATTTTCCCTAGATCCTCATCCATCAAATTCTCCACAACTTTAGTATCCATTAGGCTTGAACCTCCTGATCCACCTGTAGAAAGTATTTCAAGCAATATTTCAATTTTTTAACTGGCGGCAATTATTCTAAAGATAATTATATTATATTTGGGTTCAATATGTACGCAGAGTATACGCAACTGCAATTAACATTCCTTGCATTATAACCTAGAATCTATATTTCTTAATTTGATTGAATAACCTAGAGCTTGTACTGTATGAACCCCTCCATCCTCCACAAGGTGTGAACTAGTTGGACAAAGAGGTTGAGCTGGATACATTACAGGGTCGGATACTTTCCGGACACTCAGAGCTTCAACAGTCTGGATAAAAACAATTATTTTTATTCTTAAAGGGACTTTAGGCGTGATTTCAAGCGACCCTATTCATTTGTAGAGTGGTGTGTCAGATTCATAATAGTAACCTATTAAACCTGCTCAAGGATGACTATTTATTTACAGAACAGGGTTTAAATTGTTAAATATATGTGTGTAACGGTTTTTTATAGAACATAAACAGTTGGGGTTCTGAAACATTTTCTCGCCCTTGAACCCGAGCATTTGGGGGGTTAGGCTCGGTTTCTGCATTATAGAAACCGAGCATTAGGGGTAATGGTGGCCATCACGACCATTTCGTAGGAGAGCCCCTACTTTTCATTGGAGACCCCCAGCTTTTCATTGAGATCCCAGATTTTTGTTTCGGGAGACCCCCAGATTTTCATTGGAGACTCCAGATTTTCGTTGGAGACCCCCAGATTTTCATTGGAGAACCCCAGGTTTTAATTGAAGCCCCCAAGATTTTCATTCTTTCACTCATTCTTTGGAGACCAACAGAATTTCATTGGAGACCCCCAGATTTTTATTGGAGACTCCAGATTTTCGTTGGAGACCCCAAGTTTTTCGTTGGAGATCCCAAGATTTTCGTTAAAGATCCCCCAGATTTTCATTGGAGAACCCCAGGTTTTAATTGAAGCCCTCTAGATTTTCATCGGAGACCCCAGATTTTCATTGGAGACCTCAAGATTTTCATTGGAGCCCCCCATATTTTCATTATCGACCCCCAAATTTAATTAGAGACCCCAAACTTTTCATTGGAGACCACAGATTTTCGTTGGAACATTCCAGACTTTCATTGGAGACCCCAGATTTTCGAAAGAAACCCCCAGATTATCATAGGAGACCCCAAGCTTTACATTTAGACCCCACATTATCGTTTTAGAACCCCAGATGTTCATTGGAGACCTTACAAATTTCATTGGAGACCCAAGATTTTCTTTGGAGACCTCCAGATTTTCATTGGAGAACCCCAGAATTTTCAGGAGACCCCATGATTTTCATTGCAGAGCACTAGATTTTCATTGGAGACCCCAGATTTTCATTGCAGACCCAAAATTGGAGTTCAAAAATAAAAAAATTGAGAATCTTTGTGTCTCCAATGAAAATTTTGGATTTCAGTCCCATTGTGGGCAACCATGAGTTCCCACATCAAATTTTTTTGCAAATCTGTCAATGGGTTATGAGCGGACATCCAAACATAAGATGAGCTAAAGGGGAATATCCACATTTCCATACAAAGGGTGGGGGGGGGGAGGGGCTTTCTGACTTCGTTTTTAGAGATTTCTCTCTGATTTTTTGCATTCAGGCCTGAATTGTAATCTAGTTTTTGAATCAAACATCAAAATGGGAAAAAAATCATTTTCCCATTTTTTATTATTTTTAATTATTAATTATTTTTCCTACATTTTGTTGTTGGATTCAAAAACTAAATCTCTAGTTATAAAGTCAGAATGCTTCTTTGTCCCATAGGAGGGAGAAAATGTGGGAATAGGGGGGGAAATGGTATAAGGAGAGGGGGTAATGGATTATAGAGTCCAGAATTGAGTTTCCCGACCCAATGTGTATGACTTTAGACACCCCACATGGACCCTACGTAAAGTTTTTGAAAAAAATGCCCAAAAATGCGGGAAAAATCAGGGGAAAAATTTTTTTCCCCACTTTGGTTTTTGATCCAAACACTAGATCACTATTCAGGTCTGCATGCAAAAAAAACAGAGAGAAATCTCTAGTAATAAAGTCAGAAGGCTTCTTTGGCCTTTAGGAGGGGAAAAATGCAAGAAAAATGAGGGGGGAAATTATTTTTTCCTAACTTTGGTGTTTGATTAAAAAACTAGATCACAATTCAGGCCTGCATGCAAAAAAATCAGTGAGAAATCTCTAAAAACGAAGTCAGAAAGACCCCCCCCCCCCCACCCTTTGTATGGAAATGTGGCCATTCCCCTTTGAATTGAGTGCCATCAGTAATTCACGCTGTTCTCTTTTCAAGATAATTTGGAGAAATTTCGATCGAATTGTAGAAGGTAGAATATTTTTTGTCTGTGCGTCCAGACAAAAAATAACTATATTAATTGTCAAATGAAAAATTTATATATTAAAAGCTAAATTTTATATATTTCTCAGGCACAAGGACACCTGCAGCCGCAACAGTTCTATAAAGTAAGTTCAGGCAAAGTAAGTACACCAAATTTAAATATTAATTGATTTAATAAAGTTAAATTAATTCTTTCTTTCTCATCCTTTCCTTCTCATCCTTCCGTCCTCATTCTTTCTTTCTCATCCTGCCTTCCTCATTCTTTCTTTCTCGTCCTTTCTTTCTCATACAAAATTTAAATATAAATTAATTCAATTAATACAAATTGATTAATTCCAATGAATTGATTTTATAATAAATGTTTTTTAGGTAAATTTGAATGGATCAGTCCCCACTGGAAGAGCAGTGTTAAGTAGCATTATATATGGAAACCAGTTTTAAATCAGGTATTTCATGATTATTTCTTATCCTTCCTTTCTCGTTTTTTCTTTCTCACCCTTCCCTTCTTCTTCCTTTCTCATTTTTCCGTTCTCATCCTTCCTTTCTCTTTCTTTTTTACTCATTATTTCTTTCTTGTCCTACTTTTCTCATCCTTCCTTTCTCCTTTCTTTATCCTTAAGTTCTAATTCCGAATGCTTTTAGCTAGCTTTTAGTCAGAAATGGGTGACTTTGGGTTTGCACGGGTTGTGACTGTTTTTTAATTTTTTCAATCCAATCGCAGAGTCGCACACTGAACCACCTGAACCACCTGAATCACACTGAAATTACCTTGAAAAAAAAATCCAGACCATGTGTTTCAGATCTGTGTTTCTGCGACTTTTTGACTTAGTTACTTTTTTAATTTTCAAGAATTTTTCAAATTATTTTTAATCCAATAGTATTTTAAACTGCAACTTTGTGACTCGCAGAGTCGCACACTGAAACCACCTTGAAAAAATCCAGACTATGTGTTTCAGATGTTGGTTTCTGCGACTTTTTGACTTTGTGACTTTTTTAAGACCAATAATATCAATTGTTGGTTAACTATTTATTGGCTCCTTTGAACTATGTTTTTGTTAATTCAAACTATTGTTTTGCACATTTGAACATATTTTTGCTCATTTGAACTGTATTTCGTGCTCATTAGAGCTATTATTTGGCTCATTAAAACTATTTAGGCTCATTTGAACTATTTTTTTTGCTCAATTGAACTATTTTTTGGTTCATTTGAATTATTTTGTTTGCTCATAATAACTATACATTTTTCGGCTCAATTGAACTATTTTTTAATAGTTCATATGAGCAAAAAATAGTTCAAATGCGCACAGAATGTTATCGTTTGAACTAGTCGCAGAGTCGCACACTAAAATATAATTGGATTAAAAAAATTTATAAAATTCTTGAAAATTAAAAAGTGTTGGAGTCCAACTAATAACGAATAAAATATTGATATATTTTTTCTAGAAGTCTCAGAAAACAAATATATACATTTTAATTTTTAATTTTTTTTCAATTGAGTTCACACCGCACGCTAGCGTTCAATCCAGTTTTTCTGACAATTTAAACACCATTTTAGAGACAAACACAAACACACGAAAATCTCTGATCTCGATAAATATTCAAAGGTAGAATTGTAAACCACGTAGGATCACTTGAAATTACGCCTACAGTCCCTTTATATTTGAATGTTTTTTACCTGTGTGAGGAACTCTAGCTGTTTCTGACTAGGATGTGCACTCGCTGCTTCAGTAAAACTTTCAACTCCAGGAAATTTTATCAAACTTGCCTTAAAATGAATGTTCATTCAATAAACTAAGCACTTTTAAATGGCAAAACAACAGCTTGAGCCCAAAACTTGAGACAAAGTACCGTTATGAAAATCAGTTTTGAAACCCGGGTTTCAGGAATGGGGTTAGGTAGTTTTGTTGATATCAATATTTTTGTTATGAACTATTGTTTTATTTAGTTTCTTCATATTCTCAATTTTTCGAATCTCTAAAATCAAAATTACACAAATGTTAAGACCAAAAAAAGAAACTCAGGAGTTTCGTTCAAGGATACTCTTTTAAATTTCGGGCTCTGGCGTTGTCGGAAAAGCCATTTGCACTGCAGTGCAGTCTAATTGCAAAGCAATTTTGAGATATCATATGGAATTATGTTTTCTTATCGTCAATATAAGATCCATCGAAGCCAAGAATGAATTATATATACACCAATCAACTGATAATTGATGATTCAAGGATTATCGATTATTTTAAGTGTTATGTTGTTTTCTTGTTTTATGATATTACTATTAATGTTTCTGGGTACAGTTAGCAGTATTATATTAATGTTTCTGGGGGTACAGTTAGCAGTATTATATTAATGTTTCTGGGTACAGTTAGCAATTATATTAATGTTTCTGGGTACAGTTAGCAGTATTATATTAATGTTTCTGGGTACAGTTAGCAGTATTATATTAATGTTTCTGGGTACAGTTAGCAGTATTATATTAATGTTTCTGGGTACAGTTAGCAGTATTATATTAATGTTTCTGGGTACAGTTAGCAGTATTAAATTAATGTTTCTGGGTACAGTCAGCAGTATTATATTAAGGTTTCTGGGTACAGTTAGCAGTATTATATTAATGTTTCTGGGTACAGTTAGCAGTATTATATGAATGTTTCTGGGTACAGTTAGTCGTATTATACTAATGTTTCTGGGTACAGTTAGCAGTATTATATTAATAAAACAGACACTGATCAATTTCATTTTGCAGAAGAAACTATTTGCTTAATAACAACAACATCAATTACATTTAAAGCTGCTAAAATGAAATTTTTTTGTTCCATAGCTTTATGGTTCTCACTGTATTTACCTTTAATGTTCCAGGTTCTGCCGGTAGAGCTGGAATTGATCCTTCCATTGATTCATCATTTTGGGAACTTTTTCTTTGAATTGGTTTCTTCACTTTCCTTTTCATAGCCCTGGAATTTAATTAATTCAAAAGTAAATGTAAGTTTAAAACTAAATTTTCTTACTTTGTAAAAATTTTGTAATGGGTTGGGGTAATAGGAAACGTTTCCACGAGAACAAAAATAAAATGAATTTACAAGGCTGCCCATCTCTAAGGATGATATTTTAAAGTAGACTTTATACAGAATTATTGGTCTTACGCAACTCCAAGTCTGTTTCTATTTCTATAAGTTGTTGACCGTTATTTAATGGGTAGCCCTGTAGTTCATAAGCAAACTTTACATAAAGACTGACACTTTTTTTCTCCAAAAGTAATTGATCCGTTTTGCACCACAGAAAAATTATACTTCATGAAATTTTTAAAAACATTCATGAATGAAAAAAATTGAAAAAATTTAAACGCAGATACTTCTTTTTAATTTTTAATTTAATTTTTTTTCAAACAATTCGATGGGTATCAAAAATACGTCTTGAACCGCATGAATACTGTGTACTTGCTATTGCTATATTTTAATAATTGTTTTATTTAAAGGAATTAATCGCGAAAAATGAAAGGGAATATGGGCATATGGCGAAAATAATCGCTTCAGATATTCATCAATAATCATTCGGATGTTAAAATCTAGTCATCGATTATTTTTCGCCACATTTGTAAATAGTTAATTTTTCATAAAATTTTTTACTTTTTTATATACACTGCACTTAAAACAACGATTTTTTTTTCACTAGATGTCTCTGCCGTGTGGAATCATAGAGCATCGAGAGCGGAGACACCTGGCGGACAAACTAATCGTCATTTTAAGTGCATTGTATACAAAACAAATACAAAATATTATGAAATATCAAACGAATGTGTCGAAAAATAATCGATGACTAAAGGTTGTAATATCTAAATGATTTGTTTGATATTTAATTGATTTTTTTACGATCCGAGTCATGAATTGCAATTTTCTCAATTTTGGTGGATGCTACGTTATTCGGTACGATCGTCGTTTTTAACAATTTTCTCCTTATAGACGCAACAGATAAAAGTGATCAAAAGCGATTATTTTTCGCCGTATACCAACCCCTGTAATTTTTCGCGAAAACTCCCTCTAAGGCCGAACAAAATACTTATTATTTATAGCTCTAAACAGATTTAAAATATTTTAAAAAATCTTGTTATGACAAAATTTGATTTTATTATAAATGAAAAGTTTTGTTATCTTGTTGATAACAAAATTATATTTTTTAATAATCTGAAAGTTCTACAGATTTCTGCTTGTGAAAAATGGATTTGTGCATTTTTATAAAATTTTCTGATAAATAAATAATCAACGAACTTGGATATGGCCCCACCATCTGAAGGAAGATGAGCCAGGTTGTGGAACACTGCGCGCTTCCTGATAATGGTGTAGACGAGGTTACTGTTCCCGTCGAACTGATACTGGATTAGGTTGTTCAGCATCTCCAGCAAGAAGTAGATCAAGGTGTGATTGGTCGGGGTAGAGAGAAGAAACCATGGAGTAGAGAACGCCTTGACAAATAAATAATTATTTCTTCGCTTCTCCAGATTTTTTCCCGGACTTTGGTGCACTTAAATTCCCCCTTTGTTGCAGTTCCTTTTCATTTCTTTCATTCTTCTCCGATTTATGGCGTTAAACCATTTAATTTGAAAGTTTGGGCAGTTGATATCCTTCAGTCGCTAAAGCTTAGCGCCATCCCATACTAAAGTATCGTCCTCAGTTCTAACTTAATCTGCGTCCAAAAACATTCAAAGCGTAAACACTATATAAAGACCTGAGTTTAAATATTTTAATTCCCAGAAAAACACTTGCATAGAATTTATTTATTTATTCGTCTTTTGGGGTAAATCTAGTGGGATGATATCATCCTAGATTATTAAATATTATCCCAAGGGAAACTTCTATAAATCCCCTTAAAATAGTAATTAATCTGAAATTCTCGTTACCTCCACTAGATGCATTATCTTACAAGCAGCCACCATTGATAGAGTTTTAATATACGGGGATACATTACACAGAACAGTCAGTAAACAATCAAACAAAGGTTGAAGACGTTGATGCCCTGAGGTTATAATCTGAAATTATAAAAAAAATTAAGAAAAATTTATTTTAATTTGTTACCAATTTAGAAGTGCACATAGCTCTATTATAGGATTTTAATGACGTGTTTGATAATTTAAATCGTTTCACTTTCTTTTTAGACTAATAATAATTTGTTGGCTAATTATACATGGTTCTTTTAGAGTTCTGGACCTTTATGACGTAAAAGTCTGCAAGAAATCCAATGTTATAAGGGGGGATCCTTGAGTGCTGAGATTTTGGCTGAAAGCGGCAAGCAGTGAAAATTCTAAAATCGGTTTTCCGAATACTTGTAAATTTTTCAAAATTTTTACGAGCGAAGATTCTTACCTTGTGGAAAACTATGATAAGAAGATCAGCATGAGAACCTGAGAATACAGGGATATCCATTGGAACTGAGGCAGTGTAAGGTTTATTCAGACGAACACCGAAATTCCTCTCTCCACTCAGCAACAGCAGGATGAATACACCTTGAATAACAGAAAGATTAATTCACCTTTAATAACAGAAGAATGAATACACCTTGAATAACAGCATGATGAATACACCTTTAATAAAAGAAGGACGAATACTCCTAGAATAACAGAAAGATGAATACACCTTGAATAAAAGAAAGATTAATACATCTTGAATAAAAGAAAGATTAATACACCTTGAATAACAGAAAGATGAATATACCTTGAATAAAGAAAGATTAATACACCTTGAATAACAGAAAGATTAATACATCTTGAATAACAGAAGGATAAATGCACCTTAAATAACAGCAGAATGAAAAACCTTTAATAACAGAAGGATGAACACACTTTGAATAGCAGAAGGATGAATGCACATTGAATAACAGCAGGATGAATAAACCTTGAATAACAGAAAAATGAATACTCCTTGAAATGACAAAAGGATGAATTTTAGCTACGCTCGTTTTTTTAGCTCCGCCACAGAATACGCTTTGAATAACAGAAGGATGAATTCACCTTGAATAACAGAAAGATGAATACGCCGTGAATAACAGCAGGATGATACACCTTGAATAACAGAATGATGAATACACCTTGAATAACAGAAAGATAAATACACCTTTAATAACAGAAAGATGAATACACCTTGAATAGCTGAAGAATGACACCTTGAAGAACAGAAGGATGAATACACCCTTAAAAACAGAAGGATGTATACACCTTGAATAACAGAAAGATGAATACACCTTGAATAACAGAAAGATGAATACACCTTGAATAACAGCATGATGAATACTCCTTGAATAACAGAAGGATGAATGCACCTTGAATAACAGAAAGATAAATACACCTTGAATATCAGAATAATGAATACACCTTGAATAACAGAAGGATGAATACGCCGTGAATAACAGAAAGATGAATACACCTTGAATGAACGAGAACGAGAAGGTTGAAACGGAGAAGAATGAACACGAGAAGGATGAACAGGAGAAGAATGAACAGGAGAAGAATAATAACAGAAAGATGAATACACCTTGAATAACAGAAAGATGAATACACCTTGAATAGCAGAAAGATGAATGCACCTTGAATAACAGTAGGATGAATACACCTTGAATAACAGAAAGATGAATACACCTTGAATAACAGAAAGATGAATACACCTTGAATTACAGAAGGATGAATACACCTTGAATAACAGAAAGATGAATACACCTTTAAAAACAGAAAGATGAATACACCTTGAATAACCTAAGAATGACACCTTGAAGAACAGAAGGATGAATGCATCTTGAAAAAGAGAAGGATGAATACACCTTTAAAAACAGAAAGATGAATACACCTTGAATAACCTAAGAATGACACTTTGAAGAACAGAAGGATGAATACATCTTGAAAAACAGAAGGATGAATACACCTTGAATAACAGAAAGATGAATACAATTTAATTATCTTCTCAACTCCTCTAATTTTATTTATAGATTTAAAATAGATATATGTGGAATATTAACCTATATGCATAAGTCCTACTCTGGATTGATCAGCTCTGGCATCGTTTAGATAGTGTAAAATAGGAACCAGGATCTCTAATACGTCAGAGCTCTTGAGAACGTAGAAGAGGAACTTCTTGTTGTTCTCACAAAATTTCCAAAAGAATATCAACAGCTCCTGGTGGAAATATACCTGGAGAATACATAAAAATAAGTAGTAGTACAGTTTACACAGATATTAATTTCAAGTCTTTTCAAAATGAAGAAGTTCATTTTATGCGGAATTACAGGAACAACTTTGTAGGTTTTTAACATGAGGTTGCAACAGTTGATTAAATTATACAGTGAATGAATGAATGAATGAAATCTTTGGATTTCAGGGGGTTTTCACGTCCTATGGGTGCTGAGCCCCCCCTTGGACAAACTATAAGTAGTTCTTTAGAGATTTAATTCCATCTTTGCAAATATATATTAGATGAATTGATAAATTCAAATCAGATACCTTTCTATGTGCATAGGGTAGGTAAGTTTGTTGTAGTGGATTCATTAGTAGTCTAGTGATACCTTGCAGAATATACTGAAAATCCTCATCTCTAAAAATATTAAACCTTATCAAGAACATTTACATAAAAGATCATTGAAAATATGTTTGCTTAATTATTAGAAAATATCTTTTTTTTTTAATCATTATTAAATTATATCATGTTATTATATTATATTATTATAAAAATTGTTTTAAAAAACAAAGTGTTTTTTTAATTTCATAAGTTTTTTGGACTCAAAGAAGTTCGTAATAAAATTTCGATTCTACGGGCGACCACCGGAGTGATTTCATTTTCACTGGAGAGGTTTGAGAAGTCACTTTTTTTCAATTTGAAACTTTACGCATGGTGATTTTCAATCTACTGGAGGGTTCAGATATCTATCCAGGGGGTTTATAATTCCACTGGAGGGATTCAGATATCCTTCTAGGGGTTTATAGTTCCACTGAAGGGATTCGGATATCTTTCCATGTGGTTTATAATTCCACTGTAGGGATACAGAAATCCTTCCTAGGGCTTTATAATTCCACTGAAGGGATTCAGATATCCATCCTAGGGGTTTATAATTTCACTGAAGGGATTCAGATATCCATCCTAGTGGTTTATAATTCCACTGGAGGGATTCAGATATCTTTTCTGGAGTTTATAATTCCACTGGAGGGATTCAGAAATCTATCTAGGGGTTTTATAATTCCACTGAAGGGAATCAGAAATCCTTCTCATCCTTCTCTTTCTCATTCGTCTCATCCTTAATTCATCCTTCTCATCCTTATCCCAACCATATCATTCTTCTTATCCTTCTATACTTCTCATCCGTGATAGATATCTGAATCCCTCCACCAGTGGAATTATAAACCCTAGAAAGGATATCCGAATCCCTCCAGTGGAATTATAAACCCTAGGAAGGATATCTGAATCCCTCCAGTGGATTTAGAAACCCTGGAAAGATATCTAAATCCCTCAGATAAACCCCCTAGATAGATATCTGAATCCCACCAGTGGAATTATAAACCCCCTGGTTAGATATCTAAATCCCTCCATGGTGGAATTATAAACTCCTGGAAAGATATCTAAATCCCTACAGTAGAATTATAAACCCCCTGGAAAGATATCTGAATCCCTCCAGTGGAATCATAAACCTCTAGGAAGGATATCTGAATCTCTCCAGTGGAATTATAAACCCCCTGGAAAAATATCTAAATCCCTCCAAAGGAATTATAAACCCCCTGACAAATATCTGAATCCTCCATTTGAATTATAAAACCCTAGGATGGATATCTGAATCCCTCCAGTGGATTTATAAACCCCATGGAAATATATCTGAATCTCTCCAGTGGATTGTAAATCACCCTGCGTAAAGTTTTAAATTGTAAAAAGCTCTTTTTCAAACCCCTCCAGTGAAAATGAATTCCCTCCAGTGGTCTCCAGTGGAGTCAAAAACTTACTACGAACTTCCGTGACTCAGTTTTTGTCCATTATGCTGACTCTAATACGTCGTGTTTATCTATCTATCAATCTAAATGTCTCTCTATCTTACTATCTATCTATCTTGTTGTCTATCTATCTACCTCTACCTGTGTAATCTAGAAAGATAGTTAAGAAAAAGGTTGTCTGAATAGATTGTATCTTCTGAACTTCGTGGAGCCATGTCCAGACAAACAATCAAAACCTTTAAAAATTATCAATTTAAAAACATGGAAGAGTTTAAACATCATTTCCACAAGTTTTTGACAAACACAACTTCTTTTTGACAAACACAACTTGTTTTTGACAAACACAACTTGTTTTTGAAAATGTTAAGCTCAAGGAAAAATACACTTTAAGAAAGGTTTTGTAGCTTTATTGTTTTTAACAAGTATGCAGACACTTAATCAACAATCTTCAGCGTTTCGATTTTTTTTTCAACTTTCATTTATACTGGCAAGGGAATAGAAATGAACATGCAACTGATTTTAGTTGTTCACCTATCAAATCCGGAGCGGCAATTTCAAAGAAACGAATAAGTATAGCTGAGTTAGGAAAGTAAAATTAAAGGTTTAGGTGCTGCAAAACCTTAAAGCTGAAGCTGAACCTGTAAAGCCAGCTCTACAAGCTTTTCCTTACTGTCCGACCAGATTAGATGATTGTATGGTAGAACTCCTCCGGGGATATATCCACAGACAGTATTCAGTAAACTAGTAAACAGGGGCAGAGCATGTCTAAAAAAACATTTATTAATTAGAACCCTTTTAGACCATACCAGAAAAACGCTACAGCACTTTGAGTGCACTCATAAAACGATACATAAAACGCTGCCAGATAAAACGTCAGTAAAGATGGGACGCTACTCTATCAAAATATCACAATATTGGTGTGAAGTTTATAGATTGGATTATAAATTACATTTTTTAATAGATTATTACATAAGTTTTCCAAACTTAAATAATGAAGGGTTATGGAGTCGGGAGGGGGGTGGGTCGGAGAAAAAGGGGGGGTTGGAGAAAAAGTAAAAGTATTATTTACGGCCGTGAGGAACTTTTTATTATAAAATCGTAATTTTTTTACTTTTTAACCAACTCTTTTCTATAAAACTTTTGTCTTGGATGGAATTGTTCGTTACTAAAAACGGAACGGGGGATGGAAACGTTCTTGATTAAGAACAGAACAAGATCTGAGGGATGCAACCGTTCTTCAACTAAATAAAGGAACGAGAACTGAACAATTTAGCTGAAGGCCCTCGTTCTAGAACGCCACGGAACTATTAAAAAAAGTCGGAACGTGCCCAGCCCTATCTATGTTTGCTGAATATTTCTTGCGTGACACCTAAAAGATGCTTTTTTCATAATGCGAAAAGTATACGGGAACGTGCTTAAAAAGATGGACTTCAAAATTCTACTACAAAGACAAAGAACCAAAGTTTGGCAATTTTGTTCACCTAGTTCAAACAATTTATGATGATTTACATTAAAAACTACAGGCTGAATCTTGATTTTAAATGTGGAATATAGTTTAATGTTGAAGTTAGAACAAATAATCATGCACTGGGCAGTAAATAATCATGCACTGGGCAGTAAAAAGTTAATCTCAAAACATCCAAACCCTATTGTGAACAGTTAATTAACGCAATTAATTAATTAATTAATTAATTAATTAATTAATCCAAACAATTTATATTTTGCGTACGAAGTTAATTAATTCTTGATTAGTTTTTTTTGTCAAATTATAGATTTTATAGTTCGACAATGCTTTTATCAGATATATATTATAGATTTTATAGTTCGACAATGCTTTTATCAGATATATATTATAGATTTCTTTTATCAGATATATATCATAGATTTTATAGTTCGACAATGCTTTTATCAGATATATATTATAGATTTTATAGTTCGACAATGCTTTAATCAGATATATATTATAGATTTTATAGTTCGACAATGCTTTTATCAGATATATATTTGCAGTTATATGTTGTTGGTTAATTCGACACAAGTTTAATTGTTAACATATTCTATTATGAACAATTATAAACATCCTAATATTCTAGATTCCAAGCTTGTCCCCCTGTTATTATGAAATGTATCATCAATAAACCCAGTCAAATTAATTTGTGGGGTGGACACGCATCTATCAGGATTAAAATTAGAAAATCTGTTTGTTGAAGCGGTTTCTGGCAAATTTAACCCATTAGTGACAAGACAAATAATTCTTTCTGATCTTACTGAAATTCACAGGGTTTACTCGTCCATGGAGCAGATCTAAAGTTTCAATTTTTTTCAATGAAGGGTAGTGCGGATTCAAAACCCGGCATCAGTCGAAATTGACCGCCTGGTCTATTTTGACCGTATGCAGCAGGACAAAATTGACCGGGTCCTGTATCTCTAGTTCCATTCATTGATAAAAATTGAAACTTGATGGGGGGTTGTGTTTATAATCTATACAGGGGCTAGTGTATTTAGTGTTGTTTATGTCTTTGGCTCTTAGCCTATACATTTGCTCAAAAAACTTGGTTCTTAACCGTATTCTCTGCACTACCTTTAAACGCTACCTTTAAATTACTCACTTTCAAGCTAAGCAGAGTGCTTATCTTTAAAATGGAGTACACACGCAGCTAAGATGACGGTTCTTAGGTGCGTGTGTACGAGTATTCACTCACACGCACCTAAGAAGCGGTGCTTAACATACGTGGGTAAAAAATGTCACGTAAGCAGAAGGGGCGTATTCAGCACTTCATAATAAAGTGTGGGGGTGTTTGTCTTAATCATTTTTGTTATATAAAGAGAATAAATATGGAAATTACAGGAGACAGGATTTACAGAAATAACAAGGAAGACAGGGAATACAGAGAATAGTGGAAATACAGGGAATAAAGGGATTACAGGGAATAGAGGTAATACAGGAAATACAGGGAATACAGGGAATACAGGGAATAAAGGGATTACAGGGAATAGAGGTAATACAGGAAATACAGGGAATTCAGATGAGTGGGGAATATTTGTAAGAAAAATTATTGATTATTGGACTTATTCTTATAAATGTATTTTTCTAAGGTTAAATTGAAAGTTTTCAATGTATACAAGTCAAAGTATATATATTCAGTGCATACTTTTTTTTGGATCTAATTCCCAGCCACTCACCTCTGTCCCTTTGGTAACAGTAAATTCTACCTATATGAAGTTTTAAGTCTGACCACGTCAACGTCACTGGCAATTAATCATATAACATACTATCTTGGAAACCCAGCTCTGCCCGGAATATAAAAATTTGAAACCAACCTAAGATCATTCCCGCGTGGTTATAACGAGTTTCCCAATCAAAATTGGATACAAATAGGTTAATGAGATATGATTGAACATCCAAGCAAACAAACAGAGATTACTATACTTTATATGAGGACGATAATGATATGGGAACAATAATGCCTGAAATTTAGCTAGAGCAGTGATCAGTTACCAAAGAATTAGTTTTGTCGATTTCCAGTTACCACATATGTCAACGGGCCCCAATATCTTAGAGTTTTTAAATTTGTATTGATTATGACTTTTTTCCTTAATAAAACAAATGTCGGAACATAGTACTTTTACATAATTTTTAGATACAGTGTTATCCACAAAGGATGAGACTTCAGAGACTTTACGGAAATTATACAGTCTGGTTTCTAGTTTTCATGATTCCCTGAAACTAAAAACTTCTTTCTTTGCCCAATTATTAAAAATAATTATGGGAAAAGGCCTAATTTAACCTTGGAATAGTCGTATTTAAAGAGTTTTAGGTCGTCGTCGTAGTCTCATCCTTTGAGTAACCCTGTACATAAATAACAGATTAAGTTGACAGATAACAGCACACACCAAACAAATTTGAACAATAGGCCCGTCGGAATTCTGGTGGGGGATATTTATTCTCCCCGGACAATTCTTTCCCGGTTGGCCGCAAAATACACACAACAGAGTAACCCCCGTCTCAAGAAAATCGACAACAAAAGCTTTATTTCCTAAAAAATAACATAAATTATAGGTCATGGTTAGTTGTACAATGTTATAATAAATATTAATAATAGAAAAAATCTTACGATTTATTTGCAGATGATAAGGGGTAACTTATTGTTGATCAGTATTGAAATACGTTTTTAAAACTTCTGAAATAAATTACAGTTGAATATTTAACGAAATTCACTAATTCTTCATATGAAAATATTCTTGTTTAACTTTAATGATTTCACAATAAACGAAAGAGTTTTAGGCTCTGTCCCATGGAGAACAAAGAGAATGGGGGCTGAAATTATTTGGTTTGGTGTCTCCGAGAGGGGATTTTAAGTTGAAGACGACATTACACGGAGGTCTTAAAGTTAAAGGTTAACACAGATAGTTTACATGTTTTTTTAGAAGAACATGTTATGTCACATGTCAGTCTTTAGATTGTTCCACCTTTTAGTTCTACATTCCTGCGTATTACTTAGTTTGACTCAAGTTATGACTTTAAATAGTACAATGAGCATGGGACACTGCAGTTGTGCAGTGTAGACAGACCAATTTAAGGTAATAAGTGAATTATTAAGTGTCTAGTAAGACTATTTGCTTTTTAACAACATCAAATACACTTCAGTATTGCAATCAAGTCGTCTTCCTATTTCAGAGTTTTCTGGTTATCACTGTAGTACTGAATGCCAACTTTATATATCGATTGATGATATTACTTACCGCTAATGAAACACTAATTTAACAAACAAAAAAATTTCAAAAATATTAGTCTTTGATTTAACAAAAATGTTATCCATTAATTTAGCAACAAAGATCTTCCTTAGAACTAAATCTATAAGCATTTTGGCCTAAGCATTGATCCTTGCAGACATTTATCCATAACCATTTACGAAAAAAAAATAGAAATATAAAAGGCATAATAAAACAAAAACGAGATGGAAAATTTCACTAAAAGTTTTAATCATTCTGGGCCTCAGGAACATTTTTAGCAATAAGATACAAAAGTAAATCCAAACGTTGTGTTCGTCTTATTCATAATGACACAGATCAATAATTAAAACACTTGAATTCATAAATATTTGATCGAATTTTATTTAATTAAAGCTATAGAACAATTATGTTTAGTAGTTGAATAATTGCTTAAAAATGCATGGNCAGGGAATACAGGTAATACAGGGAATACAGGTAATGCTGGGAATACAGGGAATACAGGGAATACAGGGAGGGAAATAGGAAATACAAAGAATACAAAGAATACAGGGAATACATTCAGAGAATACATGGATTACAGGAAATACAAGGAATGCAGGGAATACATGAAATACAAAAAATCCAAGAAATATGGGGAATACAGGGATTACAGGGAATACAGTGAATAAAAGGAATGCAGGGAATACAGGGAATACAGGGAAAACAGGGAATACAGGGAATACAAGTAATACATGTAATACAAAGAATACAGGAAATACAAGGAATACAAGGAATACAAGGAATACAAGAAATACACGGAATTCATGTAATACAGGGAATACAGGAAATACAGGGAATACAGAGAATATAGGAAATACAGGGAATACAGAGCATGCAGAGAGTACAGGAAATGCAGGGAAAACATGGAGGAAATTCAGGGAATACAGGGAATACTTAGAAGACCTAGATTACAGGGAATACAGTAAATACAGGGAACACATTCAGAACATACATGGCATACAAGGAATGCAGGGAATGCAGGTAATACAGGAAATACAGGGAATACAGGGAATACAAGGAAAATATGGAGAGAATACAGGGAATACAGGGAATAGTAGTCATATAGATAAACAGGAAATACTGAGGATACAGGGAATACAAGGACTGCTGTGAGCAAATGGTATACAAGGAGTATTCCTTGTATTCCTTGCATTCCCTGTATTCCCTGCTTTTCCAGTATTCCATGGAATCTTTGTAATAGGTGTGTATAAATAAACAGTTCTTAAGTGTAAAGTGTGTAGAATTAAATAGTTCTTACTGGTATGCATTTTTTGCTAAACAGTTCTTAATGACGTGTGTACAGACAGGCAGTTCATAAAAAACTTGTAGGTGTGTATAAATAAATGGTTCTTAAGTGAAGTGTGTGGAAGTAGATAGTTCTTACTGGTATGTGTGTCAAAATACATGGTTCTTAGAATACTAAAGCATTTTTATTTTAGAAACTAGATTTTTGTCCAATTTTATAGATACAGGGAATACAGGAAATACATGGAATACGAAGCATGCTTATTCCCTGGATTCCCTATTTTTCTTGTTGTATTCCCTTTTTTCCTGTGTAAATAGTTCTTAATGGTATGCGTATCAAAATACATGATTCTTATGACTCAAGCATTTTTTATTTTAGCAACTAGTTTTTTGAGCAATTATTAATAACATGGCATACAGGGAATACATGGAATACAATTAATACAAAATATACAGAGAATACAGAGAACACAGGGGATACAGGAAATACAAGGAATGCAGGGAATACAGGGAATACTGGAAATGCAGGAAATAAAAGGAATACAAGGAATGCAGGTAATACAGGGAATACAGGGAATACTGGAAATACAGGAAATAAAGGAAATATAAGGAATGCAGGGGAATACAGGGAATACAGGGAATACGGGAAATACAGAGAATACAGGGCATACTGGAAATACAGGAAATAAAGGGAATACAAGGAATGCAGGAAATACAGGGAATACAGGGAATACAGGGAATACAGGGAATGCTGGAAATACAGGAAATTAAAGGAATACAAGGAATGCAGGGAATACAGGGAATACAGGGAATACTGGAAATACAAGAAATAAAGGGAATGCAAGAATGCAGGGAATACAGGGAATACAGGGAATATAAGGAATACAAATAATACAAGGAATATAGAGAATAGAGGGAATACTGGGAATAAAGGGAATACATGAACTAAAAGGAATACAGAGAATAGTCTGAATACTGAGAATACAGAATAATACAGGAAATAAAATGATTACAGAATACAGGAGACCAGATAATTTTACATTTTCTTCAGACATTCAGTTACTTCATTACTTAACTACAATAACTTTCCATTTTTTTTTTTTATATGTCAAACTAATTCTCCATTTCAACATACTTTTTGGATTACAAAAATAAGTGGATTTCCCCCTGGGGTTTGCACTAGACCATTGGAAAACTATAAATAACAGGGTGTCCCACATAACATGACAGTGTTTGGGTAGTTTTGAATGTCTTCTTTAATATACTTTTTTAGATATTAAAAACTTTTTTCAGTTTATTAGGTTCCATGTATAAAGATTATACAAGAGTTTGAGGCGAATTTTTAGTTTATTGAATAATTTATAGTATTATGTTAGTCTACGATGTCATCTTGCAAAGATATAAGGATTAGACATAGCTTCAG